AGGAACTTGTCTCTGTTCTTTGGTTAGTACATGTCTTACCTCTTTTACTAATAGTGCATTGCTATTGAGCCATCTATCAGCTTTTTATTGAAGCTAAAGTCTTAGTTTAAACTCTTGAGGAGCCTTATAATTAAAAATATAAAAGTAGAAGTTAATAAAGTGCATAACTCTGTATATAGGGTAGGTCAGTTTAGGTCTACCCCTTTTATCTAGAGTAAATCTACTACGCTATTCTTCTTTAAATAATTATAATCGCGAACATCATCGTCCACATTCCATAGCTCTCCCTTACTGTAAGCTTTCTTCGTTTTCTTCTTTACTGTCGTCGCTCTTACTCAGATGAGTGGCGAAAGAGCCTTTTATTATATAGGATTGTCATTTTATATAGAGTTGTGGGATGAGTCTCTGGAAGCCACTTGATAGATCCTTATAGGTAAGAGATTTATCATTAATCTTTAAGTTGATTGAGTGCTCAAAAGATGTTACCCACGCCTCATCTAGTGGTCGAATAGCTTTGAGAAACCTAGATGCCCAGTCCTCCATATCTTAGGTGAAGGACATGGATTTCTTCTTTCTTTAAAACATGATTTCTTCCCACTTGATCAACCAAGCCTCTGGATCTCGTGGAGTGCCTCTGAAAGGTTTTCATGTGCTAGTTATAGTTATCTTGTATATGTTGCTGGATTTCTCACGATCCTTGGCTAACTTGCATCTTTAAATTATTATATGCTTCCTTCTAATTGTATATTACATGCACATAGGTCTTAAGATAGCTGTGGCACATGGTCTACTTCATCTATTTAAAGATTTTATCAATGTCTCTACGCTAAACCTCCCACTCACTGAACTCCATTTTATAGTTGTTGAGATATAGATTGAAGTTATTTCTTGCCCTCTGCTTAGTGCGATCATCAGTTGTATCTTCAGTCGCGGTGGTTTGGGTTGATTGAGTAGAGTTCTGACGCGTTCCTTGAGCTGCATCTACACAGTTTTGTATAGTGTTCTGGGATTCAGATAGATAGTCTTGTATCTTTGGTCGAACAGGTTTCTTGATTGGTCTCTCAGTTCCCTGGAGAATAGGAAGAAGATCATTGGCTCTGGCCCGATTGAGAAGTTCGTTTTGCCAATCGTCCTAATCCTCTGGGGAATTGAGCTTATACTCGGTGGCAACGTTGGACAACATGCTGATATAGAGCCGGTAGGGGTAGTCAGACTCTTAATTGTCGGATTAGTTGGTTTATTCCAGGCCAATCCTGAAAGTGTTTTACTAGGATCAAAGAAAAGAGATGACTAGCAAGATTGTATCTATTGAGTTCTGTGTCTCTCTATCCATCAGGTTTCAAAGACGGGTCCTTTATAGACACCTTTGGCGGGGTGATTTGTGAGCTATCAGGAGGGGTAAATATTGGGATGAAATCTAGGTGCCCAGATATATGCCTAAAGGTGCCTTTTAGACCTGTAAGATTGAACAGTCGATCTCTCTGCCTCGTTTGAAAGCCGGATTATCTGACACCATTTAGGAATAGCGGGCCCGAGCGTCGTCCGCAATGTCTATATAAACCTAGGTGTGTCCCTCGAACGATTTCACCTCGTTGTCTCCTTTCTCTCTTCGTTTTCTCAATTTTATTTTCCGTCACACCCGCTATTGAACGGCACAGCGTTGTATGGACCTCACACCAGCCACGCCAGCGATATCTCAGCTCCTCCAGAATCGCTACCACCTAGCCTGGCCAGCGCAGATGATTGGATTCCAGTTCAATCATATTTGTCGAGTCTGAATTTTGAGACTGTCATCGACCGTCGTATCGATACCTGCTCCTGGTAAACCAAGAACAAGGGCGATATAATCGCTGCTCTTATCTATTGACCAATCCCGCTGCCGAGGATCACTTCAGCCTCGCTAGGATCCCAGGACTGAATTCACAAGCCGAATGAGTCAGGAAAAAAAGGAAAAAGAGAGAATGCAAGATGGAAAGAACGACAAAAGAGGTGTACGAATATGTTGTTGGAACACTGCACTGGAGAGCGCTAAACTGATTCTACTTCGAAAAACAATGCGTCTGACACGTAACAACAGTTCTTCTGCGGGATCTCATATCACGACGGTGTCGGACCCAGCGCCTATTACACTGGAACCAGAAGAGCAGTCTCCGTCACTGCCTCAGTCACCAACCCATCCCAATCTGGGTTACACTGATCTTTCCACTAGCTGGCTCTCAGTCCTCAATGACTACCCAAATACTGAAAACACCCCGCACTGCGTAACTGAATATGGCCCTATATCGTATCCCACCAGATCGGAAACAATCCTTCCAATCGACCCGGCGATTCTCGGCGACGAGACGCCTTGCGCATTGTCATATGGCCGGCAAGATAACGGTGTTAGCAGTGTCATACCCCCCGATGAGCTATTACAAGAATCAGACTCTATACGGGACCACTTTGCAAGCACTCCCGACCCTCAGCCTGACAATAGAGTACCAGTCCGGGAGCTGCTCCCCTTTACAATCCTCTTGATTAACAGACTCATCTTTCGCATGCTCATACAACTGCACTAGAAACTGGCACGGAATCCATGTTGCAACCCACTTACGGTGACAGTAGCCAAGAGCTATAATTCAATAAGAGATGGACCGCGCCGGGGTACGATTCAGGATAGCCATCCAAAAGAGTTTGCACCCGCACCACGCCAAGCAAGAATGCGAACACGGCCCTTCTTCCTACGCTTTACTCTCATTTCTTGAGAGCGCCTATGGACGACCGTTTAGAGTTTCTTTCCTGGCTGTTTGACGCCCTCATTGAATAAAGCCCGGACTAAGGGACCCGGCTCTGTCAAGCACGACAACTTGTTCCAACGGCTTCCAAAAGTGCCCCGTCCTCGGCGAATGGTCGGAAGGGTATGTCATGGGAGTCGGAAGAAATTGAGCTTTTGGTTCAGCTAAGAAAGATAGAGAAATTGTCATGGTCGGACGTGGTGAAGCGCTTTACTAAACAGTTTCCCGGGAGGACGGCAGGGTCGATTCAGGTATTGGTCGACCAATTTGAAGGATATATAGATAATCCCATTACTTTGGACGATCCTTTAGTCGTTATCTAAGAGGGGAATTCGACAATTCTGGTGACTAGAATTTTATGATTACGTAGTTAAGACCAGTGTAATCTACCCAGAAAAGCATGGGGTTAAGGGCATACGAGAGGAGCAAAGAGGGATCGATAGAATCGAGCCGTTGGTTTAGCTGGAAAAAGAAGAGTGGTAGAGAAGTTGCCCTGGTCAGACATGGTTGACATGCTTAACGGAGCAGTTCCCCGGCAGGACGGTAGGATCGAATATGTATACTAACAGTTATACCAAACTGAGAGATTTAAGACAGTAGAAAATATGTTCGTAACCATAACTTGCAAATCGGACACATCTCTGAAGCTTGAATAAATGTTACCGCCAGGTGTTATGGTTGATGTATTCCGAAATGGTGTGTCACTGGTAGGGCTCTCCATGGATACGCGGATATGAATATATCCATGGATATATCCATGGATCTTACGGATATGAATACGTTTCCTCTTCATGGATAATATCCATGGATATATCCGAAGCTTTGAGATTTCGCGGATATGGATACGGATTTGCGTGCAATATCCATGAGTATTCATGGATAGAGTCACGTGTAATAGTAAAATTATTATTCCGCTCCGAGACATGATTTTATGAATAAACTTCTAGGCTGCTTCTTCAGCTTCAAAATCTACCGGCATAATGGACGAATTTATACGCCCCCATCGAGAGAATACGCGCCAGCCAGGCTTTTGGAAGCTTGCTGTCGGAATATCAATCTCATGATTCGGCGCTTCTGCACCCCGGTGCAGAAGCAAGCACGTACGTACGGGAGCGGGATAACGTTATCCCTAGCGCCCGTACGGCAACCTCGTATATAGCTACCATGACACCCCGGGGCCCCCTACTTTCTCTGAGTTAGGCTTTATAATATCGAATATCATATATATACAGCTTCACCCTTGACAGGCTTGTCGGACTAGCCTTGCTACCGTCTATGCTTCGTGAAATGGACCGTAGTTAAACCGACACTGATCAGTGAGGCCCACAGATCAAGACCCTATTCTTATTACCCCGATACCCCTATATTGAGCCGTTCAGTCGACCTCAATTCATACCTATCTCCAACGCTCCGAACCACGCGCTGGAAACCCTGACAAGATGCCTCCAACTACAGATTACTCGAAAAGCTTCAATCCGACAGACAAGGACGCAAAAACCATTGAGAAGTGTATAATAGCCCGAATCGAGGACTACATCGACTTGTATGATGAAGATCTATGGAATACATTTCGCAAAGACTTCTCAACATGGACCGAAGGAGCTTTTAGAATTGCGCCTCTAAAGACTCTTATCAACCTACATGACACCCTGCGAACAAATGGCGTATACATAGCGAAAGGACAATAACATGCAGCTACTACACTATCCGAGACAATTGCCGAATCAGAGCAGCATAAATGGACTAAAAGCAAAGTTATATACTATATATAATGCTGTGGAACATTCAGCTCACCAAATATTGAGCTCACATATGGACCTGCGATTCGAAGGCTCCAAGCTATGACCCCTAAGGCACCTCAACAAGCTGTCCACTCTAAACCACAAGCAACAATTATACCATACGGAATGACACTATGATCTCAGCGTAATGAGGAGAGAGACACAACACTGACCCTAATCACACAATTGGTGCAGCAACAGTATAATCTAACAACCCCTACCACAACTACGTTATATAAGCAGGCTGTACCGGCTACGACGCATAGCCACCAGACCATCCATACAAACTATACCACGCAAGACACCTCGTACTACGGGGTGAATATTAGTTAGCTACAAAAGGCTTATTCAGAAGATCTCCGCTATGGCAATAATAAGGACACATTCAACTATTTGTATTAATATTTCTTAGAAATATGCGGTCATATGGGAATCCACACCTAAGATGCACAAAGAAAGGCGTTTTTCGTGATACTTAAAGGAGAAGCCCTTCGGTACTACTTTGACAATAAGGACGAATGGGTCCGGCGAGGAATCAACCCTATATCTGCTGTGAAAAGCTACTTTGAGACTAAGGAGCACCTCCGATTCGTACAGAGTCAATGGGATGCTATGAATCTAGCCAGTACTATGAGTAAGAACCCTGATAAGCCAATTCTAGAATGCCTTGAAATTATGCTTTAGGACCTACAAAGACTCTATAGCAAGATTTGTCTGGAGCTATGAAACGACGTCTATTACTATTCAAAGCTTGTATCAGCAACCCATCTCGTCCCTGCGTGCCACGCCATAACTGGAAAATCTTCACCAAATATCTCCAGCCTTATACAGGATCTATGATCAAGTATAAGCTAATAGGAAGACTTAAAACAAGCAGCAGCGCAATATCCTATAGATTTATACTATACAGATCGCCGCTACTACAGCCGACAGTCATGTTCGCCACACAGAAGACATTCACCATACAGATGAAGCTACTCACAAGGAAGGAGCAATCTACGCTACCCTAGCCGTTTACTATGTCGCTACCAAAGCGAAGCACCAAAAACCTACTATGTATGCCATAAACCAGACTGCTGGTCAACTAATTATACAGAAGAGGAACAACAAGCTGCTAGACACCTATATGAGGCTGCAATAGACAAATTTATCATGGAATTTAAAGGACAGCCTCCAACGCTAGGGAAACGCTTCGAATTGTACTTGGCTGAGATCGATGAACCGAGCCAGTACGACCTCCCAGACCATACGAAAAGCGAGCTAACTATGGCAACAGGATACTTCACAGTTGCCACTATGGATTATGCCAAATTCTCACCTTCGCTAGTAAGTGAACTCGCTAATCGTTCTGCAGCTCACTATCTTAGCTGCTTGCTAGGCAATAATCAAGAATGTACAGCCAAGCTCACCCCTAGCAACGAAGATGACACCAACGTATAGATTATACCAAGCTCTCATCATCTTACTATATCTGAATATGCGTTTCTTGCAGAAGATTAATATTTATCAAACACATTTATAGGGCTACTTATTAATACTGGCGCTGCAGCATTCTCAATGACTAGATACGCTCAATATCTCGCATTTTAGAAAGTTGTCAAGAATTGTACGATGAACACGTCAACTGCTAGATCTGTAACTATATGATTCAGCGCTGGTAACACGCTACAATCTCTAGGTTCGATTGATATAGAGACCCCGGTTGGCAACGTACAATTCTATATTATTAAGGCCATGACACTGTTCCTATTCTCTATCAAAGATCTCGACCGCCTCAAGGTTTACTATGATAATATAAAGGATCTCCTTATCTGCAGCGAACCGTACCTAACCGCGCCAATTGTACGCCAATTCGGCCATCCTTTCCTTATTTAGGACTATTCACTAGCAATGTATATCTCACAATCCTTTGACGATGAGCAATGCTTCCTTACAGATATGGAACTATGTCAATTACATTGCCGCTTTGGACATCCTTCTGTCGGACAACTATATAAAACCCTACAACGCGCAGGCTATGATATGCACCCTGAAGCAATAAAAGAGATTAACAAATTCTATCACCATTACCAAACCCATGGTAGATTGCTAGGCTGTTTCCGCTTCACCCTACAGGATAATATTGAATTTAATCATTTAATCATTGTGGATATTATGTATATCAATAGCAAGCCTGTACTTCATATTGTGGACGAAGCAATGTATTTCAATGCTGCATGTTGGCTTACAAGTATATCCATAAAAGTGACATGGGACGCGCTATAAATGTTATGGATTAATATGTATCTTGGACTCCTAGATTTCATCATTACTGACGCAGAAAAGAACTTTGTAAGCAAAGAATTCACACAACTCGCCTCATCCATTAGTATGATGACGGTCAGCGTTCCTGTTGAAGTATATTGGTTAATTGGTGCTGTTGAATGTTACCATGCCGTACTATGTTGCTTATATAAGATTATTTTGGAAGAAGTGCTAGAGCTAGCACCCAAATTAGCACTTTAAATGGCTGTTAAAGCTGTCAATAATATCACAGGCCTAGATGGTTACGTGCCCACACTTCTTGTATTTGGAGTGTACCCCTGGATAATGGAATATAGTCCTTCTATACCTACAGTTACTCAATGCGCTGCCGTAGTCAAGAAAGCAATGACTGAAGTACAAAGACTTCATATCGTACGCTAGATCAATGACGTGCTTAACACCCGAAACGGACTGTCGTCTACGCTCATATACCATCTTCCCCTCAATTCGGACGTGCTTGTATAGTGTGAAGGAGGAATTAGATACACTAGCAAATGGAAAGGACTGTACAAACTTATATCAATTGACGAAGAAACATGTATGATTGATCTTCTAAATGGCCCTACAAAGTTCAGATCAACTATTGTCAAACCATATTATAAAGATGATGATCTGAAGTAAGAAAACACTAATAATAATGATAAGGCTGAATCATATAGCGCACCTATGGCACTATTAATAGAACCATTGAATGTACTTCTACCTCCTCTAAAAGTTGCGATCCCACCGTACGAACTAAATCACACTGAATCTCAATCACAATGCCTACAACGCAAACGCCGCTTACCACCTTGATATAAGGATAATCTTACATACTTACAAGAGCTAGATGCCCCAGATCTACACACCATTGCAGAGATATTCACACAACTTCTTGCTCCAGGCACGTACGACGAATCTCGCAAAAAGGAAGTTAATGGACTACTAGAAAGAGGCGTATTTGCAGCAGTCAATTGAGAAGACATCCCGTCAGAGACCCGCATCTATGGCTTTAGATTTGTTGACGAGATCAAGAATAAAGGCACTAACAAAGCCTTCGAGAAATCACGACTCGTCGTCCAAGCGTATAACGACAAGAACAAAGAATTTATACTTACACAGTCACCTATGATTCAGCGCTCTAGTCAACATTTGATTCTCTATATCAGAGCAAGCAAGGACAACATACAATTTTGGATTCGAGATGTCACGCAGGCTTATATTCAGTTAACAACGCACCTCAATCATAATTTCTATATTTGAATTCCCTCCAATTTGCAACACTTTTTCCCTGGATGCGAATTCTTGAAGGTTGAATGACTATTATATGGAATCCCTGAAGCAGGCAATCACTGGTTCCGTACATATCATGAACACCACGTGAAGTAGCTAGCCATGGAGACCTCAACCTATGATCCATGCCTCCTTCACTGCCGCGATCCAAAGCAAGGATTCAGCATCATTGGAATGCAAACAGATGATACGCTCATTGTCGCTGACGAAGCCTTTGCCGTACAAGAGGAAGAGCAAATTAAACGTGCAGATATCCTTTGTAAGCCACGTGAACAGCTTATAACCAGCAAACCACTACAATTCAATGGTGCAGTAATTATAGAAGATGCCCAGGGTATTACTCTTACCCAAGAACGCACCTACAAGAATATCCAACTCGTACAAGATCACCCTTCGGATACAGTCAACTCCCATAGCAAGATTCATAAGAATACATCTCCGTATAAGCAGTACATTGCTCAACGAGCTCTTGGTGCATATATTGCTTCTGTATCCCAACCTAAAGCTTCGTTTGATCTCTCTTTTACAGCACAAGCCACATAACTAGATAAAAAGGATATAAAAGCGCTCAACAAACGACTTAAATAGCAGGCTGACAACCCCAACCGCGGACTACGATTCGTCAAGATTGATCTATGGACCGCAAAATTGTACGCATTCATTGATACTTTATTCGCCAACAATAAGGACTCGTCTTCACAAATTGGCTATATTATTGTACTTGCTAACACTCAAAATAACGCGAATATCCTCCACTGGTCCTCTACAAAGTGTAAGAGGATTACCCAAAGCGTACTTACTTCGGAGATGTACGGTATGGCCAATGGATTCAATGCGGCTGCAGCAATCAAATCAACTCTCACCCAACTGCTGCATCTTTTAGAGCCGCTCCCACTAGTCCTTTGCACTGATTTGAAGAGCCTTTACGAATGCCTCGTCAAGCTGGGTACGACACGTGAAAAACACCTTATGATCGATCTCATGTGCCTCCGTCAATCGTACGAACGTCAAGAGATCACGGAAGTGAGATGGATCAACAGTAACAGCAATCCTGCGGACGCCATGACAAAGAGCAAGCCCTGCCGCGCTCTACAAGAACTTATTAATACAAACAAGCTACGTATCGACGTTAACAGATGGGTAGAAAGGCCGTTAACGAAGCGCAACTCTGAGTCAAAGAACATACGATTTGCAACACCTATTACTACACCGGCTCCATAGATTGTCATTCCTTACCCCAGTCCGCACCCGTTACTTTTACTTCATTCTTTTGATTTTTCCTTTACCACACCAGATTGTATATCATTCATTGATATTCCTTCTTTTCCATTCCTTTAGAGAGTTGCCAGTGTCGGAATATCAATCTCATGATTCGGCGCTTCTGCACCCTGGTGCAGAAGCAAGCACGTACGTACGGGAGCGGGATAACGTTATCCCTAGCGCCCGTACGGCAACCTCGTATATAGCTACCATGACACCCCGGGGCCCCCTACTTTCTCTGAGTTAGGCTTTATAATATCGAATATCATATATATACAGCTTCACCCTTGACAGGCTTGTCGGACTAGCCTTGCTACCGTCTATGCTTCGTGATACGGACCGTAGTTAAACCGACACTTGCAAATGGTGGTAGTGATGATGAAGCTGGTCTTGAAGATCAGATTGAAAGCCAGGCTGCCGAAGCTCTGGATACTCTCGAATACGCTGCATCACAAAGTAGCTCTCTTACTCCGAATGATTCAGCTTCACAAATACAGTCATCAACTTTAATGAATCCTTTTCTTGAGCCTCCAACGCCAAAGAGACAGCGAAAAGAAACCTCATAGGTCTATAACCATTTTCAACAAACATTACTACAAGGAAAGACCTTCTTTGATAAACAGACTGGAAAAATAAAAGCAGACATACAGTATTCTTGTCTACATTGTACGGCTCTAGAGGAATGGACTACTCTTAAGTCAGTTACCAAGGGCTCAACTAGCAACTTGCAGAAGCATCTAGGGCAGAAGCATAGTATCTATAAAGATCGGGACACTTCTTTAGGTAACTATTTCTACTAGTATTCATTATATATATATTAATATGTATAGCTATTACGTCCTCTCAGAGTTCAATGCTTTCCTATGTTAGAGCTCAGCCCTTACAATCTCCACAAGAACTTCTCGATCAAAATATTTTCAACTGGGCTATCGGAACAATGCAGCCATTTTCAACATTTGATGACCCTCTTTTCAGGCAGATCTGGAGCGACCTTCCAGGATATTCTTGCAAATATGGATCTTTGAATTCATTTTCCCGCCGTGTTGACAAAGAATTTGCTAAGGCTCGGATACAACTAAAGAATAAGCTTAGAAAAATAGAGAATTGTAATGCTATTGCACTCTCTCTTGATGGATGGAAGAGTGCAAATGGCTACAAGATCTTTGCAATTATTGGTCATTGGATTACAGTAGACTTTCAGCCTCGGCATAGAATTCTTGACTTCCAAGAGATAGAAGGCCCTGATACTGGAGAGAATCTAGCATCTATTGTCTATAAGGTTCTATGCGAACTAGACATTAGAGCTAAGCTTCTTTCTATTACTGGTAATAACGCAAGCAATAACTTAGCAATGGCTGAAATTCTCCATGATTTGCTCAAAGCTGATTATAAAACAGGCGATACTCAGCAAGCAATAAGATATCAGGAAGAAGGTAGCTTTATTCGCTGTCTTGCACATATTCTAAATCTTATTGTTAAAGAATTTCTTACTGTTCTAAAAGCTACTGATATTACAGGAGACTTTCAGATCATTGAAGATTTAGAGAATAATCTATCTCTTATACAATCACAAAGTGCTTTCTCTCGCATACGCATTCTAAGTTTATACATCTCTTCAACCACAGAGCGAAAGAGAGAGTGGCAGAATCTATGCCAGATAAAAGGGATGGATTCAAAGCTTATTCAGTATGATGTTACTACTCGCTGGAATTCCTCTTATCGCATGCTTAATGATGCTTGGAATGTATGAGCCTTAACAATCTTGAAAAAAAAAAATACAGCTAACTTTTAATAGGCTGCTCCTCAGATTCAGGAATATCTTAAGATGAATTATATCTTACCTCCTTTTACTGACCAAGACTGGAATCAGCTTGGACAAATCTGGATAGTCCTTGCAGAGTTTGATAGATATACACTAGAGCTCTCTACTGATATTCCATAAATCAGTCAGTCTTTGGCTATCTACTATCAGCTCTTTGATCTTCTTCAAGAAGTCCAGGATAGGGAGGGAAAATTCAAGGACTTTGACGCAGATATCGCTAATGCAGCTAAAAGTGCCATGACGAAATACGACAAGTACTATACTCTTATGAATGATTTATGCGATATTCTCTATATTACAATGCTTTTAGATCCTTGGTTTAAGAAACTTGTTCTTGAGCATGAGCTACAGGATGAAGCTAAGGATATTATTACTGCTATGCAAGAGCAGCTTGAGATCCAGTATCCTATACCTTATAAGCTGGAACTTCCTACAGCTTCAGAAGAGCCAGGACCATCAGCTGCGTTGGAAAATCCGCATAAGACCATAGTATTGGAGATGATGAGTAAGATCAAGGCAAAGTCACAAAAGTCTGCAGAAAAGTCCTCTGATATTGCACGATATCTCAATTCTGACGTTGTGGAATTTGACGACAAGAAGAGAGATTGGATCTACACATGGTGGAGAGGTCATATAGATGAATATCCACGCATGGCAGCAGCTGCACGGGATTACTTAGCTGTTCCAGCAGCAGAGGTTAATGTTGAGAGAGTATTTAACACTGGACGGGATCTTCTTGGCTTACGGAGGTGGTCTTTGAGCAGTGGAACTATGAGGAAGCTCCTTATACTGAAAGATTCACTTGGTAAATAATACTAACACATATCCATGGATATATCCATGGATCCATGGATATCATGGATATGAATATGAATAGTGGATTTTTTCATGGATAGTATCCGCGGATATATCCGTGCTCTTAAAATTTAACGGATATGGATATGGATATGCAAAATTTTCATGGATCTTATCCATGGAGAGCCCTATGTGTCAGCCATTTAATGATGTCAATTGCTGCACGCGATGTGATAATTGTCTGTTGGAACGCAATATGCTATCCCTAATTGGGAATCCATCACAATACTAACATGAAGAAATTTCAAGAACTAGATTCACATACTGACGAAGATATGGACATCCAATCAGCTTTATATGTCTATGTCTAGAAGGTTCGACTGGACGTCATCTCATGATCTAGTTTGTACAGGACCTCACATATAAAAGAGGTCAACATTCCTGACAAGTTTTGTATTAGGGAGTGTGCATCAATACATAGAAATTCTCAACTCTAAGTTCTTATTATTTGCCTATATTCCATATTCATCCTAGCGTAACCGAGCTCCAACATTGTCGCGCGACCACGTGACCAAGCTTTTACCCTCGTCCCGTAACCCTATCTCGGAACAACATTCCTCCGGCTCCGTTGCTTCAGGAATATCAAATCGAACCTGCTTCTGAATAACGTCCTGCTCGGCCGTCACACAGACACCTTGTAGTGTAGGAACTAGAGAGTGTAGATACTCGCAACTAGTGCAAAGACACGAACGAATTATTTGTTTAGACACCCAGATGTAAAGACACAGCAGTAGTGGAAAGGCACACGGTTGGTGTAAATCCACTAAGCTGTGAGAACACATTGGTGCTAACACAATTGAATGTGATTGCACTATAATGTGGATACATAAATATGTTAACACACTCGTGTCAGCGTGCTACACCCGTGAATCTCCCTCCGGCGCGGATCAACTATGTTCCGAGAGTCATGTGACCTCCGTAAAGGGGTCAGCACAGCTGTAGTTAGCTTAGATTACCAATAACAACAACCAGCACATTAACAACTCGTATGTGATCACATGACTATGTGGAGACACAAAAGTGCTCGGGCACAAAATCTGTGCAGGAGCAATGAAAATCTGTAGAAACACCATGCAGTGGGAGCACGGGGATAGTGTGGATGCTCTGAAATAGTGTCAATACACACAGGTTATCGAATTCGAATGGTGCCGCTAGCCTCCTCGACCTACTATACTTTCCAGAGATTCCTCGATTCCAGCTCTCCCACTCTCGTATTTCCTTCTCAGTCTTTTCCAACAAGCTTCTCTGCTTTTGACCTTCTAGCTCTAGTGCGTTGACTTTTGTCTTAAGTTCGTCAATGTACTCTTCCAACGACTCGGTGGATCTACCGCTTGTTGCTATACGCTGAGCCAGTTTTTGTGCGACATCGACCATGAATTCCCCTCCCGCGGAGACGACCGTTTCAAGACTCTCAGTAGGGATTGAGATGAAATTTAAAGCAACATATTGGGCAAGCAATTTTTGCGCTGGGTCATCAAATTGTGTAGACTTTGGAGTTGATTCATAGACCAAATGGATTGCATCTGCCAGGCGCGAATAAAAAGGACCCCTCGAAGTATTGTTCGTAAGAAGAACTTGTGTCAGGCGTTGTAAAGCCAGTACTTCAAGTCGCGATATCAAGAATCTATGCGCAAAGCAATATGTCTTAGCATGCATGAAAACAGCATCACCAAGGAGCTCATCACAATCATGAAACTCTGTCTGGGCAAAGGTGGCTGCAGCGGTTTGCATAGTCTCAGCAGGTAAGCCGACTGGAATACACCGGCTCATGGGAGTTAGTGGTCGTTCTTCGTATGATTTACTGTTCATCGCGGTGTCTGGCACAGGCGACTCTATTTTGGTAGAAGCCGTGAGGTCGTCATCATGATCTAAAGTCCCTGTGAGCCCAGGCAGTCAATTATATTCATTGCAACTGCATGAGCCCTACCTTTCCCGTTATTTTCATGCCTATGTTCACCATTCACAGTGTCAGCTGCTCCTAGCACCTCATAATCATCGGTATACAGCCAGAATAGGGAGCATTCGATAATCTGCTCATCGAAATCTGTCTAGTCGAAGGGTGTGTAAACTTCGAAAGGCACTCTATGGCCTGAAGCAAGCACCCCGCATCTGGTACCAGACCCTGACAAACTTCTTACGCAACCTAGGGTTTGAGCCCATCAATGCTGATCTTGGAATTTTCGTGCGGAGCAACGTATACATAGCGGTATACGTTGACGATCTTTTGATCATTGGACCAAGTATCGCAGAAATCAAGAAGATCAAGCGGAGCCTCCGAAATCGTTTTCACATGACAGATTTAGGACCGTGTAGCTATTACCTTGGCATGTCCATCCCCCTGTCCTGGAATGTTCGGTCGCATAATACCAAACAGTGCCGTGACCGAATCTTGCTGTACATTACACGTATTAGGCTATCTAGGCAGACACTGAACGTCTCTTATCTGTCTAATGTAGCAGAACATTATCAACGTTTAGAATACTCATAACAATTGCACTCGAAGCATGGCACCGAGACTAGCCCTGTCGACAACTCGAACCTATCCGTGATATGATAATTAGCGGTGAGTCATTCACTGCATCTCAGATAGCGGAGGCTGCTGGCTGCAGTGAGCGGTTCATCAAAAATATCCGGTCTAATATGCGACTTGAGCAGTGTCAGAGCACCTCCAAATGACGTCGGCCGCCGACTGAGCATCACACCACTGATGTTAAAGGTTCTTTGCAACCATCTACTTGAAAAGCCAGGCTTATACCTAATGAGATGGTGGGTTTTCTATGGGATGAGTTCCGCGTGCTCACAACGCCCTCCACCATCAGCAGGACTCTTGCTTCTATTGGTTGGTCGAAAAAGATGATTCAGAAAAAAGCAAGAGAGCAAAATGCAGATTTGCGAGATTTCCTATCTCTATAACTTGTCTGAGTACCGTCCATATCACTTAGTCTACGTTGATGAGTCGGGATGTGATAAACGGATAGAATCTAGGCGAACAGGGTGGTCTCCTATTGGCGTGGCACCAGTCCAAGTTGCTAGATTCCATCGTGATCAACGATATCAAATTTTGCCTGCCTATGCGCACGACAACTTCTCACGAGAGCAAAGCCGAGTATCTCAGGGGCCAGGACCCTTACTGGCCTTTATAGTCTATAGTTCTCTTTCTTTTTCTTTCTTTTCTTCATGCTTTAGTATTTTCGTGCAAATAGGATTGATTCATTCTTATTACTTGACCAGTTGTCACAGCTTTAATCAGAACCACCTGTCAGCCTGTGGTTTTTTCAAAGCTAATCCATCCCACGCCAGTTTGATCGAATAGTGAGATGTCCGGTACTTCTGTGCAGGACTTTCCACTTTCAAAAAATAGTCCTGTTTGATCCTAACAATGAGCTATATCAACATTCACATGGATGTCTAATTCATCTTGCAGGAGGGGTTGACCTCATGACCATCCGACGTGATGCACAACGAGCAGTTCTTATCATTCAATGGTATTCGTCCTAATTACCATATTTCTTAACAATATCCAGAATTGCCTCATTAACCTCCCGTGGACTAGTCGCATTCAGGTAATGACCGCCACCTTGCACCATCGTCAATTTAGCTTCCTTGGACGAGGTAAAAAGTTTGATCTGCTCAACGGGCAGAGTCATGCCGAAAGGGGTGTCTTCGGTGCCCTATTGCAGAGGGGATGGTCAGTCAATAGTATGCACAAGTCATGGTGGGACAAACTGACCTGCAACCAATACACAGGACACTTAATATCTTGTAGCCGATGTAACAGCCCATCCCTAGATAACAGGTTTATCGAAGCCATTCGAACCTTTTTGCGTCCCTCATCACCAGTGTATGTGCGCTTCAACGTTTCGTTCCAGAAATCAATGGTTTCAGCCGAGACTGTACCGCTGAAGCCCAAACTAGCCACCATGCCGCACCAGATATCATCAACGATGAATTCCGGAGTTTCCGTCTTGCTTGTCCATTTCTCTACGAACGGCTTTATAATGGCTGTGGGCTCCCAGGCACCTTGATCGCGTGATTCGGCCGATTCGTAATCCATCGATGTACCTAGAGGTAGAAGACCCAGAATCTTTCAAACCCAATCAGAATGAACTTGACGATCAAGGTGATAAAACATTTATTTATAGGAATAGCAGCAAACATACTTTCTCGGGCATCAACAACGCCATGCGAACAACAATCCAGCCGCCTTGGCTGGTTCCGAGCGCAAAAGCTTTCTTGATGCCGAGCTTATCCATCACTTGTAGGGCCATTATCGCCGAATCCCAATACGTAAAATGCTCAGTCGGCGAGCTTGTCGAGCCATGACCTAGAGGCTCAATGGCTAAGAGATTTACCGCGTCGGTCAAATTCTTATCTTCAAATTGGTTTCGGTAAAGCGCAACTGTAGTACACATTGAATTTATCAAGACCACTGTTGGCTTTGATGAATCATATCCGTTGCCTGACAAGACATAACCGGCTTTGATGCCCCCCAAATGGGGGACGTCAATTGTCGAACTGGAAACCATTGCTTCTATTCCTAGTTGTGCTGGAGGTATTCTTCAGGAGAACAAAGCAAGACCAATGACAGGCCTCTATACTGCAATTATTGACTAGAGAAGTTTATAGGGGATGACATCCAAAGACGTTTATAAGATTTCGGGGGTTGAGTGCCAAGTTTCCGCCCCTCGCCATAGACTCCACTTGATACATAGGTGCCTTTTAAGACTATACAAGAAAGCGCATAATTGGTTGGTTAATGCTAAATAGGTCCGCTAAACCGTGTAGATGTCCGCATGTCGGTTTCAAAGGGTTTTGGAACAAGGCACCGTGCCACAGCAACATTTATAGTTGCTACTATTTCCACGTAGTCAAGCCAATAAACGGCATCCAATGTCATCCATACATTCTAGTTTTTTACATTGTCCATATGCCGCTTAGCCTCCGTCAAGATCGGCTTAGTACAATACAAGTTGCGGGTCAGTCTCCGAGTAGCACCTGGAGACTGGACGTTCTCTTATCCCCTAGTTTGGGAACTAGTGTAGCGCTAGTGTACGCTAATGCCCCTTAGTACGGTTTTTGACAAGTCCCTGATTGCTCATTGGCCGCATTGTCAGTGTGGGCCACAAAAATGGGTTCCTATTGGTCAGATCTGCGGCAAAGGCCTAGGGTCAAAAACCGGCAGAATATCCCAGGGCATGGAATTCAGCAAGGACGGTGAGAGCTCCTAAAGGCGGTGATGCCAGTTTAGCCAATTAGATATCTTGGATTTCTTAGCGTACACTAGCGCTACACTAGCTCCCAAACTAGGGGATACTACGGAATCCCATCAACCTCTGAATACTTCACCAAGGGTGATTATCTAGCGATGATGGCACTAACAGGAAGCTCACTCTTTACAGCAGCATATCAGTGTATGCTCATTCATATGCGTATTCTAAACTCTCCACACATCCCCCTCAGATATCGATGTTAGAACATAATTTGACCACCCCTTTTAAGTGAAGCATTGGCCGCGGGGCTGGCAGGTGAAACATATTGCGTTTAGTGATCGTCACGACATATCAACTGGGAATAACGCATTTTAAGGAACGTTGTGAAATGGCTGTGCTTAACTTTTGGATTGTCGGTCTGTGAGTGGAGAACCATTCCGGGGGTTTACGTAGTCGTACGGTGTACCTAGTGTACCGAAAAGTCCTCATTTCTTCCGGCACGTCAACTTGAGGGAATTTGAATGCTTAGAGCCTAAAATCAATAGTCCGCAATAGTCCGCCGTTAAATAACTCAAAACGGGTCACTACCCGTCGCGTCGCCTCCCCCACCCTGCGGTTGGGAGTCGGCCGGGGCTCAAGGGCCAAAAAATATGAAGTCTCGTGTAAAATGTTTACCAGTCCACCAACGCCATATAAATTATATATAAAAACTAGACAGACAGTAAATACAAGCATAGTTTACCTACGTCCCTGAGTATCAAAGAAAAAACCGTAGTTTTGAGGCTCTGTTGGAGCCTCTTCTTCCTCCGGTTGTAGCACTCCAAGAACATGGCTCTTATGAATCCTCAATAAATCACCATCGTGACGGCGTTTTATGAGGCGATTCGCATCTTTTACATAAAGCGCACCGCTCGCTTTGACATGGCGCCTTGTAGATTTTTGATTCTTGCGTTCTGCAGTCTCACGAACCTTGGCAAAGCTCTCACGGTGTAGATTGCCCAATTCGGCTAAAGTGAGGCTTCCTTGATTCACCGTTTTTATACGTTTTGAAAGGCCTGGGCTTGCTCCGTCCAAAATATCCTTTATACTGTCAATCGACTTCTCAATCTTATTGATATAACGACGTAGTTTTATGACGGTTGACGGTGGAGAGATTGATTTTGTAGTTGGTGAGCTGGGAATAGTGTCATACGCCTCGCCATAAATTTTTAGTGTATCCCCCTCAGCAACCATTGCTTCAAATGCTTCTTCTGGTGAAGACATTTTATCGAGTATAAGCTGAGGATTCAATGGCCAAATGCCTCGCTCTCTCCAACCGTTGCGAATCGTCCTCGTTGTAAAAGTTTTTATCCGAATATCGCGTAATTCTTCAAAAAAGTCGTTTTTGTCAAAATCGAAGCCACCTAAGCGCGCAACTTTGTTCACAACCCTCCCATGAACGTGTTTATATTGCTAAACGGTACTCCATCGAGCGGTTGTAAAAAATGCGTGGAATGAGGAGGAAAACGGAACGGTTGAATGTGCCAGATGTGACAGTATTCAACGAACTGCATAGTAAGGTGAGTTGTATGATTATCCATAAGAAGTAACCGCCATTCTAGTAATCCCTATTCTGGCTTTGAATAGTGTTGAAAATGTTGAAGCCATTCAAAAGTGATCTCATCCGTTATAAATCCATTTTCAGCAGGTGCAACAAGCCATTCGTCATCTTGCAAATGCCGATACCATTCCTCCAAATGGACCTTGCCTTTTGGAATTAACAAAGGTGGTATAATCTTTCCTTTGGCGCTTACACCCTCAACGATAGTAATTGATTCTCGGGAGGACAGGCTAGAGACTCTTTTTGACGTTTTTGGGAACGCTGTTACTACCGCTTCATCTTTTCCTTATCCGACAATGAATCCGGTCTCGTCGAAGTTTCAAAGATTCCGAGGTTGAATTTTGAGATGTTTTATCATGAATTTGAGGTCAATAAACCATTGCTCTGAAGCGGTACGTTCCTTTTCTTGAGGCTTTTGAACAATTCTCACGTATTTTTCTGGTAAGCGACCGACAAAATTGTATACCCATGTTTTTCCAGCCCGGGGGGGCTCTCCCGGACCAGTGAAATCTTTGGCAAGCAAATAATTCGCACTTTCCTCAATTTGCTGGTTCGTTGGAGGCGTACCCATGTAATCTAGATACTCAAGCCATAGAAAAAGCGCTTTTTCTTGATCCAAAGACAATAGGCGGTTGTTTGGTGGGCGTGTTGAGCGAGAGGGTAGGCCATGCCACCGTCGGGACAGTTTTTTACAAGACACTCCATACTCACGCGCCAATTTGCTAAAATTCGGGGGTTTTTCTTTGGTGTTCGCACGCGCTAAGGCTTTTGCAATCAATGCCTCCTCTTCTTTGTATAACTTAGGGGTCATTTTGGCTGTGTTTTTGATGTTTGTAAATGGCGGGTTGAGATTTTGAAGATTTTGGCCCTTGAGCCCCGGCCGACTCCCAACCGCAGGGTGGGGGAGGCGACGCGACGGGTAACCCTTTTTCTGAGACATCAACGGCCAGTAATCTAAGGTCAGCCGTCCTTAAGCTATCAGGTTCTACGGAACTACCCCGTACATCGACATAGTTTTCCCAGAAAGCCGAGAAAACGTGTAGCTGTCAAAGCAAAAACCGAAAGGGCAATTCAAGCTCGGCAGAGCAAATACGAAGGTCTGGGTCGTTCTGTCGCAATAATACAGCTCGTGTTTCTGTCTGGTCTGTCTGATGGAGATATGCCGATCTTGCCGCGTCAAATTTTCCACGTAATTGACATGTAGAAGGCCCACCCACCCTGTGCCACCGTTGAAATATTACAAAATATGACTTTTTCTCTCCTTGTAGAACAATCGTCATATCATCGCATGTCTGTCTGTGTTTGTTGTTGTCTTCTTTTCTTCATGAATTTGTATATATCGCCACTATGAGTAGTCACGGTCCAGATGACCTACAGCCATGGTCAATTGCAGTGACGGCCTCTATGACTTCTCTTGCATTTATTTGTGTCTGCTTGCGTCTGTTGTCTCGATATGAGCGCAAACAGGCTCTCTGGTGGGACGATTATATGATCGTTTTCTCCATGGTATGCGTGCTGTGCACACACTCTATCATATACAAGTGTCAACTAACGACTACGAAAAGGTATGGAACCTCATAGTGGTGGTATTTATTTGTCTGATGATTCATGCTGGCATGGGTCTCCACGTTGCAGAGGTTGGTGTTGAGGGTGCCGTATTGATGGCCAAATATCTCGTTGCGGCCGAGGTTCTCTACGTGTACAACCTGGTCTGGACCAAGCTATCCTTTTTATTGATGTACTACCGGATTTTCCACTTCCCCTATTTCAAGCGATGGGCCTACATCATTGGCGGGTTCGTCATTATCTGGGTTATCACCGTCACTTTCTTGTTTATTTTCATCTGTGTGCCAGTCCAGAAGCTGTGGTATCCTGACTTACCGGGTCATTGCATCAACCAAATCGGCACTTGGATCGCCAACGCTTCATCGACGATTGCCACCGACTTGGTGATTTTGATTTTACCGATACCCCAGATTTGGAAATTGCAGTTGGGTAAAGTGGAAAAGGTCGCGTTGACTTTGACATTTTGCCTCGGGTTTTTGTAAGTCTTCTTCCTCCAAATCTTTTTAATACTAACGCAAGATCATGAATAGCGTCGTTTTTGCTTCTGTCTACCGCTTCACAGTCCTGTTTTCCTACAGCGCTAAAGATCCGACTTACACGCTCGCTCACACAGTCGGCTGGACGGTAATTGAAATGTCCGCAGGAATCATGTCAGCATGTCTACCGACGATGCGACCTGCACTTATGTTCCTGGCTCGCTCGATCGGGATCAGGCATCTTGTATCGCCCTGGGGCTCTCGCAACACCACGGCCGGACTCACGGAGAACCAGGGCACTAGACCACTCGACAGCAGCAACAACCACCTACGGAAAGACAGCCAGCGCGCCTTCACACGCATTCCCGATGATAAGCTGGGCGATAGGGATGATTGGACTCCGGTCTCCGCAGATGCGTCGCTGAGACCTGATAAATGCGCGGCGATGGTCACCAGGGCGATGGGCTCGAGAGGCGATGAGGAGAGCTTGGAGGGTGATGAGGTTCCGTTGCACAATATTAGAATACAGACTGACTTCAAGCGGACGGACAAATGAATGGCTGTGGGTGTATGTCGGTGACCTGACCCATACGGGATAGCATTGATACCATGATTTGTCAATCCCTTGTGGAATCTCGTCTCATGGGGGGTAGTGCAGCTACAACGATCTGTCCATTGCACGAGGGCTGCCGTCTCATATGGGCTCCGGTGTGCGGTAACACGCCGATTCAGCCAATTATCACCTATTGGTAACGTCAATCTAGCCTCCTTTTTTTCTAGCCAGAATTCTTATCGCTATCTCAGCTGATTGTAAAAAAGTGTGCACTTTTGTTCATTTCAATTGATCAATCCTTGTTGCGAAGGGACGCTAAACTAAATTTGTGTGCGGAAATTCCGGAGCTTGGCGCTACGCCAGGAGATCTCGAAGTCACGGAGGCAAATTTGTGAATTAGGAGTCGTGCATGGGGATCTGCGGTTTGGGAATATGTTATGGAATGATGAACTGCGTCGGGTCATGATCATAGATTTTCACTGGTCTCAAATTGACCGCCGGCCAACAAGACAGCGGGTTGGATCTTTGAAGAGACCACCCAACCTCAATATACAGACGCACCAGTCTAAACGGCCTCGCCTTCTCTATACATGAGTATATCCGTCGATCATTTTCGTATGATGGGATCGCCAACACGGTTCACTTGACTCTGATGAGCTATGCCGAGAGAAATCTGGCTAGGCGACATAAAATTGATTAGGCTCAGCTCATTAGACAGATCGAGACATTGTTATGTGCATTTCATGATCACGTAAAATACCACATCATTACCATCAAGTATTGTATCAGTGATTGATCTTCACGTGTTCCAGCCATGGTTATATCTTAGAGGCTAATGAATTAGGCCTGCACCGAAGATATGGCGTAGAGGATTGCCTCAGTCTAGGTGACACGAGCACTAGTCCTAGGATAGATTAGTCACAGAAAGTTCGAGAACCATTTAAAGTGGCAAGTATATATATGTTGTCCCTCATATAGTACCGCACGACAACTTCCTTTCTTAGATATAAAGTACAGCACGATGGAAGTAGTTAAAAGTTTAGCAACACAAAAAATACAAGAGCTTTTAGCGCTCTATGGAATTGGTCATCGCAGTGATGAGCCAATACAGGAACACATTAATTATATTGTGAATTATAGTGAGCATGCTAAGAGTGACGTGGCTACAATATTAAGTTTATCTAAGTACATGCAATGCGTGTTAAGGACGGAATTGAAAGGTTCATAGACCCCATTCTACCAATTAATACCTAAACCGCCCAGACGCCTCCTAGTTCGGCAAAAGAATTGCGAGGATCCTACCAACTTTTATCACGCAATTTAAAATGAGGCCTAGATGATTTTAAAGGGCTAACTAGTCCATCAAGGAAAAAGAAAAGAGCAAATAAGAAACCTACCCATCTTGGACCTAGTAAGGTGGATGCAAATTGTAAGGATGTAGCGACAGCAGAAAATACTACTACTCATCAAATAGGCTCTACCAATCGACCTCTGACAGTAACAGCGGATACAGTCACGACAAATACCATGTCCACAGCTAATGATACCACTTGCACATCATTGCCAACCAATTCCTTGGTACTGGGTGCGCAATCGCACCTGCCGACCTTATTAAACCCTGTAAAAGCGGTTGACACTATGATAAGTATATTATAGAATTGTGTGAAGCTCAATAATACTATTAGCAAGTATGGTTGGCAAACTCAGCAAATCTGGTCCACTATAGAAGTCGAAAAAATGCAATTGTACATAGACAATATCGCGCAACATAAATATGAAGAGGCAGTTCGTATTATGAGAGGAGATAATGCGCTTTTAGCACGAAGGGATATGCAAGGCTAATATAATAAGACCGTGTACTAGGACATCATTTCTAAAAGAGCTAAGTTGATCCACCCTGCGATCTTATCTACTCCTAAGGGACCTCTAGATGAGTTTACCATGGCTAAAAAGATTATGACAAAGGTGTTCATGCGAGAAGCAGAGTTCGGAACTAGTGTGGAGAATTAGCAGTGGTATTAGAATCTGTTGGTTTAGCTACGTCCCGTATCACGAAGCGTAGGATATCGTAAGCTAGGGCGATCCAACTGCCCTACGTGGTGAGCCTTGCTATATAGCACGAAATGTAATAATAAAAAAGACTGACCCCCGAAACTAGGGGGGCGGGGTGCCTAGATACATTATATGGTGTTGGTCGCTCTAGCGCACGGAGAATAGTAATCCCGACCAGTTCGCGTACGAATCGACGGCGTGCTACAGCGCCGTATAGTGATTCGTAAGATCGCTATTCAAACACTGGCAGTCTTCTAAGGAGCAGAAATACAGTAAGGAATGACAATAGTTGATGAGGCAAAGGAAATATCAGAAGAATGAAGCAAGAGTAACAGGTGCGAACCGGGGTAAGGAATGACGGCCTATGGAGCCGGTGTAGCGACAGGTGTCGCGAATCGTACGTTCTTTGACTCGGAGGTGCGCTTTGTTGACGGCCTTTCGACCCAACCGTCAACGTCGATGCGTAGCTTGTTCGTATCGATAAGCTCTTGTAAAGCGCGACAGGGCTTGCTCTTGGTCATCGCGTCGGCAGGGTTGCTGTTGCCGTTGATCCATCTCACCTCCGTGATCTCTTGTCGTTCGTACGATTGACGGAGGCACATGAGATCGATCATGAGGCGTTTTTCGCGGGTCGTACCCAACTTGACGAGGCATTCGTAAAGGCTCTTCGAGTCGGTGCAAAGGACTAGCGGGAGCGGCTCCGAAAGATGCAGCAGCTGGGTGAGGGTTGATTTGATTGCTGCGGCCGCATCAAATCCATTGGCCATACCGTACATTTCTGAAGCGAGCACGCTTCGGGTAATCCTCTTACACTTGGTGGAGGACCAATGGAGGATATTCGCATTATTTCGTGCGTCTGCGAGTACGATAACGTGGCCAATTTGGGAAGAAGAGTCCTTGTTATTGGCAAACGAAGCATCAACGAATGCGTACAGTTTTGCAGTCCGTAGATCGATCTTGACGAACCGTAGCCCGCGGGTGGAATTGTCAATCTGCCATTGAAGTCGTTTATTGAGCGCCTTTATATCCTCTTTTCCCGGTTGTGTAGCTTGCGCTGCGAAGGATAGATCGAACGAGGCTTCGGGTTGTGAGACGGAAGCAATATACGCACCAAGGGCTCGTTGGGCAATGTACTGTTCGTGCGGAGATGCGTTTTTGCGAACCTTGCCACGGGAGCTGACCGTATCCGAAGGGTGATCTTGTACGAGCCGAATGTTCTTACAGGTGCGTTCTTGGGTAAGAGTAATACCCTGGGCATTCTCTGTAATTACCGCACCGTTGAATCGTAGCGATTTGCCAGTTGTGAGCTGTTCACGGGGCTTGCAAAGGATATTCGCACGTTTGATTTGCTCTTCTTCTCGTGCGGCAAAGGCTTCGTCAGCGACAATGAGTGTGTCATCCGTTTGCATGCCGATCACACCAAATCCTTGCTCCGGATCACAGCAGTGAAGGAGGCATGGATCGTATGTGGAGGTCTCCATGCCAAGTTGCTTGGTGTGGTGCTTATGGTAGGTGTGAAACCAGTGGTTGCCTGCTTCAGGGATGCCATATAATGGCTGTACGACTTTCAAGAATTCGCAGCCGGGGAAAAAGTGACGCAATTCGGGTGGTATTTGAATATAAAATTCGCGGTTGAGCTTCGTCGTCGACTGTATATAGGCCTGCGTGACGTCGCGGATCCAGAACCATACTCTGTCTTTGCTTATCCCGATACAGAGAATCAGGCGTTGGCTAGAGCGCTGAATCGTAGGTGACTGCGTTAGTACGAATTCTTTGTCCTTGTCGTTATAGGCTTGTACGACGAGCCGCGATTTCTCGAACGCTTTGTTGGTGCCTTTATTCTTGACCTCGTCGACGAACCTGAAGCCGTAGATGCGGGCATCTGGCGGGATATCCTCTCGATTGACGGCCATGAATACGCCTCTTTCCAGTAGTCCGGTAACCTCTTTGCGGCGCGATTCGTCGAACTGGCCGTCGCCAGTGAGCTGTACGAGTTGGGTGAAGATATCCGCGATTTCCTTTAAGCACGTGTTGTCAATCTCTTGCAAGTACGTGAGGTCATCTCGATAACGAGACGGTAAACGGTGCTCGCGTTGAGGACGTGACGGTTGTGCTTTGGCGTTATTAGGCTTGGACGGTGGTGTAGCGACTTGAGGTGTGGGAGTTGGTGCGTTTAACGGTGCCGTAGGTGGTGCTTCCTCTGGAGCTGGCTGCTCGTCATCTTTGTGCTCCGAATCGTCATCTTTGTAGTACGGTTTGACGACAGTTGACCTAAACTTTGTAGGTCCGTTGGGGAGCTCCACGGTGCACGTTTCTCCATCGATTGATATGAGCTTGTACGGTCCTTTCCATTTGCCAGGGTATCCAGTCCCACCTTCACGCCATACAAGCACGTCCGAATTGAGAGGAAGACGGTGCACGAGCGTAGACGACGGTCCATTGCGAGTATTGAGCGCGTTGTTGACTTGGCGTACGGTGTGAAGCCTTCGTACTTCGGTCATTGCTTTTTTGACTGCAGCAGCGCGTTGAACAACCGTGGATGCGGGAGGACTGTAGTCCGTTATTCGGGGGTACGCTCCAAAGACGAGAAGTGTAGGAACGTAGCCATCTGGACCTGCGGTATCGTTGACAGCTTTGACGGCCATTTGAAGCGCCATTTCAGGTGCAAGCTCTGGTACTTCTTCCGAAATGATCTCGTACGAGCGACGTAGTACGGCATGGTAACGTTCAACAACACCAATTGACCAATGTGCTTCGACAGGAACGTTGACCGTAATCGTACTAACAGATGAGGCGAGCTGTGTAAATTCTTTGCTTACGAAATTCTTTCCTGCGTCGGTAACAATAAAATCTGGAGGGCCAAGGTACATGTCGATCCACAACATTTGTAGTGCATCCCATGTCGCTTTTGCGGATATGCTCGTAAGCCAGCATGCAGCGTTAAAACGTGTTGCTTCGTCCACGATATGGAGCACCGGCTTGCCATTGATATACATGATGTCCACAATGATTGAATGGTTGAATTCGACCTCGTCCCGTAGTGTAAAGCGGAAGCGGCCAGGTGATTTCCCGTACGTCTGGCAATGGTGGCAAAATTTGTTGATCCTTTCTATCACTTTGGGATTTGCATCGTAGCCTGCGCGTAATAAGGTTTTGTGTAGTCGTCCGACAGAAGGATGTCCGAATCGGCGGTGTAAACGACGTAGTTCGGCGGCTGTGAGAAAGCATTGGTCTTCGTCAAAGGACTGTATGATGTACGATACAAGGGAGTAATCCCAAATGAGAAAAGGATGGCCGAATCGTTGTACGACTGGTGCGGTCATGTACGGTTCGTCGCGAACAAGGAGATCCTTCGTGTTATCATAATAAACCTTGAGGCGGTCGAGATCCTTGATACAGAGTAGGAAAGGTGTCATGGCTTCGACAATATGGAATCGTACGGTGCCAATTGGGGTCTTTATATCAATTGAACCTAGGGACTGTAACGGTTCACCGGCGCCGAATCTGATGCTTGCTGCTCCGGTGGTTGAGGTATCAATCGTAATATTCTTGGCGACTTTTCGATATGCGAGATACTGGGCGTATCCAGCCGTTGAGATCTCCGCAGCACCAGTATCAATAAGTAGTCCCATAAACGTGTTTGACGAGTATCGGTCCTCTGTGAGAAAGGCATATTCGGGTACGGTTAGATGCTGAAAGATTGATGTGAGCTCGGTATCGTCTTTTTCATTGTAGCCTAGGTCCGTTATACGGTCTTGTTGACTGCCTAGTAGGCATGAGAGATAGTGCGCTGCAGAACGATTAGCGAGCTCGGCTGTGAGTCAGGGTGAGAATTTATTATGATCTGTAGCGGCGATTGTGAAGTATCCTGTTGCTGTGCCTGGCTCAACCTTCTCGCGGTCCGGGAGGTTATATTGGCTGGGTTTGTCAATCTCAGTAAGGTACGATTCGAAGCTTTTGCTGGTGTCCTTTTTGCCTTCTTTTTGTACAATATATTGGTCTATTACAGCTTCGTATGGCTTCCTAGTGGCTCGGCGTTCTTCCTCGGTATGCTCTGTAGACCAGCAGCCCGGCTTCTTACAGACATGGCAAACCTGCGGTGCATGATCTCGGGAGTAGCGGCGCGGTGAGCGACTCGGGTATCGTGAGTTGCTTCGTTCTCGTGAGCGGCCTTGCCCATATGATGAACGACCTCGGTGCGGCGAACGTGACGGCTGGCGGGTGTTGTAGCGGCGGTCCGTAAAGTTGATGCCATGAACGTTGCTCTGTTGTTTACGTTCATACTGTCTCACATTCGATTGGAGGTCCTGAATTAGGCCTGGTACAGTTGGCGCTGGCTTTGCCGTAGCCCAGTCACATGCTGGATGTGTGCTCGTTGCTTCAAGTAGCTTCATGTGCCAGTATGTCTGTGTTTGCAGCTCGTCCGGTAGGCAATAAAATAAATCTTGTAGTTGCACCAGCATTGAATTGAGGCACTCGTACACTGATTTCTCCGGGTTGGCCTGGATCGTACTGGCTAGCGTTGTGGCGGACCATTCAGTTTTTATAGATCGCTGGTGCTCCGGTCCTTCGAAGCGAGCGATAATCTCTTCCGCTGGATCCTTTCCTTGTACGATCCATAGGTCGATGTTGTCCCAGTAGTAGCTAAGGGCTGCGTCCCTGAGCATGTGCGGTAGTGCTTCTCTGTACGATTCGGGGGTGTTGGGCAGTCCGTTCTGACGGCAATAGCCATAGAAGATCTTCAGCTTCCTTTTGAATGAGTCACCAGAGCCTTTATATTTAAGCTCGGATGCACCGTTATAGCTCTTACCGATATTTATAATTGCTTGTACAGCTGTATATTGTGGCTGCGGCCGTAGGCTTTGTGTGTTAATATTCTGTTGCTCCTGCAATTCAGGGATGCCATGTAGCTGGGCTGTTGTTCCTGCGGTTGTACGAGATGCTAGGGCTGGTGTGAATGGGGTCAAAAATCTTGTCGCTTGGTACGGTGTCTCCGGGGCTGCATTTGACGATAGTGCCGGGTCTAAGTCTGACCTTGATCTTGTTACAACTCCGGTATGAGCTCTTTGGTACGGTGTAGGCGTATCCGGGACCGTACGAAGGTGGGATTCCGGTTCGGGGGTCGTTGCAACAATTCTTTGCGGTTGGGTATTGGCAGCGATTACGGACGTGAATCTGGTGTTTATATCTGATGATTCGAAGGTCCTACCCTTTCGGAGGTGTGCAATAACCTCAGTTTCGGTCCACTCATGGGGCTCTCGCTGGGCGGCAGCTGTTGCTACATTTTCGGCAATAAGATAACCTTTCGTATCGTCAACATACACGCCGTTGCTCTTGAGTAAAGTGATAAGCTTGCTGAGCAGTAGAAAAGACGTCTGCCGGAGGTGGTCAAGGCTCCATTTTTCAAAGTCTTGTTTGAATATAGCCCATAGAACCACGTCCTCTGCCTCTTTATACTCCTTCAACTTCCCTTCAACGTATGTGTCACGTTGGGTCCGGTTCTTGCCCTCAGGGTCGAATTCGTTTGGATTCGTATTTGGGGCCATTGTCAGGTTGATATAAGGGGTCGGTTATATCAAGAATTCGATGTACGAATGAACGTCTATCGAAAGGGAAAAGGTTCGGGTTTTTGGCTCAAATCAGGTGTCTGATCTGCGGCCACTGATCAGTGTTGGTTTAGCTACGTCCCGTATCACGAAGCGTAGGATATCGTAAGCTAGGGCGATCCAACTGCCCTACGTGGTGAGCCTTGCTATATAGCACGAAATGTAATAATAAAAAAGACTGACCCCCGAAACTAGGGGGGCGGGGTGCCTAGATACATTATATGGTGTTGGTCGCTCTAGCGCACGGAGAATAGTAATCCCGACCAGTTCGCGTACGAATCGACGGCGTGCTACAGCGCCGTATAGTGATTCGTAAGATCGCTATTCAAACAGAATCTTTGGAAGAAGCTGTCTAAGATGTGTAGGGCGGGTATCAGTAAGATTCTCCTATACTGAACAAACAAATTTGACACTTACTGTGGGTTGGCTTATAAAGCCAATAAAACAATGTACGTACGTCCGTACACGCGCTTCAGGTGGTACTCCAAGTACTATGGTCAATTGTATTCAATCGTCTGTACTGTCTTAATGAGGCCCCGACGCGGTCTATATAGTCCTTGCTTGACGAGGTCACGTGTACCTTCATGTGACCTCTCCTTGGTTCGCGTCGGTGCCAGGAATCTCGATTGCACATATGATTGATTGATTGATTGATTGATTCATACACGCATCTAAGCCTAGTGGCCGGCGGCGCCTTCTAATTGGGCAGCGGGCGTACTACCGTATAAAAGCATAAATCAACGTCAACGTGCCAAGACGCTTCCGGCTTGACGCTGACTTAGTCAACTCCACGCGAAAGTCTCGACACGTATCCGTATCCAGATCCGAAGACCACCAACAACAGATAACGAGCGAACAGAACGCCGAACCAACAAAGGAAATGTGTATATATACAAAATGAGTGAAGGATCTCGGTGCGGGATGACGTGATATTTATGTTTTGGTGCCCGGTTCTATTTCCAAACGTGTCAAGTGGCTGATCCGTCCAAGCCGAATTAACATGGTTACTCTTTATCAGGGTAGTGTCGCACTCACTGTGAGCGCGTGGTTGTTAAGGGGGTTACGTGATGGAACTGCGTCAATAGACCAGTCCGCATCATAAATTCAATACTCTGCCGAACCCACTGAGGTTCGCTAAGGAGCTTCCAATAATCTATTTCGCGTGCTTCTTTCCAGAGAGTCTCCATACGCAGGTTTATATGGGTAGGACACTGTATGAGGACGTGGGCTGTATCCTGATCCCCAAGGCCACATTCGCATTGAGGTAAGTCTTCAATCCGTACACTTGCTAGGAAGCTGCGTAGCGCTGATTTACCTATTTGTAGTTGGATTAACACTGAACTCCAAGCCTATCGTAATCCCTCGTGTAGCTGCAACACCATCTTCGTTGGTGCTTTGATTATCCAATAGAGATGCCGTCCATGGTTGGCATGCTCCCACTGTTCCTTCCACCTCTTTGCAAAGCCTGCATGTAGCCTCTGGCAACACACTGCTATAAGGATAGTTGACTGATTTGGAATATACGACATTCATGCGGCGTGTGGTGTAGTCTGATTGGGTGCGCTGATCCTGGCTATGCGGGCGTTCTCCTGTGTACGCCGTGTCGCCTCGACTGCAGCCAACTTTGCCAGCTGGTCTGCTTTCTCGTTGCCTGGGACCCCTTTGTGGCCTGGCACCCACTGTAGTCGTACACGCCATCGAGATCGGTTGTCGCGTAGGAGGCCCAGGTGTCGTACAATCCGTCAAAGAATATACTGCCCAGAGGACCGCCCTGGCTGGCACGTGGCGCGTATTGTGGCTTAATTATCTGTATAGATTGTAGCTTCGTGTGGGTTGTCATCGCATGGCTGGCTTCGGAGTAGGATTTCCAATGCTGCATCGATTCCCTCCAGTTCCCCTGCATAAACAGTATGTGTGTCAGATGAGCCTACTGGCTTATAAGCCTGTCCTATTGATGAGTAGACCGCTGCCCCAATCCCATTGTCAAAGCCGCTCCCATCGGTAAAGAACTGTATTGTTGTATCTGTTCCTGAGATTGCTTCAATAGCCTTGATAGCCTCCTCACGGGTATCGTTAATCCTTGCTTCTGGTGGCTCCCACCACGGTGGCACTACAAAGGGGTAGATTGTCTCGATGCGTTGGCTAGTATCACTCCCCAGTTTGCGGTCGATGGCTGTTTCTAATCGATGAAGTGGCAACATGTATGGGTCGTTACAGTAGGCTTGGCCATGTATTTAGTAAAGCGTAGATCGAAGTGGTGAGGTCATGATCCGCAGGCAGGCCTCCTCAGCCAGCTTTGCGAGCGTGAGCTCTGCAGGTGGTACATGGAGACAGACCTCTAGGGCCTGTCGTAACATACGTTTGAACGCGCCGGATATCTGGTGAAGAGCCTGATCCTGGATCAATCGGATGGCTTGCTCTGCAGCTCGCTGCGCACCGGTGAACCCTCTTCCACCTCGTATATACCACGTGGAGCACGCGTACATGATCTGTGGTTGGAGGACAGCTGTATATATCTTCCTTAGATGAACCAGGGGCGTTCCCCATGTCGATCCTGCAATTGAGCTTAATCCCACTACCAGTTTTGCAGCCTTCTTTCTCATCTCCTGTACGTGCACTTCCCCAGTGAGGTGGGTATCCAGATAAACTCCTAGATATTTGATTGAGTCCGTAGGCTTAATTTCTACTCCCTTAATTATGAGAGGTATATCCAGCCTACCACTCGGCTTAGGCACCATTTGGTGCTTCCGCTAAAAGTGGGTAAGTTGATATTTGGCAGGCGCAAATTTAGAGGCATGTATCCTCTCCCAGCGCTCTGCAACCTGGTGTACTTTGGTGAGTGTGTGGCAGTTGGCTGCGGCGGAGGTCCTATATGTCATGATGAAGATGTCGTCAATATATCTAAGTACAATTACGTCCGGGCACTCGGCGAGTATCTGCTTAATAAGATCTGCATTAAAGAATAGGAATAGGATTAGTGACAATGGGGAGCCCTGCGGAATGCCTGTATTAACTAGAAATTCCCCCATATTGCCCTCTAGGAGTGTGATTGACGTGCGGCAATTACTTAGAAAGCTCTCAATCCAGCCAATCAGGTCATCTAGCACCTGGCGCTTTCGTAGGTCGTGTATCAGCCTTATATAATTGACGTTGTCAAAAGCCCCTGCCGCGTCAAGTGCAAGCCCTGAGGCTACTCGTGAGCCCTCTCTCCACGCACTATGGGTCTCTTCTAGTAAGAGATGGATTGCTAGTTCGCATGAGCGGCCGCGACGTCCTCCAATATGTTGCTTTAGTAAAAGATTATATTGCTCCACTAGATAGCTGAGACGTCTGGCTAACACTGATTCTAGTGCTTTGCCAATCGTGCTCAGTAACGCTATTGGGCAATACGCCTTTAGATCAGAGTAATCAGGCTTTCCAGGCTTGCGAAGGATGACTATTGTCGACTTTCGGAAATGGTCAGGGCAGTATTGTTGACGTAGACATGTATTAAAGAGATTAACAAGATAGGCCTCGATAGTAGGGAGCAGCCTTTGTAGGACCAGATTGGGGATTCCATCTGGCCCTGGTGCTTTGTTGGGCTTCACATTGGTTACTGCTGTTCAGACTTCGTCTAACGTGATTGGTGGCATCGTATACGGTTTGGGATATCTATATTGTGGCCCAATATCTGACAGATCTGCCTCCGGGGGCTCTGGGTGGAGGACCTCTCGGAATAGGGCTGCTTTCTCCTTTGGGGCTGTGTAACTCGTGTTATTGTAGTGTAACGTTGGGGTAAACGTGGCACGTGGTTTGCCCCTATTGCGGACCCAACGGGCAATTCTCCAGAATCCATCTATTGACTCTGTTGCCTGCTCAATTCGTTGGCGATGTAGATCTCGTGCGAGCTCATTGGTGCGCCGTTTCATCTCTTTCCTAGCCTCTGCGTAGTCCTCCCATGCCTGATCTGTATTTATACGACGTGCGTGTCGTCTACACCTAGATACGTGGTGTTTAAGCTTCGCCATCTCTGGGGTGTAGCCCGCTCGTGAGTAGATGCTGATCTATTTTGTAGGTGTCGCTTGCTCAGCTGCCTGATTGATTGTCTCAACTAGATAGTGGATTGCCTCATTGATTGCCTCATTGTCATTGAGCTCCCTTGGGTGCCAATTATATATGTCCATCAGTTTAAGGAAGAGGTCCCAATCTGTTGCATTCCACTGCTTGCGAACCAATGGAGGAACATGTATAGCTGTAAGGTCAAATTGAGTGGAGATTGGGACATGATCTGCTCCATACCACCACTCTAGCTTGGTGTCGCAGCTCACTACCCGGTTGGCTAGATTATGCGATGCCCACACCAGATCAATTGTAGATTTGGCGTTAACCCTCTCATACGTGATCGTGCCTGGTGGCAAGAGCTGCTCAAGCCTATGCTCATCCATAAGATTAATCAATTCGGTGGCCTCCTCGTCAACGTGTCAGTACTATGGGCCCGCCCACAGCAGGTGATGTTAGTTGAAGTCCCCCAATACAATATACTGCGCCCTAGGTGCCATGGCGGTTTGCAGGGCGCTAATTATAGATTCCTCGTTGCTATTGACTCCTAGATTGTATATATTATGAATATGGATGGTTCCATGGGCGGCTGTATGAAGTATTAATGTGCTCAGATCTCTATTATGGTATTGGACCTCCCATGTAGCTAGATCTAGCCCTCTATTGACGTAGAAACAGACTCGTGGGCGTTTCTTGTATTCTTCCTTGGGTGTGGGCTGTAGTAGGATATGGAAGCTGCCCTTGAGCGCTAGTGAGTATGTTGTTAGTGGGTCGGTATGTTTGTTGATGTAGGATTCCTGGATAGCCAGGATATCGTAATTTTGCACCTCGCTCTCACCAAAGAGATACATCTGGACCTTGTCCCGTGATTTCCAGCAGTTAGCCTACAGGATTTGTAGTCGATTGGTGTTACAATATATTACTGATTGTTAGCCCAGGTGCTGTCTTTAAGGTTCGTGGTTATTAGCGTATTAGCCTCCTGAGCTGGCTCGATTGGCTCCTGAGGGGCTTCGTGGATTGATAGCTGGGTAAGTTCATCCTCAGATGAGTCATCATCTGGGATTGTACGCACACTCTTACTTTAGCGGACAGTCCTAACAGCTTACACATGTGAAATTTCTAGTGGAGCAATATCTGATTGCAGAACCGGGGTTCCTGGTGGAGGCTTCGTATTCTGACGTGCACATGTGTTATATGTATATTTGATCTGGGTCTCAGGTCCTGTCTTAGGTTCAGGATTAGGATCTGCATCTATAACTAGATCTTTATCCCACTGCGCTCTCATAGGCTTTTTCGAGGATCTATTGGTAGGGTCACCTGATGTAGGGCTTATCAGCTCAGGCTCAGATCGTTCTGCCACTCGTTTTCGGGCGGCTGCTGCGCTCTTACTTCTTGAGTTGGCAGATCGACGTGTGGTGGCTGTACGAGCTGGTGCGTGAGGACTTCGCTCTGTATTGGCTGCTTCAGCTGGTGTAGGGTCATTTAGTGAGATGGCTCCGGGCTGACTATTGCCAGGTCGTATCACAGGAGTGTGATATTGTGGGCCGTATGTACGTCGTTGATGTGCCTCTGCAAGGCATGTAGCTCGTATCAGGCACTCCCTCGCGTATGCAAAGTGTTTTGTATTGAGTCTCTTGGCAGGATCTTTGATATGGATATTTTCTGCGGTGCAATTAGCACATTTAGCGTATTCTTTCTCTTTCAGTGTAGGGTAATCCCCTGTATCATGAGATCCAGCGCAGTACGCGCAGCAGATCTGGCGCTGATAGTGCCTGGCGATATATTTATACATCTGACACTTGAAGCACTGCTGGAGATTGGCTGCTTTGTCGTATATGAGACATTGTGCTGTCTCCCTTAATAATAAGGCCGCGTTGGATTGCAAAATTAGCAATCCTTTCATCATTAAATATGACTACAAGATGGGTATTTATGAGCTTCTGTTCCTTGATCTTATACTCGCTTAGAAGCCAGCCCGTGTGTGTGACATTCATAGAGGCTGGAAGCTGCGCGAACACCGGGGCGTTCTCTGAGGTAAGCGTGGTTATGAATTGAGGCTGTTTGGGGTTGATATTTGTGTTGACGCCGTGTACAACGACGCCCTATATATATTTTTGTATACGTGCTTCGTTTCCAAATGCCCTAATCCAGTCCTTCTTACGGGTAAGCTGGTTGACATCGTCCACTATGCCTAGTAAGAGTATAATATCGCCACTAGGTAGTATACAGGCTGCCACAATTCGTCGATGTGCGATGGTGGTGTCTTGAGTGCTGCGTATTACAAGATTTGCCTTCTCCACCACCTTATCCGGGAATCGACGTATCGGGTTGAGGATATTTGGATCGGTATGTTCCAGATAGACCTCTAGGTCCTCCTGGCTTGGATATGGGGTTGATGGCAAGCTTCCTCCACTACTCAATCCCACGCTAGGGACCGTGGGAGGGTTCGAGGGCACCTTACGTCCCCAGGCCTGTACGTACGACTCTGAGCTAGTTGTCACGTGACTGAAGCTTGGAGAATTTTTCGCGGTACGTGTCCCTGGGGATGTTGGGTGGCATATTGCCTCCACCAGGCGGTTCGTGTTGCTTTTGGTCGTAGTAATCTCTCGAGAGGCCTGAGATACCTCTTTCTGCGTCTTTTCCACGTGTAATTCGACCTTCGCGAGCCGCTGCGCTAGTTGCTCATTCGTAGGCGTATTCTTCACCCTTCGAGCCAGGTATAAGAATGCGTCAACCACGGAAGTAGAGAGCTCACGGGGCATGCCAATCTCCAGTGCTTCTTGGTGCTTCTTCAGTGCCTCGAGATCTTTGATGGCTGCAGCTACATATGCGCGTATATCAGGGTCATCTGCAAACCGTGGTTCTGGCCACGGAGTGCCCTTTTTACCTCTTTTCGGGCCCATGCTTCAACCGCGTCGATTGAGCAGGCGAAAGTTGGTAAATATACTGTCAAGGAGGTCTATTTTCACTGAGATTCTTTCCAGCAGTACTTTTTACCTGCGTGGGTGCGTTTTCATAGGTGCGCGAGGTTTTTTTTTCTCGATTGCACATATAAACCAACACTTACTGCAAAAGTTTTACCCAAGATTCTAGATCTTTAAGTGATATGATTATGTCGTGGGAAAGGGTCTATGGCCTGCTACTAGAATAGTTGGAAAATTGAATAATAAAACAAGGTGCTAAGGATTTCACTAGACCTCGCCACGACCCGCGGGTCACCCTGACGACCGGGACCGCGACCCGGACCACGGAGGTTCTTGGGTCATCAGCCCCAACCCTGACCCTCCATAAGGGGACCTGACCCTCAGGGTCGTAAAACAGTGCAAACATCATCAGGTCACGAGGTGCATAAATTCTGTAGATTTTAGCGGTATTTTTGCGTATCTTAATTATAGCATTTATAGGTCTACTTGGTTAGCTCTAATCACCCTGAAAGCATTGAATCAAAATAAATTAAATGAATTAAACAAATTAAACTACATGTTCTACATCTCATATCCATCAAGCAACCTTGAACGCTTGCGAACTCTACCTGACACTCGGTGCTGAATCTTTGGTAGAGACATAATCTCACTATTATTCTCCTGGTCACTTTCCACATCCTTGGCTATATCCCTTAGGCGTCTTTTGCCAAGTGCCTTTGTAGATGGGCTATGCGAAGTTGCTTGGGGCTCTGTAGAAAGCCCTTCATCCTCTTCATCATCACTAATTAGATTAATAGTGATTTATTGCTAAGTTCTCTCTTCCTTTGCAGCCTATATCTCCTGAGTCAAAAGATATTCAGAGAGCATTATTCACTCCTCTTCATGAATCTTGAACCGTGATATACACATATACATCATAAGATCTGAGATTGTTTGAGGCTGTAGAGAGCCTCGGCGATAATGGCAGATATCTCATATAGAGTTGAAAAGCCACTCTACTCCTGCACCACTAGCTGGAATAGAGAGAACATCTTGTGCAAGCCTTGCCATTCCAGGGAATTCATCTTGGTGATATTTCCACTAGGTTCGAGGTTGGGCATTTGGGACTATGTCTAAAAGAGAAATTAGTAATTATTCCCATTGAGATTAAGAGATACTCACTGCTGTCAAGATATCTTGCAAGCTCGTCAGACTGAACTGGCTGTCAAATCTAAGATTGCTATGACTTATCCCAAATATAGGCTAAATTAAATTCATCTGTTGCCGTACTCGTTGGGGGAGCACCCAATATCTACTACTCCTGGGCAAGATTCTCCGAGTACTTCTTGAGAGAGGACTCAAGGCTCTGGTGATAAGTTGCTTGGTAATTAATTCCGCCTTCCTCTGGGTCCCAGTCTGCGGTTGAGAAGAACTGAAGTTTATCCTGTGGAGAAAGAATGGTGCCAATGGCGTAGAGATAACTATCCATGTTGTCAGTGTTTTTATAGTAGATTGAGAGCTTGTCCTTTGCTACTTCAAGAGATACAAGTATTACCTGCTTCTAAGCGACCCTCTTCTGTCTAAGCTGTCTAATTGACTTTTCTAGGTGGTTAAACAACTTATTGTAGACCTTAAAAACCTGATGGATAGTAATATCCTTGGACTTTAAGAGAAGGGTTATGAATCGGTGAAAAGGCTAAAGAATACAGATAAGATAGTCTACTTGCCGCCACTACTTCTAACTCAAGGCAAAGTGCTCTTGGTCGTACTGGGAGTAGAAAGCATCGAAGGTCTACTGGAGTTTCTTTGCGTGTATAAATATTAAGAACGTGGAGTTCACCAAGTAGCAACATCCTGGATTGGCACAAGCTTTAGCTCCTTGGTTTGCAAGTTGTAGAATGACTCTCAGCGCTGAGGACTCGCATTGATATAAATCGCAAGGCTTCGAATCTAAGAAACAGATTAGGATAATGAATGAGGATAAAAGCCACGATGTCGCACCTTATTCAAAGTGTCCACAATCTCGCGTTTCTACTGTCTTGCATGAAGACTATCCACCTAATCATCAGACCATGTCTGCTCAGCCATATCAATCTTTGGAGCAGCCTTCATCTTCCTAAGGAGATCTTTAAGACTCAGCTGATTTGGACTTGGACCATCATCAGCAATATATTCAAGAAAATCCAAGGGTGGACCCTCATAAGTAGATAAGAATATGTTGGAAAACTGGGACATGGTGACGATGGTTGTGACGGCCTAGAGCTACTGGTGCAAGCTATTAGGAGCTATATATACCAAGAGAATTTGATAAGAAGGAGAAGGGAAAGGAGGCCCTACTCTGCTAGGGCCTTGGAGGCTCTTTTACATCCTATCCTTTGCTAGAGCGCTCTACCCCTTTCAGACTAATAGTGACTCCTTTAGGCTAATAAAAACTCCTGTAAGAATGCCTTTCTATTGAGAATAAACATATATGCAGTTCAAGAACTCCAACATTAGGCTCAGCCCGTGATAATAGTTAGAAGAAGAGAAGACTTACCAGATTTCCTTTGCAGTTCAGCAAAGGACTCAGGAGTAGTTGAGTCTTGTAGACAATTGCCTATCTCTGTTAAGTAGACGCAAGGAGATAAAATAACAGATCACATTTGATACTCCTCATGCTAATTGGCTAGAACTGGGGTTCGTGAGGGTCAGCCTGAGGGTTGTAAGAGTCATTCTAAGGGTCGACCTCGCGACCCTACGACTTTAGCAGAACATAATTGAGCATGATCGATATATTTCGCTCAATTTCGACATTAAGTCAGAATTATCGGAAGTTTGAGGCTACGAACCAAGAATATCAGAGTTCGAACTTCTTCAGATTATAATATAACTACCTTCTATAATCAAAATATATATTTTCCCATCGTTACATGCCTCTCTCTCCAACTCTTCACAATACACACCACAATGGTTTTTCCCAGGCAGAAAAAAGGTATAAATCTAGTATTACCAAGCAAGAAGGCTTATTCAGAAGACATATTTCATAAAAATACATAGAGGTTTGATAGAAAACAATGGATTCGTAGTCGGACATACGAAACAGGTATAAGAAACACGAATTTATGAATATGTGTCAGCAGAGTTATCCATCCTAATTAGGGAAAGCGTGAGAAAGTTATGCATATGCGGGCCGTGAGGGTCGCTTGGCGGGTGACCCTCCAAAGATTCTATGACCCTCAGGTGCGGTGAGGGTCGCGGGTCGCGAGGAGGGACCCACGGTCCGGGTCATGGCGAGGTCTACGCAGTATCCTGGGTGGGAGAATCATGTCGCTTCTGTACAAGTCGATATTTTTACAGTCATAGCTTAGCCGACGATCGGTACTGGGCAATGAGTAGCGAGATTCCAAGAAGTCTTAAAGAGGAATAGTGGTGGTATAATAGAGGCATAAAAATTATTATATTAATATATATCCAAATCTTTCGTAGATTATGGATAGATTTGATTGAGTTATTGGCATTTTGATGTCGAATGGTGTTTTATCTAGAAGGTTGTTCTGTGAAAGAATGGAAGAGATGCAGAAACAGAGGGTTATTCGTGGGTTATGTAGTTAGGTATATATCAGTTCAGGGGTCGACAAGTGTATATGTCAGAATTGACATCTGATGTATTTCTTCCCGTATACATCTAACCTGCCTAGGCAATAAGTGCATAATTAGCAGAGCGTAAGCTCTGCTACTTTCCTATATGGAGAGAGCCTACCGTGGTCAGACTCACTTTAATATAATTGCCTGAATGAAATGAAGGGTAAAAATATCAGCAAGCTCGCCAGGTATGTATCCATTTAAGAATATTACAAGAACGTAATTGTCCTCCAGATCACGATACCACTCTTCCTGGTTCCATATGGGCCTTGCCAGCGAGTATACTAAACAGAGGTAGTACCTTTCCAAGTACGTTTATACACTCCATAATTATGGTTGATTCCCGGCTGCCTGATTTTGAAGCTCAATCTGGGACAATTTTATGTAAACATTGATTCTGTTTAGCTAGGGTTCCGTTGAGTCGGAGCCGACCCTGGGAACGGTGTGGGTAAGGCGCCGCGACAGGTACCGAGATACTTAGTAGGGTTAGGGTTGGCTTATGAGTAGAGGAGGATTGTCACTTTCTAAAAAGTTTTATTTTCAACCTGACTATATAGGGAGTTGAAGCGAGACCATAGTAATAATAAATAGGAAAAGCTAAAGGATTTACTAACTAATATTTTTGACGATCATACCTTGGGAGACATGTGCTCAAGCTCCGACTCTTTGTTTGTAATACTCAGTTGTTTCCTGTAACATTTGACCGATGTCGTAATCCCAGATTTTATGTGATCTCCAATACACTTCTTCCTCACACTTTTTCTTGTCACGACCAGTGGGCTTGTACTGCCACTCGTATATTTCGCCGAGTATGCGACTACTTTCGACAAGCCATTGAGACCTCTCTAGCCTTACTGCATTGTAGGTAGCCAGCGCCGCATTCAATACTCCTGAGCGAGACTTGTCTGGTGACTCTAACAAAGTGGTTTGTGCAACCTCAATGACAGTTGCTAGCACGGTGACGTCTTCAATGCCAGCTCCAGCACCTGCACCATGATGTGGAGAGGATGCATGCGCAGCATCCCCAGCAATGCAAATACGGCCATGGTAGTATGTGGATGCAGGATGGTCATATGTGTCGAATATGGCCCATTCATCCAGGTCTTCCGGAAGTAGATTCATAATTGTCCGCACCGCGCCACCAAATTTCGAGAAACCCTCTATTGCACTCTTCTTTTCCGCGGGTGCAGATAGTTTCTCAGTATATGGCCACTCACCAGGGTCGGTTACGAAGGCCACCACATTCATCAACTTTCCACCAGCAACTGGAAACGTCAACGTATGGGCATCGGGTCCGAGATGCATAAGCCGTGTATTAACTTTGGACTCCCCAAGTGCTGGCAAGGCTTTTTCCATGGGAATTAGACCGCGGTAAGCCTTTTTATGCGTATATGCAGGGTATGATGCAGGGTTATTTTCTCCCAAGATCAGCTGTCGAACGCGAGAGCGTATGCCGTCACAACCGATGACTACGGTCAAGATTGGTCAATAAATATTCTTGAAAAAGCTTGAAACTCACAGTTCCGATCAGGTGAAAGGGATAATTGTTACCTAAATCAGCCTCAGCGATTGTACCATTGTGGAATTTCAATAGAATCCTTTCATTTTCTCCTTGATCGATTATAGTGTCGAGGCATGCTCCAAAGGTGACACAGCCTTGAGGCAGATGGTTAACTAGCTCCTTCAGGAACTGTGCGCGGTGGCAACCCTCAAATCCACGTTCGCCTAGATACATATTGAATAGGAGATCTTCCTTCACCGTGTCTTTATCGTTATTAACACCACTGAAGCCATCCACCCACTGGAACCAATCCGACGCATTTTTAGATGCAACACTTTTGAATGCTTCATGGATGCGTGGGTCTAGGGCCAGCATTGCTCGTTCGGCATTAGGAGTGAAGCCAATTCCAGCACCTATTTCGCGAAGACTTTGGGCTCGCTCATAGATGTGAAAATTAGTATTTCTCTTTTGTAAACCCAGTGCCAGGGTAAGCCCCGTGATTCCACCTCCAATAATGGCGACTTCAATAGCCCTTGCCTCTATCATCTCTGGGAGTAAGCTCGTAAGGATTGAGTGAGAGTAGACGTTAGTAAGTGAATGTGACAGGAAGATGGCTGTATTTTGCAGAGCATGCCTGAGGTACGGAGTGATTTTTAGCTTTTTGTGGTCAAGACACAACTTTAAATAACTTGAAAGCACTAGTAAATTCCTAGTAGGCAATCATTAGGAAAAAGATGGGGCCGGCAGCCAGCTGACTCGCTGACCCTCGGACTGGAGCAATAGTTTCGGAGAGGAATGGTCCTAAATTACAGGCAAACAACTCCCATACGTTTTTGCTGTCAGCCAAGGCCAGGTCACCATCTGATCTTGACCTTATCATTGTGCTGCTTCGGTCTGCGAGTTTATGTCCGGCAGTCAAAGAATTCCATTTTGTGGCGTCAGCTTTTCTGGCTCCATGTTCATGGGCTTCGTCTATCTCTCGTATCAGGACACATTATCTATTATGCTTGACATTTTGTATTCTCTAGATTTAGCGTTTCATGAGTAGTAGGTATATTGTCTATTTCGATGTATCCGAGAAAACAGCTACATAGATAAGTCACTTGCTGTGTTTAACGTAAGTAGCCAAGATACGTAGGCAATTGGGTCCAGTTTTAAAATCTAGGAGCAATGAAACATTGCAATACACTTTGCTCTGAAAGATGAAAATAGCGGTTTTCCTTGCAAATTATCCGATATATTCAACGGACGAGTTCCACTCTGGGTCATCTCGAAGTGCTGCAATGTCCGCCTCTCCCAGGCAGAACAGCGCATCAACATCGCCGTCAAGTGTCTGTGGCATGACGTAGATAGTGCTTGGAATTGGTGCAAAGGTAGGTCGACGGACGAGTGTTGGCTCTCCCAGGGGTCCAAAATTCGCCTTGTACAGTGGTACAGAGGCCATAGATGAAGTACCCATATCGGTGTCAGCGTTGAATTTGCCCGCATACGCAATGTTTCGCTTATCATTCTGGCGTGAAACAAAGGTTGTGAAGCTCCGCACGAATTCCGCGTCTATCTGATTCAAGGTCTTGCGTAACTCTGAAGCTACTGCGGCCAATGGTAGATCAATCAGTTCTTGGAAGGAAAGCCAGGTGGTGGCATTTGTTACCGACACACCCATGTAGTCGAATGGAATTCCCATGGTTTTACGAATATCAACGGCTCTCGTAAATTTCGACAGGTCATCCGGCGTGTTTCGTCGACGCAATCGGACAGAGGTTATACGCTTCCACAGAAACGCACAAAGTGCATCGTCACGAGAAATAAATGGCACAGTCAGATGTGCCGGGTTGCTGGCTTCGGTCTTAATGGCATTGAGCTTCTCACTGGAAAAGCGGAAGAAGCACCAAGCGAGAAGTGAAGGGAGTGGTCGTCGAACAGCTGGAGGGGGAGGTCGAATCAAGTGGCTGTGGTCAAGTAATGGTTCTTCAGGTCCAAGAAGAGGAATCACTGTTCTGCGGTCTAAGTTTGCCGCTTCGATAGTGCTAGCAGGGATCTCCTGGCCTCGAAGTGCAGTTGCAATCACGTTAAGCATTGCAAGCACACCACCACCATCCGACATGTTATGCTGGGCCGCAAAATCTAGAACAAGACCGCCCGTCAAGAAACTAGCCTGGATAAGTAAAGCCGGTGCAGGATCTGTCTCGGATTCCTCGTAGCTGGCTGGAAAGGCATTTTTCGGTCCGATCACTGCACCGTCTAACATCGATGCGGGCCCCTTTGCAGCTACGATCTCCTGGTACGGAGGAAGCAGATCTGTGCAATCTTTCACACGAAGTATTGAGTTTGGAGGTGAGAATTTCGCACAAGGAACACTCTGAAAGTGGCCACTGCTCTCCGGACCGCTACCCACATTAACAACTTTACCCCCCAGCCAAGGAATAGCCGCCGTGAGCTTAAGAGCCGCAGATTCTAGTGATTGTATTATCTCCTCACGGTTACTGGTATCGTGCAATGGGAATCCGACCATGATGTGATTGTATGCTTTCAGTAGCGGAAGTTGCCCAAGAACATCCTGGGTAAGCGCCGGGTCGTACATGTTCGGATATGTATGTAATTTATTTGCGATTTCGTTGGAGAATACTGATGTGATACGAGATAGCTCAACTTATCAATTAATTGCTGATTGTCGTTTAAACATATATATGGCAAACACAAGGGTCCAATATGAACTTACTGGAGTAGTTTGGGTCTATGACTTTTAAATATATATCAATTCAAGCCATCATTCACGATGCTTTTCATATTCCAGGACAGTCCCAAGACTCGAGCCTAGCTCCTAACACGAGATTGCGTACATCTTAACAACACTTGGGAAGCAGTTATCAAACCTGCCGTAGTATGTGGGGGGAAAACTCCGAGCCAAAAGTCCGGACCGGCTATCCATTGAAGAAGATCCTAAGATTAGCGGCCCGGCCCCTGACACGATAGCAAGCTAACCCCGTCTTAGCGGTTACTGCGGGGCACTAGTAGTGCCAAGTGATGGGCCATAGCCCCATTCTCGGAGTCCGGCCTGATCGGTGGGGCTGATCTAGCTACAAATGGTTATTAACTATAGAAGTATGTAATTTAGAGAGAAGCCCTGATGAAGGTATTCGGCGTAAGACCAAATATCCATGTCTGACAAGAGCCTAGAATAAGTGTCTTCTCGTGCTTGGATTTCGTATATATAAAAAGGTAGGGATTTCGCCTGTGCGCGAAGACCTAGACGTCCACTTTTTTTTCAACGTCGTAATGAATACCTGCCTCACATATCTGATTCGACTCATTTGAAAGTCCCTCGTACTCCAAGGTTTATATTATCTTTTCCCTTTCGGTCGTGATGCCACCGCCCCGTGGAACACCCAACATATTGGAAGGACCTGGTTAGTCTTACTTCTCGAAGACGAATAAAATTGTGCTCATATCTACATATAGGCGACTACGATGTGACGTCGATTATTCACAGTGAGTCCTATCCTGCGATAGACTCTCGACAGTTCGACTTCTCGGGCAAAGCTATTTTCGTTACTGGGGCCTCGCGAGGGCTCGGCTGTGCAATGGTACTTTCATTTGTTCGAGCAGGCGCTTCTTTTATTGCTGCTGGTGCTCGATCCGACATGTCCCATCTGGCCAAAGATGTAGCCACCACGGCAGAGTCCACGAATCGAGAAGCTCCCAAATTTTTGGCAGTCAACCTTAATGTAGCCGACCCGAAAAGCGTCGAGGACGCTGCTGCCCTTGTTGAGCGCGAGTTTGGTAGAATTGATATTGTCATCAACAATGCGGGTCTACTCGGCTCTCATGGGGGCATCACTGATACTGATCCTGAAGAGTGGTGGAATATTATGAGCGTCAACCTTCGCGGCCCATATCTCGTTGCTCGATCATTTCTACCCATGCTAGTAAAGAGCCCAAATCCATATATCATTCAGGTCACTAGTGTAGCAGCTCATTTACTAAACCCAACATTGACCGCATATCAAACATCAAAAGCATCATTATTACGATTTACCCAGCTTATTGATGCTGAGTACGGTAAACAAGGTGTGACCGCATTTGCCATTCATCCAGGGAATTGTCCCACAGACATGATGGGTGGACCGGGTGGATTGCATGATTTTGAGAAGCACAGTGAGTATGACCCTTTCCATCCGCTTCTTGTTTATATTCCAAGGTACATATCAGCTGACTCCATTGTCTGTTCTTGTTATCATAGTTTTTGTTGATTCCTCAGATTTGAGTGCAGACACCATTGCTTTCCTCACTGCGGAGAAGCGCCAGTGGCTCGGTGGACGCTACATCAACGTGACATGGGATATGCCCGAATTGGTAGCGAAGAAGGACGACATCGTTCAAGGAGACAAGCTCAAAAATAGATTTGTATTTTAAGTGGGCGGCATACATTGAAATAAATCTTGATCCCGCATACTCAAGGATAATACCGGTAAACACATTACTCAATCAGATATAGTGCGAACGTAATGTGGCTCTAGAATAATCTAATGCTATATGGGTATAGCTACCAGAAAAGACATGTACCCTGTTCGTATTAATTAGATGAGAAGATAGTCATAGAAATTAGACGAAGGTTATCCAATAGAATCTAGGATGACTCCACAACTAAGGCAGGATGTTGGGCCTATCTTTGCACAGTTGTATCCCTTTCACACGGTTTGTCATTCTTTACAAGACTGTCATGGTTTATCAGTGGCGTGATACGTGATGGGTGGACCGGAGTTGATTTCAAGTTTCATGAATTATAACTAGTCTCCACGACAAATAATTCCTTGTATGGAATTCTTATTAGAATGAGTGGAACAAATCCCACACGCATTTACTTCCGATATTCGCATATATTCTGGTTCGCTGGAGAAGAATCGAATGCTATTGATACGAGGCCCCAAAATTGTCTAATAAGCACGAGGTACAAGGAATTGCGCCCCGAAGTAGGTTGAAAGCTGTATCACCCAAAATCAACACTCCTCGTCCCGAGCAAAAACTCCGGCCGACGACCCTCAATACGAGGCTGTTTCAAGCTTGACTGGTAGTATATCCGACTAAAACTTGTATTCTAGAATGGGGATAGAAGACCAGTTGCGCTCATGTGCCTCTAGAATTATACATACTCGGAAATATATTGTCCTCGTGCCGAAAGGTCTGAGACCGTCCCCGTTCGATAGACACAACGATTTCGGCCCCGACCCAAATCAGAGCCTAGCATTTAACACGAACTGCATCTGAATAAGTGGAACTTAACTTGTATGGTGATAGCTACTGTCACTCTGTCGCGAGGTGAAGAAGTTATGCTTCTCCTTCATATTCGTTGAGATAGGACCCAGAATTGTCCCAGAGTTTTTTTGACATCTCAGCATGTAGCGGGCTGATTGCAGTAGCTGAGAATTGTTTGCAGGAAGAGCCATATTAAGACATTTATATACAAAACTCAGAGCTATTGCCAGTCTTTCTTAACCAATGTAAAAAGCTTGCATATCAGCTATACGCGATCATAAATCGACTACCCCTCGGTGCCTCGATAACCGAGTTCAACCTCGAAAACACTCGTCAAATACTTAGGTTGAGAGAAGCTCCATCTCCTCTGCTGTTTTTTCCTCTTCCTTTCACCGGTTTGGTGTCCTCAGTTGGTAAATGTGAATTGACCACTTTCTTTTCCCAGGTAACCAGATGATAGCCATTTTCTGTTATCGTTAGTAAAACTGCCCACAAGAATGGTCAGCCGGATAGCCAATCCCTGTGAAGGGAACATCGTTCTTCTCTTCGGTCCTCAGGCCCTGTCGTTTGATCAAGAAGCCTTTCTGAAATTACGCGCAACAATCCTAGGCTCGCTTTCTTACCGGTGGGTGCTAGACGTGGTTGATGAGCTATCTAGCATCTGGACCAGGCTGGTCAAGGATATCCCCATATTAGATGTGATTGATGGAGGTAAAAAGTTGAAAAAATTGAACAACTGGATTCAATCTGGTGATATAGATCATGATGGTTTCCCTCTCCCGAATATCCTTCTCAGTCCACTCGTTGTCATTACCCAGTTAACGCAATATGCAAGTTACTTGCAAGATCACCCAGTGTCGGGGAAGTTAGATAAGACAGAAACTCTCGGGTTTTGTACTGGGATACTCAGTGCTCTTGCCGTATCAAGTAGCTCTGGTGAAGCAATCTCACAATATGGCGCAGTTGCAGTGCGCCTTGCAATGGTTATCGGAGCTATTGTTGACGGACAAGATGAATCGAGCGAGCAGGGTCCTTCCAAGTCATTGGCAACCGCGTGGCAGTCAACCAATGGAGAGTATGAACTAAAGCAAATCTTAAATGAGTTCCCTGATGTAGGCATCTGCTTTCCTCGTACAATGACTTGGAAATGCTTCTGACTTGCATAGGCATACACTTCAGTGCACTATGACCAGCGTCGTGCAACTGTAACAACATCGACGAAAAGCATTGCCGCTCTTCAAAAAGCACTCAGAGATGTTGGAATCATTGCTAATGAAGTCGGACTGGTTGGCCGGTTTCACAGTCATTCCAACCAAGAATCCTTGAAGTCAGTCATTGACTTTACCAATACGCACCCTGGTTTTCAATTTCCGGAGTTGTCCCAGCTAGTTTTTCGGACGCATTTTACCACCAAGATTGAAGATCTATCAAATATGAAGCTTCATCATGCTGCGTTACGGCAGATATTGGTCGATAAGTCCGAATGGTATCAGTTGTTCGAATCGGTGCAAGAGGCACGCTTGAGCGACAAGGATTCACTTCTTCTTTCATTTGGCCCGGAGCGCCCAGTACCTCCCTCCATAATGCGAGTTCTTAGCTCTCAGGTCATTCATATCGCCGATGTGAACGAAAAAGTTATCGAACGTTCCGACACAAACCCATATCTGATTGGCGAAAATGATATCGCAGTCGTCGGCATGTCCTTGAAGGTCGCTGGTGCTGATGATGTTGAGGAGTTCTGGGAACTTCTTCTCAAGGGAGAATCGCAACACCAGGAGGTGCCAAAGGATAGGGTCACATTTGAAACCGTTTTCAGAGATATTGATCCAAAGCGCAAGTGGTTTGGGAACTTTATCCGAGACCATGATGCATTTGATCACAGATTCTTCAAAAAGAGTCCACGTGAGATTAGTTCCACAGACCCTCAACAAAGGCATATGTTACAGTGCGCTTATCAGGCGGTCGAGCAATCTGGTTATTTTCGTGCAAAGAATCCCGATAAAAAGGTCGGCTGCTATGTCGGCGTTTGTGCAGCCGACTATGAAAATAATATTGCTTGCCATGCCCCAAATGCATTTTCGGCGACTGGGAATCTGAAGAGCTTTATCGCTGGGAAAATCAGTCACTACTTCGGGTGGACCGGCCCAGGTTTGACTATTGATACTGCTTGTTCGTCATCTGCCGTAGCCGTTCACCAAGCTTGCAGGGCTATTCTGACCGGCGAATGCTCAGCAGCTCTGGCTGGTGGTACGAATGTCATTACAAATCCACTTTGGTTTCAAAATCTCGCAGGAGCTTCTTTCCTCAGTCAAACTGGGCAATGCAAGCCATTCGATGCCAAGGCAGATGGATACTGCCGCGGTGAAGGCATCGCAGCTGTATTCCTCAAGAAGCTCTCTTCGGCTATTAAAGACGGTGACCAAATATTGGCAACTATTGCAGGCTCTGCTGTTTACCAAAATCAGAACTGCACCCCTATATTTGTTCCAAACGCACCTTCTCTATCCGACCTTTTCCGTGATGTTGTCGGCCAAGCTCGACTGGAGCCAAAGCAGATCACTGTTGTTGAAGCGCATGGTACTGGTACGCCAGTTGGAGATCCTGCCGAATACGAGAGCATCCACAATGTACTTGGTGGAATAAATCGTACAACAGCGCTTCAGATGTCGTCTGTCAAGGGGCTGGTTGGCCATACCGAATGTACATCGGGTCTAGTTTCTCTTGTGAAGACCATTCTCATGATTCAAGAAGCGAAAATACCTCCACAGGCTAGTTTCTCTGCCATCAATCCTCACATACACCATAGCCCTGACCACCATATGGAGATTCCCACTAAGGTTCTGACCTGGAATGAGAACTTTCGCGCCGCTTTGATTAACAATTACGGTGCTTCAGGTTCAAATGCTTCCATGGTGGTTGTGCAAGCTCCATTTGTGGACAGGTCTGCACCAACGGTTGAAGGATCAAAGTTTCCGTTCTGGTTCACTGGTCCGGATGATCGCACCTTGCGGGCTTATGCATCTCGCTTTATCAGATTTCTGAATTCCAAATCGGTGTCATCAAAAAATCTGACATTAGCTAATATCTCATTTAACGTTTCCCGTCAATCTAACAGAAACCATGACAAGGGATTGATTTTCGGTGCTAGTTCTCTCCAGGAGGTAGAACAGAAGTTATCTTGCTTTGCCAATGGAGGTTCCGATGTCAATTCTCAGCCAAAGACTGCTCCTAGACCTGTTATCCTCTGCTTTGGTGGCCAAGTTTCGACGTTTGTAGGTCTTGACCAGCAACTCTATGAGCACGTAACGATTTTGCGCCAATACTTGGATCAGTGTGAGGCCATCATCACTAAGCTTGGTGAGAGCAGTATTTTCCCGGGAATCTTTCAGCGAACAGCTATTGAAGATCCGGTGTACTTTCAAACAATGCTGTTTTCCGTACAATACTCCTCCGCTCTCGCCTGGATCGCGTCTGGCGTCGAGCCTGTAGCAGTCGTGGGTCACAGCTTTGGAGAATTGACAGCCCTCTGTGTTTCAGGGGCACTAAGTCTTGAGCATGCCATCAAAATGGTAATTGGTCGCGCAAAAGTTATTCGGGAACTTTGGGGATCTGAAAAGGGCTCCATGATTGCAGTTGAAGGTGATATTGAGCAAGTTCAGAGCCTGCTTTCTGTGTCGGTCGTTGAGGGAGAAGCAGCAGCAACCATTGCTTGCTACAACGGAACCCGTAGCTTCACACTTGCTGGATCGGCAAAAGCTATTGAAGGAGTAGCAAAGACTGCATCGACGGGTCTTTTCTCCTCCATGCGTACCAAAGTTTTGAATGTCACCAATGCCTTCCACTCTACCTTGGTTGAACCCCTTATAACTGAGTTGGAGAAAGTTGGAAGTGGCTTGACGTTCTGTCAGCCTACCATCCGTCTCGAAAGGGCTATTGATGCTAGTCCTCACGCATCTCTAACCTCCAAGTTTGTTGCAGAGCATATGCGTTTCCCCGTCTACTTCAATCACGCCGTGCAAAGACTCGCTCAGGAATTCCCTTCTAGTATTTGGCTCGAGGCAGGCTCTAACTCCACGATCACTACTATGGCTAGCCGTGCTTTGGGCTCTTCGGGAGACCACCATTTCCAGGCCATCAGCATAACGAATACCTCAAATGGAATAACCAACCTTGCAGATGCTACGGTTAGCCTGTGGAAGAATGGCCTTGACATCTCTTTTTGGGCGCACAGTTGTAAACAGACATACTCGTTTGCCCCACTTCTACTTCCACCGTATCAATTCGAAAAGGCTCGCCATTGGATCGAGATGAAAAAGCCATCCAAATCCGGTGGAGAGCCCACCGTGCTTGAGGTAGTGGAGACAACCATTGAAGAACTACCAAAGACTCTTCTGACCTTCGTAGGTTATGAAGACAGAGATCAACGGCAGCCACGTTTTCGTATCAATACCATGATACCAAAATACGAGGAACTAGTCAGTGGTCACATCATTGCCAATACCGCAGCAATTTGTCCTGCCACAGTGGAAGTGGATCTGGCCATTGAGGGCCTTCGCATTCTATACCCAGATGTAACTGACAGCATGCAACCTCAAATCCATTCGGTTGACAACCAATCTCCTATTTGCGTGGACACATCACGATTTATTTGGCTCCAGTACCAGGCTCTTGACAATGCGGCCCATACATGGAGTTTCAAGATTTATAGCACGGGTACAGGGAAGGAAGCCTCGACCACCCACGTTACTGGAAAAATCCTGTTGCGAAGCCTCGATGACCCCCAAACTCACGCCGACTTTGCCAGACTTGAGCGTTTCGTCAATCATGAGCGTTGCGCGGCTTTACTCAAAGCGGACGACGCGGATGACGTTATTCAGGGGCGTAATATTTACAAGGCTTTCAGTGAAATAGTTAACTATGGCGAGCAGTATCGTGGCTTGCAGAAACTTGTCGGGAAAGGTGCCGAGTCTGCTGGTAGGGTTGTTATGAATCCATCTAGTGAAACATGGCTGGATGCCCATTTATCCGACACTTTCAGCCAAGTTGGAGGAATATGGGTCAATTGTATGACTGATCGTGAGCCGACTGACATGTACATTGCAAGTGGCTTTGAACAATGGATTCGGTCACCCAATCTTCGATCGAACACCAAGCGTCCGGGGTCCTGGGATGTGTTTGCTCTTCACCAGAAACACAGTGACAGGGTCTACGTTACCGATATTTTCATATTCAACGGCATCGATGGCAAACTTACCGAGGTTATCCTTGGCATTAATTATGCAAGAGTTGCAAAGCTTTCCATGAGCAAGCTCCTTAGTCGCCTTACGGCTGTTAAAAACACGGCTAGCTCTGCTCTCCCATCAGCAGCGACCAAGTTGCAGTCTGGAATTGCAATAAGTGCATCAGGTCCAGTTCTATCCACTAATGATATATCTCTTCCTCAGAAGTCTCCCAAAAAAGTAAAGGCACCGAAGAAGAAGACACCTTCTAGTCAGCCTGACATTACTGGTAAAGTGAGAGCAATGCTGGTAGAACTATCCGGCCTGGAGCCCGAAGAAATGAAAGAAGACGTGGAGCTGGCAAATATTGGCATCGACTCTTTGATGGGTATGGAGCTTGCACGAGAAATCGAAGATATATTCAAATGCTCGTTGCCCGAAGAGCAACTGGTAGAAGTGACTACGTTCAAGGCCCTCTTGCAGTGTATTCGTGCAAACCTACCGGATTCCTCGGATGATAATCCAGATGTGGAAGAGGATGACGAGTCACTAGAGAATACAAGAGTCTTCACGCCGTCCGATGTGGCCACCAGTGTTTCCTCTGCTAGAAAAGCAGATGTCACTGAGTTCCTTGTTGAGTTCTTGGGCATTGAGGAGAGCATTATCACTCGCAACACACTTCTCCGTGACCTCGGTGTTGACTCCCTGCTCTCGACTGAGCTTCGTGCCGACATCTCCTCCAAGTTTGGGGTTGATGTGCCGGAAGAAGTGATGCTGGAGGATCTTTCAGTCCATGAGTTTGACGTCCAGATCAACGGATCCTCGACAGGCGCTGCACCAGAGCCTGAAGTACCCAGGGCTTCTTCTACATCTGGAGTTCCTTCCACAACGGCACGTGCCTTGGGAGGCAACCTGAACCTTCCAGCTTCGACTGTGCTGGAGGCTTTCCACGAGACAAAACTCTTGACAGACAAGTTCATTGAGGATTATCAATGTGCCGGCTATATTGACACCGTTCTGCCTAAGCAAGACCAGCTCTGTATTGCTCTAGCTGTTGAGGCCTTTGAGCACCTAGGAGTATCTCTCAAAGGAGCGAAGGCAGGCCAGAAGTTGGAACCTATTAAGTACCTACCTCAACACGACCGACTGGCTGAGTATCTCTATATGATGCTAGAAAAAGGTGCCCGATTGATAGATATTGATTCGAATGGCGTCATCACGCGTACAGCTGTGGCCACGCCGACCAAGTCGAGCAACGATATTTGCCAGCAGTTAAATCGGGATTATCCTGATCACAACTTTGCTAATAGACTTACACAGTTCTGTGGTCTCCGGCTTGCTGATGTACTCACTGGTAAAATAGATGGGATTAAACTCATTTTCGGATCGTCTGAAGGACGTGAATTGGTTTCTGGGCTCTATGGTGACTCCTTGTTGAACAAGCTGGCCTACGAGCAAATGAAAGATTTCCTACGGCGGCTTATTTCAAAATTACCCATGCATGATGGGCCATTGAAGATTTTGGAAATGGGTGCGGGCACTGGAGGCACGACGAAATGGATTGTACCCATGCTGGCACAGCTAAACGTTCCCATCGAATATACCTACACAGATCTGGCACCCTCATTCGTGGCTGCCGCTCGCCAGAAATTTAAAAATTTTCCCTATATGAAGTTCCGTGTGCATGACATTGAGAAGCAGCCTGCAGATGATTTACTTGGAACTCAGCATATCATTCTGGCTAGTAATGCTGTTCATGCAACACACAGTCTGACTGTCTCTACACGAAATATCCGCAAGGCGCTAAGACCTGACGGATTCCTGATGATGCTTGAAATGACTGAAACCGTTTATTGGGTTGATGTAATATTTGGTCTACTTGAAGGCTGGTGGCTCTTTGAGGATGGCCGCCGGCACGCGATTGCTCACCAATCACGCTGGGAAAAAGATCTAGAGTCCGTAGGCTTCGGACACGTTGATTATACCGATGGACATCGTCCAGAGGTCAATATCCAGCGCATCTTCATCGCGTTGGCTTCCGGCCAGAGGTACGACCGTATTCCAATCCCTCCCAAAGCTATCATGCATGAAGCTCCGAAAACTGACATTGGGGCACGTGAAGCGGCCGTCAATAAGTACCTCCAAAAAGCGGTCAGCGGCTTCACTGCAGTTCCTATCTCTTACACTCCCTATCCCGTACTATTGAATCAAGGTGTTCTTGTCACAGGATCTACCGGCAGCCTCGGATCCCACTTAGTTGCCCATTTAGCCAATTTATCCTCGGTTAAGACAGTTTTTTGTGTCAATAGGGTCAGTCGTTCGGATGCATTGAAGCGTCAGCAGGATGCGCTTTTGTCCAGGGGTATCTCCCTAACTCCCGAAGCACTCTCAAAGTTAGTGGTGATTGAAACGGATACGCACAAACCTTTTCTTGGTCTTCAGCGCGATAGCTATGATCGAATAGTCCACGCAGTCTCCCATATCATCCACAATGCTTGGCCAATGAGCGGTAAGCGTGCTTTGATGGGATTCGAACAACAATTCGTCGTCATGAGAAATCTCGTCAATCTTGCCAACGAAGCTTCAACAAGCGGTCCACGTAAAATTACTTTCCAGCTAATTTCCTCGATATCTACCGTGGGCTACTATCCGGTATGGAGTGGAAAGCGCCTCGTACCGGAAATGCGTGTCGAAATGAACTCTGTGCTTGACAATGGATATAGCGATGCCAAGCTTGTTTGTGAGCGGATGTTAGATGAGACTCTTCACAAGCATCCCGATAGATTCAGGCCGATGGTCGTCAGGTTAGGTCAAGTTGCAGGTTCCAGCACGAGTGGGTACTGGAATCCAATGGAGCACTTTTCATTCCTCATCAAATCTTCACAAACGTTGCGAGCATTCCCTGCTCTTGAAGGTGAACTTTCCTGGACACCTGTTGACGCAGTCGCTAGTACGCTAGGTGATTTGATATCAGGGGATCACCGGCCTTACCCTGTTTACCATATCGACAACCCTGTCCGCCAACAATGGCTGGATACAATTCCCGTACTGGTCGATGCTCTAGGAATTCCTCAAAGCAATGTTATTCCCTTCAAAGAATGGGTTGGTTTAGTACGGCGATTCCCAGGGTCTGAGGTAGACAACCCAGCAGTGAGGCTTATTGATTTCTTGGATGACAACTTTCTGAGAATGTCCTGTGGAGGATTACTCCTTGATACCACCAAAAGCCTTAAGCATTCTTTAACATTGGCAGCTATTGGTCCGGTGAGCGGAGATGTTGCACGTAAATATATACAAGCATGGAAAGATATGGGATTTCTGCATTAAAGAAGCTCCCGAGGTCGCAAACACCGTCATTGTTTTTCATTCCTCGAGGCGGCTTTTGACATCTTCGTATAGATTGGTCCATTTCTCTTTGTGGTTTTAGTTTTTCTCGTTTTAGCAGATAGAACAGTGAAAATCTCGTTTTAAAGTCAATGAATATTTCCGTTAGGCCTAACTAATGCGAAGAGTGTGGTTGAATCAGCGAATCTCTCTCTGCCTCGAGCTTCGCTTTTCAAGTCTGGGTTTCAGCTTTTATTATCTAAACACGGATGACGAATATTCTTAACAAGATCGCTCGGGCTATACGAATTAGTCCTTGCCCTAGCTCAAGATGTAACCAAAGCATTTTCGACTCTAACCCAGAGTAACCCTAGGTAATTATATGGGGAATTACCTGTCGCAGCGCCTTACCCACACCGTTCCCAGTGTGGGTTGGCTCCGGCTCAACGGAATCAGTTTTACATACAAATTGTCCCAGATTGAGCTTCAAATCACAACAAAGATGCCGTCGGATTTATATAAGAAACAGGAACGCGCTATAGAATTGGCAGTAGATGATTTGTCCAAAAAAAATATACGAGTATCAAGGCTGCGGCGCTTGCTCATGGGATTCCTTTTTCAACAACGCTTTACAACCGCATCTAGGGTCGCGCATCTGAATCTACACAAGCAACGAATCGCCTATTCACGGAGTATCGGGCAAATCAAATACCTACAGGCAAAAGCACCGCCCCTTATTTACCTGATTCGGCAATTCCCTTTATAGATATTGAGGGGGAAGTGCATTTGTGAGGCTATTCGAATATGTCAATTTGTATGTAAAAATTGATTCCGTTGAGCGAGTGATTCCGTTAAGCCGGAGCCGACCCACACCGGTAAGCCCTAAAACCGGTTCATTATAGAGACTAGACGACTGTATCCACACATGAAAAGTAGTTCAATGTCAGTAGTTGCAAATACCATCTGTCAACCGGAATACCTCCGTAAACCAGTAAAATTGCTAACTCTTTAACGGGATTCAGTTTTTGGCGCAATGGTATACTTTCCGGTTCTCACCATCAACTTTCATTTGTAACAAATATCGACAACTCCCGCACATGAGCATGCTTCTACCGCACCCCGTCCGACATGGGGGCTGTCTGTCAGATCGCCAAATTCAGTCATCATCATTGCCAAAGCGCTGTACACATGGTGTGAGATGGTTACAGTACAGGCATTCTATTGTAATTAGAGTCCTTAAAGGATCATGCAATATTCACATATGTATGACCTTGGGACCTAAAATAGTGCCGAGTTCGCTCTCACTCGTCTAATGCCCCCGATATCTGAGCAGTAAGCTAGGTAGAGGAATATAGAGTAATAAGAAGGTGCCTAGCCAAGAGGATAATCATATACATGAAATAAATAACTGAAGCTATCTAAAATCATCAAATAAACCATCCTTCTCAGTCGCGCCATCGATCTTTCAAGTCATAACAGTGATCTACTCAGAAGTAAGAAGTCATCGTAATCGAGTACAATTTAAATATTGAGTGACGCATCATTTCACAATCAGTTAAGCATTAATTGCCCATCCGCCACTCAAATCCTACCTGCCTATCATCTATGGTATTTGAAAAGTCCATAGAAACGAGGTCCGTATGGGACGGGAAACTAAACGATGAGAGATCGAATGAAAACTGGCTACCATCCACAGTCTCACAGCCTAACGTGATCGGTTTACTGCTTGAGAAACATGGACTAGACATCGGATCCAGAATCAATAGGAAGTTTCGAGCGAGATTATTCACAGATCGCAGATTTCGCAAGGCCTCCATGATTTCATGAAGTTGTGGATCTAAGTAAGAGTGAGCACCGTCTTCTCGATGTAGCGTAAAGAATTCCGCGCAAATATAAAGACATATTGGGGTAAACGGGTGTATCTATGCAAGATTATTAGCATGCGTTAGAGCCATGATATTAACCATAAGCATACCTTCGCTTGGGTAAAGAAAGATAGAGCCCTTGTGATACTGACAATCTCACCAGCTGCCTTCACTGCTCGCTTTTTATATTCTATCACGTTTGTTGAGTTTGTTATAGTCTGACATGGCATCAGATTAATAATTTTATAAAGAAAGAGAATCGCTGTGTTGGCAACCATCTCGGTAAAAATAAGCATGGGATCAATGTTTTGAGATGCTGGAGGATATTTCATGCTCAACATCGTGATCCTCTGAGTCAAAATATTATCAATCCAGTGGTGTCGGTCCCAGAAATCGTTAGATGTATGACCATAGACACGCTCAACAGAGGCGCAGTGTTTGTGTAGCAATGCTCTTCCACAGATAGTGGCAAGGACGATGCATTCAGTAAATGGCGACATAATCGTGGGAATTGTTGCAGTGATCTCCTCAGACAAAAATCCCATTTGTACACGTTGCACACTTTGGAATTCGACGTCACTGGTAGGCAATCGTGTGAGAATCTAGGGAGACATTAGTCAGTATGAAGAGCGAGCTCACATCATCAATCCCTAACAACAATACGTACTACTTGCTCATTTAATGTGAGAGGTAGTCCATTTTCCACACTGATAAATCGATCCAGTAGATATGCCATCCAAAATGTCCGCCTCTTCTCCTCGAGTGTGACCCAATCTTCCGTAGTTGACATTGACAGCATCATATCCGTTCCGTCTACCTCAAACAAGCGCATAAGCTGAACCAGTCGAAAAGCACGACCTGCACTTATCCAACCGCGTCGTGAATGACTCCTGGTAACCTCGTATAGCACAAGCAGAATCCAAGCTTGAACCTGTTCAATCTCGAGGCCGTCAATATCAATATCGCTGGTATCTATGACCTCCAGCATCTGGCGAGTATCATTATACAGTAGATCACAAACGCTTTGGAATTGCCTAGAGCATGACGCTGCCAAAATCCACATAGTGTATTGCAGACACGTTCGCGACATGGATTGCCCTGGCATTCTTGCCCAAGAGAAATATCCTCTCTGATGCAGCATTGGGGCAATGGGATGAACTCTATCGAAGTATGTTTGATCACTATTCCCGAATTAGTTGAGAGAGTTCAAATATGGTTGTGCAAGTGACTGTTGCGTACAGTTCCGCTCGCATCCATTCGGGTATACGACAAGCGGGAGTATCAGATTCCGACTGGGAGGCAGGCTGCTGAATCTGAGGATTCGCATTGCTATCCATGTCAAGTGATGTCTTCTCCAGATCCTCGTCAGGTGCCTTCAGCGAGTCCAACGGTGATGTGTTGGTTGTTTGTTCCGTTAGGCGATTTTCCAGAGCAGCTGTCGTCGCCAGATTAGAATGAACGTTCATGTTCAGATCTAGATCGTAGAGAATTTAAACATACCGACACGATTTTGAAGTGCTTTAAATTGTCCTCTCTTGGGTCCTCGCGGCGGCCGGAGGGGAGTGACATGGCACTCCACCCCAGTCTCTGCACAAACGCTGCATCTCGGCTGTTGACGATCACAACGTAATTTACGCCGTCGGCATTCTTCACAGGCAGATCCTGGTTGCTGTCGAGGCCGAGGGGCTGTTCCTTGATCAGAGCCTGGCGAGGAAGACATCGTATCACACCCAATTACCTAGATATGTAACGATTTTGTAAATAGAAATGTTCCACTTCTATGAAACTTCTCATATACAAGCCTCAAACACCTGCGCAAGAGATAAATCCTGGCCACCCGGGCAGAAAGACATCTGTAGAGCGCTATAAGGTGTTATATATGTTAAAGCAGGACACGAAGCTAGTGATATTCCAGAAGGTCAGCCCAATGTACGGCTGAGATACCAGGATAGTTAATCATTACCATAAGTTCCTAGTCTAGAACACCAATCACGTTCTCACAACCGCATTCATTTGGGGCCCTCGTGTCTCCCACGTGGATGGTGTGATTTTTCGTAGTTCTCTAGCGTAATAGGACCTATAATTAGCGCTAACTTAATCCACTTCTTGACGATTCGACTGCATATTCTAAGTATTTGTCTATACGATATACGGGAAATTACAGTTCCAAAGGATTAGCTGTATGTTCGTATATGTGGCTCTAGAGACTCAGAGCATGTTTTGCTAAGATTTTGGGCAAATTAGAAACAACCATTCGCCATATCCGACTAGTAAATGCATAAGAGTGCAGTTATATGTCACTAATGCCGGCTTGCTGATACGGCTCAGCCCCGCGATTTGACAACTGGACGTTGGAGTTAAATTGATACGATTATCGCTAGTGTAATACAGTCTCAAATATCTCAATTGAGCTGATAGCATACTTCGGTAGTCAGCCAACCGAATAATGTATAGCTATGTTGCTGATATCAAACATTACTGGCCCCATGGCCACAGCCTTATGCCCAGATCTCTCGGATTCAATCACAAATTAATACATACATATATCATATGCCTAAACGATGATACAACCAAATTACTATTTTTAAAAAAAATTACAATTCCTATACATTCTACTGTAACGACGTACTAAATCAACTATTATGCGGCCCGGGCTTTGAATGAGTTACTTTGCCATGATAGCGACCTCGGGATGTCCACATTTTTGAGTTTGTCAAGTGGCAATCGATAACTTAATATTACTGCTTGAATGCTTTTTAACGTGTCACAAATTACTACCTGTGAAAAGAAATCAATTTTCCCGGGATAAAGTGAATCAACCAGCCACCGAATGGTAATCAACCAATCAAGTATTACCAGGGTTCTACCACTGATTCCAGTGCTCACGGGCCGCATTTATAGTTAGTTTCACGAAACTTGCTTAAACTTTATGCATGTTGACCATTTCCTTAATTTACGCAAAACAGAAGCAGGGCGTTTTGATCTACCTCTCTACTGATCATTAAACGTTCGGGTATGTCCTCCGTATTGGTTGCTAAGTGAATGGTGATACCAGCCCAAGCTGATTTGGTGATAGTCAAAACTCTAATGCTATAATTGTGACATTCAAGATGACTTACATTGATTAGTTAAAATAGAGATGCATAATAGCTTCAACTGAGTATCGTGTACTATTCCTTCGCCTTGACAGCCCTACCGCTACGTATTGATTCACGATAAACCATCATTCGGAAGCAGGCTGGAAATTAATTGAGTCATACTATAGATAAACTGACCTGCCAATGCTCATCTGAGATTCGTGCATAACTTGATACGAGGTATGCACAAATGATCAGGTCGGAGGGCCAGTTGAACATCCTAGTACCGAATATTGCTATTGCTATCTATTCTTTCGTATTTACGGGTACTTCGTATAAATTATTTGCTCAAATTGTTGACTGATGCACAGATGCATTGAGAAATAGGGCCACTCGGGACATAAACATTCGCAATAGTTTGCGGGATCTCCTGGTTCTCGGTCAAATAACATGGTGGTCTTCCTGACAATAGCCATCATGCAGGTTGGCTGATTATGCATCAGTTGGGAAACGCAAGTCGTTTAATTGGGCGAGAATATGTGTGGACTAAGGGGAGAAGTTTACTTAGGGGTGCACACGAATAACGACTTTACGAATGTTCGTACGATTATTCGTAAGTCGAATACGAACAAATTGACTTCAATTGTTTAGTAATATTTGTACGAATAAAACTCACATTATCTGTAAATTATTCGTGAAAGTCATATGTCAAATTGGTTTTATATATATCTTGGAATCGTCAACACTGCTCGGCAATCTCAAACTCACCCGTATTTTCCCTTCTTCATGTTTTTTGTATTCTTGTTGAACAACACCTAGATTAGGCATAGCAATGGATTGTATGAGATCTACATTGACACCATCACATTCAAAGTGACTAGTAACGCGACGCGCACTTGATTTCTATTGGATCACGATGGTTTCAATATGCCTTTGAGAATTTTGGCAAAAACTACGAATAATTACGAATCCAATACGAATAATGGTCCAGGAAATATCAGTTGAATACGAATAAACAAAATCGTTATTCGTGTGCATCCCTTTACTCGAATGAGCTTACTTAGACTTGCTGTTATATCAATACAAGTATAATACGCGATATGGTAAGCAACTCAATCTTGGTTCGACATGCACAGCGTATTAGCGTCCGCAGACTAAAATGCTTAAATAGAGTGGATGTGGATAGTGGGGCGCTATGTATTGTATCAATACGACATCCAATTTGTAATTACATACGAATCTTTCCGGCATCGTTATTCACCCGAGGAGGCCCCACAGAAGCGGAGGAAAGAGCGGAGCATCGGATGAGTCTTTGGCGCACGCACCTTCGAAACATATCTGGCAGTGCTACAAACTGAGCACATGATTCGATATCTAATGGCAGTATTGCTTAGTTAGCGTTATCAAACTACATGGATTTTGGTACTAATCATTATTCTCAATACGAAGGTCTTCCGATTACCACGTAACATCGGCCAGAAACATGCAGCTCCATTATTACTGCAACTTTTCTCCGTCAGAGAAAAGCAAATATCAACGTGCAGTCAGCCTTTCAACCGTACGTAGGATTGTGGTAGGGTCCGGGGCCAGAAGATCTAGACAGATCGGCCTGACAAACACGAATCAGACGACACGCTGCCGCCATGATACATTCATCCTTAACCCTGGCCATATATGTATACTCGTCGCGCTGCCAAGAAGAACTGGTCTGAAAATGCTAGGATTTTTAATATGTTGATCCAGTCTACTCGATGCGATTGCTCGACTTTGAGAATACGAGTGTCTGCGGCTATACGGGCCTGCTAGTCATATGAGCTAAGCATATATGTGCGTACGTAGCTCCATAAAAGCCTCGAATAGGTATGTACTTAACCACCGAGTCAGGCCGAGCTGTTGATGTCTTTGCATCTTCCGGGAGCCCCTCTGCCTTCTAGCTCCAATAACAGCACTTGTTTCATGACGTGACGACAGCCCGCCCGTCCCAGTTGGAAACAAAAATTAGCCCTAAATGTCACCGACAGTGGGCTTAACCGCTCAGTTGATTTCCAGTAAGCGAAATTTATTCAGCAGTCGTGTTAGTTGGGCATCACTTTTCTGCTACGATATATGATTACTTGGGTAAAATCAGCCATTCTTACAATCTGTATTATTTTCGTCGTGAACTACTGGAAACTTGGTATGTGGCCCGCTAAACTAATATGCATCAGGGCTGTGAGAGAAGTTCTTCGTCCTATACATTCTATCTAAAAGAAGACTACAACCCCCGGGGGAAATGAACTCCGACAAAAAGAAAAAAATACTAGAAAGAGCGCACCGATCTACTCCCAAGCCCCCAAACAGAAGATAATAGTTCTTCGCGTTTTCCTTTAATGGGTTTTGAAAATAGAGACATAGGAAGAAAAGTAAAGTAAGCACTGAAAACATGAGAAGAACAACACAAGTCAGGGTGAATACATCAGCCTGCACATCTAGTACGTAAAGTGAGTGACAATCTAAACTGTGACAGGCCCATTGAGTAGTTCTGCCAAGATAGGGCTTTTCGTTAACTCGGCTGCTTCCTGCAGGTAGTCATCGTTAATGGAGAAGGGCCTTGCCATGACATTGGGTATCCACCTCCCTAGAAGTCGGTCCAAGTGTATGTTCTCTTCAGGGATTCGTCGCTGGAGAATTTTTCTATACGAGGCCACAGATTGGCGTAGGAAAGAAGAATGAAAGGGAACATCAATTCCTGGAATGGGAATTGTGCCTTTACCGCGCTTCAATTGAATGGGGCCGGGCAGTGCGTTTGCTTCCAGAAGGCTGGCTGCTAACTGTTGACCGATTATGGTTGCAGAAAGATCGTCCTTGGTAGTCATAATTTCGCCCACCAATTCTGCTCCATGGGATATCGTGGATAGGTAACTCAGGATATTTTCGAGGACATATAGGTTTTTTAGCTAGAAAGGAAAAGCAAGAACCATCTTGTCAGCTCCATTATCCAAAACAAGATGTTACGAAACTATGTTTCAAACTCACTGTTCCTGCACAGACGTATTGCTCATTCTCCACATTCAAGTTCACTGTCTCGATGAGTTCACCGCTTTGCATCGCAATCATGTGAACTATCTGCCGTAGAGAGCTCTCATTGAAAACTATTACCATTATCAGCGCCTTCGAACGAAGTAGGGAACACCATGCTTTCAAGTCTTACATTTTCCAATTCGCTGAGGATTGGCCGCCACCATGCCATAGTTTGTCTCGCCTTCTGAGTCTCGCTCCATAGCAAATTGTAGCGATAAACCACGATAAAATGCCAACTCCATCAATTCTTTTGTAGTCATAAATCCGGAAAAAGCCAGAAGAGCCCCATATTCACCGAGTGAATGGCCAGCAAAAAACGAATTTAGAGGAACTAGTCCTCGGCTCTTCATATCTTCAAACATGATCTTTTCGACCAAAACGATTGCTGGCTGTGCGAAACTGGAAAAGAAGAGCAGTCCGGATGGGCAGGAGAAAGTGTACGAGCGAGACTCTCTTGTCAACCCAGGCAATAATGTCTTTCGAATTGTACGTCCGTCTGGTGTTGCAATCTCTGTCTCCATTGCAAGATAGTTTTCACGCAGTTGACGCCCACGCTTGCCTCCGAAATGAATAGTTATGCTCTTCGGATTTTTTGACACGATGTCAATTACCGACCAACCTATAAGTAGAAGTCAGCATAAATTTGCCTTTATTTCTTGACGATTGTCAAGCGACGTACCAAATCGTTCAAAGATATAGGCGTCTATCTCATCCCAAATGCGGCGAGCCACTTCGCTAGTTTCATACAACTCCATGCCCATTCCAGGTAATTGGCTTCCCTGCCCTGTGAATAAGAAGACGGTTTGTGGCTGCTCTACTTCCGCTTCTGCCTCCAATACTATATTATCGCTGTCTTTATTGAGAGCGGACACCTTGAAGACCAGTCGACCATCAATAGCTCCCACGTGCTTCAAACGTATTACAAGTCGGTCGCCGGGTAGCACCATATCTGTGAAAGTAGCAGTAAATCTTCGAAGCCGATGGCATTCACCATTGGATGACAAATGCTCCACAGCGCTGACAGCAATGGCCGAAGTGAACATCCCTTGACAGATAGTACCAGGAAGTTCGGCCCAGTGTGAAAACACAGATGCCATGTGGATTGGATTATAGTCTTTGGAAACACGCGTGTACATTTCGTTGCTAGAAGGCATTTGGACTTCCACCGATGATACACCAGTCCAACCAGGACTTGCCAGATCGGTCTTTTTGGCGGCTGGTGACCCTCTTCGCTCTAAGAAGTCCATGACCGGATTGCCCACACACTCCCCATGTTCAAAGTTCACGCTGCCTATTCCTTGAATCTGGCCGAGGCTGCTTCTTTGATAGATATGGCCAGATACTTTCAATGTATTGTATGTTGCCTTATTCTTCCAGGTCACTTCAGTTCTCAAACTGAACAGTAGAGTCTTACCGATCAAAGACAGCAGGGGATCTTCAAGATGGAACCATTCTCGATCCTTGATAAGAGCTTCTTCTTGCTCAGAAAACACCACATATATCATGTCCGGCTCTTGAGTTTCTCTGAATGTGGATTTGAAGTCATTGAAGGTTCCTTTGAAGAGAAAAGTTGAAGTAATTTTTAGAACTGGCTCATTCGAGCAGATGATGTGTCCTTCGACAGTGACATACTTTCCTGCATCCTCAATATATACAGCCCTGACGTTTGCTCTTGACATGATCACATCTCCAACACGAAGATTTGCCGTATCTGACATATATTCAACAGAATTTGACTGATGAACAAGCCTCAGTATGTCACCAGGAATAACCCTCAATACGAGCGGTTTTGCTACCGCATCCCACGCAGCAAGTATGCCAACGCTGATTGGGAATGTCTGAGAACCATGGCCAGTGTTCTTCCCATAAGTATATGCTCGACCTACAGTGTTAAGTAGATCATGAAGCATTTCCGAGGTAAGAGTCATTTCAGGGCCCCAGATTGTAGAACGGACTTCTTCCGTACAAGCACTGACGTCCTCTCCGAACCACACCTTACTATAAAATGCTTTGATAGAATCATCACGACTAGCCGTAACTTCACTTATTCCGTATGGTACCATCGTTTGGTCATAACGGAAGGCCAGTGGTAGAACAACTGGTTTAGTACCGTGAGGGCTGGGGAATGAAAGCTCTACAGAGATGTCCGCGACATTGCGAGCGGAGATCTTAACAATGGACTTACTACCAGAGCTGTCCTCATTATGTACGGATATGGTGATCAATGAGGTTTCGGGTTCGACTTCTACCGTTCCTTTCCATGCCTCCTGGATTAATCGACGAAATGGATTTATTCTGCGATTGCGGCCGTGTAGAATGTACTCGTCCATGAACAATGGACGAATCCACGGGTTGCCCATTTTTCCAAGAATGAGTATTGTGGAAGGCAATAGGTCTTCGACACCGCTAGCAATGCTATCCATAGAAGTATGGTGTATATCGTGGACGTCGGTTTCTGGAGTTGCTACAGACCAGCTCTCGGATGAGAGGCTAGTATTTTCGGATTGTGGTGTTGGCCCACTTGGGTAGAAGTCTTCTCTGACATTTCTGATTAGTCCTGCGTTAAAATTATCCAGGATCTCTTTTGCAGTCTCGTTATCCGTGTTGCAGTACTGAGCAGCAACGGGACCATGAAGGATACAGCACCGCCCAGCATCCCGATCTATGACAGCATCGCTGTCTTCTGATTGCCACAAAGAGTCCTTTTTGAAGAATGTTTCAAAGTCCTCATCAATGATAGGAATAAAGTTAACCGGCTTCTGTCCACGCTTCTTGCATCGGAGAATGAAGTATGTGACATCTTCCGGGTTAAGAAGTTCCGAAGAAGCATGAGGACAGTACCACAGGAACTCTTCGAGAAAAAGACGAGGGCCTTGTAATGCGGTTGCCGTAATCTCAATATTCGCATCTGAATGCAATCTTTCCAGTGTACGAGTTGCAAAATCCATAACGAACCTCATGTACGAAGTCGCGATCCAGCGACTCTGGTGAGCAACATACATGAGAGATACCAAGCGACGTAGGACTTCAATGTAAGTCATTTCCGAGAGGTCCGCTGGTTCTCCTTTGGAGTTTTGTCCAAACCACGGTTTAGCAAAGTCTGCGTTTAATCTCTTGATGATATACTGTTTCTTCTTCAACAGAGCCTCCACTTGATTCTTTCGTGGCAAGCTAAATATTGTCTTATCGAGCTCATGCCAGAAAAGTACACCCCTTGTAGCAATCTTGTGGATAGGCTGTCCCATTTCCGATATGACGGTGATAACACCTCCCGCTGCACCATCGTAGGTCTTCTCCCATTCACTATCAGAAACTCCGGGGGCTTCAATGATCAACTTCTTCGCTTCGGAAGACGTATGCGCCTCGCGAGCAACCATCAAGCGGCTCCCGAGGAGAATACCATCAAAAGGCATCCTAGGATAGCCAAAGCGAGTGGCCCACGTCCCGGATAGATAGGGATAGCTGTCTTCAGAATCTCCAAACCCGCTTCCAGCGACCAAGACGATATTAGGACAACGGCGGATGCTGCTGTATGTGCGGAGGATAGGCACGTGAAAATCTTCAAAAGAGTGATGCCCACCTCCACGGCCTCCTGTCCACTGTAGAATGATCGGAAAATGGGGGTGTGATTTTGCAATCTCTATTATCTCGCGGACGGATGCTAAGGACCCAGGCTTGATGGAAATATGTTTCAAGCCTAGGGTCGTGATGTAGTCGATCATGACTTCCTGCGATGGTACGCCGGCACCAATCGTCAAACCATCCACGGCGACACCGTCCTTGGCCAATCTACGAAGCATAGCAATCTGCCATGTCATCGCTTGGGGGTTAGAATAAATCAGGTTACAGGTAATGCCTCTTCCGGCCGGAACAGTGTCCTTCACTTTGTCAATGGCGGCAGACATTTCTTCTGCACTATGGTATCCGCCACTTGCAAGCTCAATATGGTATCCAGCATTCATGACCATGGAAACGAAGTCCCATGGAACTGTTGTCGGTGTCATTCCTGCTACGAAAACTGGTGGTACTCCTAACAATTTAGTGAGTCTTGTTTCTAATTGCACTTCTCCTGAGGCGGCTTGTATGAGGCGAGGCTGGAATTTTTCCGCCCAGCTTTCCAGCTTAGTTGATGTCGAAAGGAGGACTGGAGAAAATATGTCCACTTTACTGCCCATTTCTGAGTCTCTCGTCTCAAAATCAGATCCACTGATGACTCTAATGCCTTTGCCATCAACAAGTTTCAATACCAGGTCCGGCATACCGCCGCTGCCGAATGTAAGAATATGAGACACGTCCAGCGACTCTAGTACAGCTGGCCAGTCACAAGGTGCAAAGCAAATGGCGTCAATAATTTCTTCCAGGATGTTTGTTCCCGGTGGAAGCTCGCGAAGGTCACGGCCATTTCTGTTGTCATGGACAGGGATTTTGAGCATTTCGGGTGCTATTTTCAAGGAACTAATATGCGCTTTTATGTTCTGGGCAGGTTTTAATAGATACTGGGTATGAAATGGTACGCTAACCGGAAGAAACTGGTGCTGAATTGGTGGTTTGCGCTTGCTGTATGGCACACGGTTCTGATCAATATTGGGATCCGCCTTGATTGTGCAAAGATATCTGTCGAGAGCGGCGAGAGAACTGGCAGGACCACCCACGACAAGATTTTCCCTGGTATTGACTAACGCAATACTTACTCGAGTCGTCAATGGGAGAGACTTGTTGAACACATTAAGGACTTCGTCGAGACGCGATCGTTCTAGTCCCGCAACACTCAGCATGCATGAAGGTTGACCTTGGCCATTGCTAACGCTATCTTGAATGATAGAAGGCGACAGGAACGATCGAGCCAAACCATCATTGCATTCATATCCGATCCAAAAGAGGGTTTCTACTGCCGTTAATGCAGCGCTATAGAATGCTTTCCATGAGTCAGCCATGGCTATAGCCGTAGCCACGATGATTCCCTGAGAGTGGCCTGTAGTACCCCGCAGCAGGTCACGAATGTCGCCCGGAGTTACGTCTAACACCTTGCATGTGACACAGTAGTGTGCAAGCCCCAGGAGCCCGATTACTGGGCAACTGATTGTCACACCAGACACAAAGTCAGATCCAGGCACCTGATCCGGATCGTGCAGCCATGCTTGCAGGTCCAAATATCGTCCACAGTAATACTCGCGAGTCTGAGGTAGTCGGGAGAGACGACTTAATAAGGCCCCAACAATATCAATGAGATCTTTCAAGAAAGGTCTATACGTGGAATAAAGATCAATAAGCTCTCTAACACATGTTGCATTTGCTGTACCTTGCCCTCCAAAGACGACATATGGAGTGACCTGTCCGCTTTTTGCGGCGTTGAATAACGCACTTGAGGAAGAATTTGTGGACTCAGATGTAATCAAAAAAACGGCTTTGTAGTATGTACTGAGCAATGTGTTCCGTATCGGCGGATCTATATGCAGAGAATGTAACACAACATGTAGTTCGGATGCAAAGAGGAACTGATTTTCAAATCCTTGGAGAAAAGCACGAGTTGAGGAAGATGCTCCGTTGCTATCTAGAAGATGCTGAAGAAATTTTAATGCGAGCTCGACTTTTGAGACGATGCGTTGTTGCGATGCGGCAGAATGCGCTAGGAGAAACAGCTCTCTCTGATCTTTCAGTTGCTCCAAGTCCTCTCTACTAACGAAGGTCGTACACCGAATGTTATCAACCTCGATATGGAATTGGCCGTCAGGAGCAGTAGGAAACCTCTCCGACGAAGGTGTGTCCATGGTATTTACGTATCATTTGAGGCTCATTCACACACAGACTAGACCATGTGTTTATAGGATCGCCGATATTGAATGCGAACGAACGTAAGTCGTGTTAAGAAAAAGGAGGTAAGAGAATATTAGACAGGTTGTTTGAAATTGAGAAATATTCTGACATTCGACTTCTTTTCTTGGAGATATTTGAATACTGCGCTCAACATGAGACTTGATGAGGACAGTTATCAGGCTTGTTTGTAACACAAAACCAGTTACTACACGTCAGGTTCACCGAATTCCGTTTCAGAGCCACAGGCACATACAACAACAACTTCTACGTATTACTCCGTATATCGCTACTTAATCGATCCATGCTCAGCTAGAGGGGCTTAAAACACATACATCCTCATTCCAGGTGGTGGTTTGATCAATACTCTACTACAGTTAGGGCTCGCGAGGCCCAAGCAGTATTGGCTACCGATCACGAATATCTCCGACGGGCCGGAGTTCAACCATCTTGACTGACTTTCCGTGAGAAATACATGCTTCTAGGGCACATGTCGCCCGTGTCCGGACTCAGCCCAGGGGGCGGGGTCCGGAGTTTGTGTGGCCGGAGTTTTTGCCGATCCGACCCCAGAGCAATCAACAGGTGCTCGTAGTAGCATGAAAATTCCTAGAAAACTTCTAGAAGCCAAGTTTGTTGACTTCTGCGTTGCTTCGGGGTCAAAAGCAGTCAAGAATCAAACCTGATGGTTAGTGGCCTATTTTATATCCATATCGCAATGTAAGCTGATAGCAGATTGACCGAACCACATTATTAAGATCTGTACGTCTCTACTCTTCACTATAGGGAGGGGCACATGTCCAAAGACTTGATTCTTGTGAATATTATTTTAAAAAATAATATTCACTGTTGGATTATCTCGTTGTATGGAATGCATCAATCTTGGTCCAACCTAATTTTGGCTACCCTCATCATGGCCAGCGGTAAACTAGACGAGCAAATTGCGACTAAAAAAGAGGTCAGGGGTGCAAAGAATAAAAGAGCAATTGCTCATACACTACTCATTGAGCTATTATCGTGAGTAAATAAGGTCGTAGTCATCACAGACTAGAAACTAACACAATATATGATTATAGATATCAGCTCTCACTTCCAGTTCGATGGTATGGTTCCAACTCGCCCCTGACGGATCTCACAGTGAATGGGCGCTGAATACAATGTAGGATTGAAACCCAGAAACAATTGTTTAATGCTCCCGAGTCAGTAAGGAAGTATGTCGAAATTGGAGCAAAAACAACGTTGGCCACGATGGTCAAACGTATGGCAGATCGACAGCCGACAGCCGAAAAGTTATCAAAGGCCATGGAATTCTATTCTTATAGTGACCAAAAGTCGGACCTATACTATGAGTACCGCCCAAATGCCGGAATATCGCCTCAGTCCTCGAGTCAATTAGAAGCTCAGCAATCCATACCGTCGCCTGCTGCTACTGAGTCTTCTATCACAAACGCAACGATCTCCGAGGCCCCGGTTTCCGCGAAACCTGGTCTATTGGCATCTGATAATCCCACAGTCCACAAAAGAGCTGTGAAGGCAGTCCCAAATCTTTCACCTACTCATATAGTCATTGCGTTGACAGCTCAGAAGGTGAATAAGGCATTTGATACTTTGCCGATGCAGAAATCTATACAAGAATTGTCTGGCGGTACGTTTATCATATCTCTACAGCATTCTGCCGTACACCTTATAATTCATCATTCTTTTCGAACTGTGGAAACTCCTAACACTGATGCAGGAAAATCGACACTTCAAAATGAATTGATGGGCGATCTAAGCGTCGAATTCTCTTCGGTCCCAAACGGTGGTGAATACATGCCGCTGGAAACTTTAGGAGAGATGCTTCAGCAAGGCTTCAACGGAAAACCTGGAAAACAAATGTCGACTCTCATATCCAAGTTCATATCGAGAAAGATGCCCCCTAGCTTCAACCAGGTGACAATGCAGAATTATATAGAGACGTCCTGGGGTTTTGGTAAAGAGAATTCGATCATTCCCATTTGCTTTGCAGTCACTATGGAGCCTGCTACACGGTTTGAACATGCGGATAGCGCTAAGCAGTTCCTTGACGATGTTGTTAATCGACTTGCATCTTTCTTCGGAATTCCACTCTCTCTTCAGTTATCCGATGATGGCAGTACATCCAGTGCTCAGTCAGCCATCATCGTTGGCTCCTCGGCTCTAGACAGAATTCGGCAGGAGCAGCGAAATTACCACTTGGAAGAATTTAATCGTCTGTCGGATCACTTGAAGATAGATTGTCGAAGTAGTGATAAACTACAAAACTTGATATCTTCAACAAAAGCCATGGAGGATAAACTGAACCGTTGGGCTACGGAGTTCGATGAGAATTTCTTTGATGGTATCGGTCCTCTTTTTGATCCGAAGAAAACCAGAAATTACGACTCATCTTGGAATTGGATCCGAGAAGAGACTATTCGAATTTTCAATCAATTTTCACTAGGTCACATAGACTACAATGACCAAGCTCTTAAGCTAATTTCCCGAAAATGGGACTCCAGCTGTGTGCAAATCGCACAGGACTTTCTTCAGAAAATTGAGAAAGTAGACCCAGAGGTCACGATTAAAGCCAGAGGATTTCTTCGACTCGAATCGCCTGTATTGGGACTACAGCCGGTCTACAGATATTCTGGAAAGGCTATGATGCCCCTGACTTACGTGTCTTCCACTACCAGCAACATCGAATATAAAGAATTACCACGGGAAGTTACCGACTACGTATGCTTCTTGAAGCAAGGTCGAATTACAACTCATGGTGAGGCGGTTCCTTACGTACATTTGAGAAGACGACAGCCTGCAAATGGAGAATACAGATACAATGCTGCATTAACAAGGACGATGATGGACATGTTTGAATTGGGGTCCAGCTCAGGCTTATCTTTTGCTACCAAAACTATCTTAGTGACTGGCGCTGGACCGAAGTCAATCGGCTCTGGTGTGGTAGAAGGATTGCTTAACGGTGGCGCCAAAGTCATCGTTACGACAAGCCGCGATATCTCCACAAGTGCGGATTTCTTCGCCAATATGTACCGAAAACATGGAGCACACGGCTCATCTCTAACAGTCATACCATTCAATCAAGGCAGCAGAACAGACTGTGAAGATCTCGTCAAGTATATATATGGAGCGGACTCCCCCGTCGGTGGGGATGTTGACTATATTGTTCCTTTTGGCGCAATACCGGAGAAAGACAATATCAGCAACTTGGGGAGCATGAGTGAACTTGCACACCGTGTGATGCTTACCAACGTCTTGCGTATCGTTGGGCTGGTTTACCAGAACAAGAAAGATCGCCGCATTGATTCCAGACCAACCAACGTGATTATTCCGTTGTCTTTCAATAAAGGTGGTTTTGGTGGTGATGGCCTCTATCCAGAGTCCAAACTAGGCCTGGAATCTCTTTTCAACCGATTCTACTCTGGAAATTGGCAGCAATACATCACGATTACTGGTGCTGTAATCGGCTGGGTCCGTGAAACAAGCCTATCCCAGACTCTCAGTCTAGTTGGTTACGCAATAGAACAAATACCCGGTCTCAATGTCTGCACGTTCTCCAGGACTGAGATGGCCTTTAATATCTTAACGCTTATGACCCCCGCGATTACAGAACTAGCGGAAGACCACCCGTTATATGCTGACTTAACTGGTGGTGCTAAGGAAATTACCAACATCAAGGACATCATGTCAGATTCGAGATCCAAGTTTACGACGGAAAGCAACATTCGAAGAGCCCTTTTTGCTGAGAAGTCTAGAGAGCAGAATGTTCTGGGTGGCGCTGCCTCTTCTGTTAAGGCATCCTTCATTTCTGCGCCTCGGGTTCAACGTTCCAATTTAAACCTTCAATTTCCTGTGTTGTCAAGTCATGCAGACTTAACAGGTAATATTTCTGGTTTGGAGGGCATGATCGACTTAGCACGCACGCCTGTGGTTGTCGGATATTCCGAACTCGGCCCATGGGGTAATGCGCGTACGCGGTGGGACGTTGAACATCTAGGTGATTTTACACTGGAAACTTATGTGGAGATGGCATGGATTTTAGGATTGGTAAAGCATTACGAAGGCGAAATCAATGGACAGGTTTATGTAGGCTGGGTTGACAGCAAGACCAAAGAGCCCGTTTGTGAAGACAATTTCAAACAACTGTACGGTGACCACATCAAGAAGCATTCCGGGATCCGATTCATTGAGCCTGAACTATTGAATAGCTATGACCCAGCTAAGAAAGAATTCCTTCAAGAAATTGTGGTCGAGGAAGATCTTCCATCCTTTGCAACCTCCGAAGCGAGCGCAGATGCTTTCAAACTCCGCTTCGGAAATAAAGTTTCTATTGAGCCCGTATCTGATTCTGAAGAGTGTCGAGTAACGGTACATCAAGGAGCTCATTTCATGTTACCAAAGTCAGTGCCCTTTGATAGGGCAGTGGCGGGTCTTCTACCAAGTGGGTGGGATCCTCTACGATACGGTATTCCAGAGGATATCGTACAACAGGTCGATCCAGTTACCTTGTACACTCTTTGCTGCGTTTCTGAGGCCCTTCTTTCCGCTGGCATCAGTGATCCTTATGAGTTCTACAACCATATACACGTATCCGAATTGACCAATTGCATTGGTACTGGTGCCGGTGCGATGCTGGCTGGCCGTGGACTTTACAGAGATCGATTTCTTGACCGGCCTGTGCAGAGTGACATTCTGTCAGAATCGTTCTTAAATACCACCGCTGCTTGGGTAAACATGTTGCTCTTCTCCGCATCGGGACCCATTAAAACGCCAGTGGGTGCTTGCGCCACGGCCATCGAATCATTGGAGATGGGATGCGAAGCAATCAAGACTGGGAAATCTAAAGTTGCAATCGTGGGTGGATATGATGACTTCCAGGAGGAAGCATCCTACGAGTTTGCTATGATGAAAGCAACCGTTAGTAGTGAGGAAGAGCTGGCCAAGGGTCGCAGACCAGAAGAGATGTCCCGGCCAAGTACTACCACTCGTAGTGGGTTCGTCGAATCCGCTGGGTGTGGTGTCCAGATTGTGATGAATGCAGAACTTGCAATCAAAATGGGACTACCTATTTATGCTGTTGTTGCTTATTCACAAATTGCAGCTGATCAAAATGGTCGATCTATTCCAGCACCCGGTCAGGGCATTCTTACAGCTGCTCGCGAAAGGACTGGTCGTCATTACTCTAAGCTACTTGATCTAAGCTACCGGAGAAAGCTTTTTGACGAAGATATTGCTGCTATTGATAAGTGGTGGCAAGAGAAGAGTCAAACTGCTGGATTGTCAGAGACAGACCTGAATGAGATCCAAGCTTTAGCACGCAGTAAGATCAGACAGGCGCAGTACATCTGGGGGAACGACATCCGGTCTCAGGATCCTCTTATCTCACCCATGCGAGCAGCTCTAGCGACATGGGGGTTAACAGTTGATGACATTCAAGTAACGTCGATGCACGGTACCTCAACCAATGCTAACGATACAAATGAGGCACAAGTCATAAACGAACAGATGAAGCATTTGGGCCGTCGTCCCGGCAATCCACTACTTGCAGTTTGCCAGAAATCACTCACTGGACATCCCAAGGGTGCAGCAGGCGCATGGCAAATGAACGGTTGCATGCAGATGATACAGAACGGCATTGTACCCGGCAATCGAAACGCCGACAACATCGAGATAAAGCTTAAGCAGAACACGTACATTGTTTATCCCAAAGAGGCCATACAAGTGCGAGAGATAAAGGCCACCATGCTTACTTCTTTTGGGTTTGGCCAAAAGGGAGGCCTAGTTATCGCTGTTGCTTCCAGGTACCTCTACTCTGCTGTGGCAGCTGGTACCTACGAAGAGTATCGCCAGAAAGCAACAAGAAGACAACGTGCGGCCAATAGTGTGTTTATCTCAGGTGTTATTAAAAATTCTTTGGTGAGGCTAAAGGATCAAGCTCCGTGGGGGAAGTCAGATGAAAAGATGCGCAAGGTTTTCCTTGATCCAGCGTCTATTGAATTTTAAGCTATCGTCATCATATATACTACGTCACAATTTGTTTATGGCCTGAATCTCCTTAAGCTCTGCTTATTTTCTGTATTTACTTTGGCATTAGATAGTTGTTTGAATAGATATTCATTCTCCAAGTCTACTTCGATGTTTATCCGCTTCCACAATGATCTCGCTATATCTGTTGATACATGATTATTTCGATATGTTGAAAACCTTGAGATCCCACCAAATTCCAAAGTTCCCGCATTCTGGTTCGTACACAGTCCTACTCCATGGATCTTGTAATCTAAGGATTTGGATATTTCAACGCTTTCGATATCTACCTATGTACACTGGGACTACATAGGTGGGTGAGGTGTTGTTTCAACGTTGGAACGTTCTACCTAGGGAAGATCATGTGCAGTCAAAATGTCCATAGATACTTACATAGATATATATATATGACTACAATCGGACCAGGAAGAGATGCCCAAGGACATCTACATAAACCTTTGAACTATCTATAGTGATGTTCCAAAGCATTCGCCTCACTCAACTGCACATTCTCCGAGAGTTTGAAGACAATTGCTTCAGTTGGCAAGCAAGGTTGGGACATCTGCATCTCTAGGAGCGGTCTATTTATACGATATTTCGGAACTCAGAAATCTCGGTGGGATCTGTAGTTTCACCAATGATGGATCTTTCCCAGCTGGCTCGTTGTTCCAATTGGTCGATCTTGATCTCTAGTCTAAGGTTAGCCAATAAAGATTTTTCCGACTGATCTCGGTTAGATTTTAGATTGACCAATCATAGACCTTTCCGAGCTGAGTTGCTCGCCCGATTGTCCATGTAGGACGGAGGGTTCTTCTAAAAGAACCGAAGACTCACAGAGATAAATTATAATGGGAAGATATCGAAATGACAAAAGTCATGGGAGGATAGCAAAAGTCAGTACGACCTGCTAACATGATTTCGGAGATGTATCTAGGTAACTACGATAGAGCAGTGGCATAGATGACCAGGGCATCATGGGCATGTACCGGACGATTAATTATTGTAATTGCAACATCTAAGCAAAATAAGAAAAAAGAAAATCGCCAAAGAATGTGACGATCGATTAGAGCTCAGTGGATATCAAAAATAGATTATGAAAATCCATAGGGATATCTAGTTTCACAACCGTAGGGCCAGGTGATAAAAAATGAACACAAACGAGCAGGAGCGCGGGAAAAGACACGGAGTAGTTCATGGGTTTGTTTTAAAGCTTGACAACGATTTTGCTCGCGGAGACACCTTTCTTCTGGATGTTGAAAGCATCCTGAACATATTCGAGACCGGTCCCTACAACCTCAGGCTTGGGAGCAGGAGTAAAAGTGCCCGCGGCAAGGGCTTTGGGAAGGTAATCAACGAATATACCACGTCCAACTTCACTGTTGGTAATCATACCAGCGTTCAGCATGTTGGATTTGATACCCTTGAACATGCCCTTCACCTTGTAGGAGATGATCCATGAAACAAAGAAGATAACGGTGCGGAGGAAGATCAAATTCTGGGGCTCCTTTTGGGGAACAGGGAAAGTGGCTAACGCGACGAATTTGTTTCCCTGGCAATGATCGAGTATTTCCATGAGTTTCTCGGCGGCCCCTTGACCAATGGACAAAGCACCGGCAGCAGTCTTGCCCTTCATAGCCTTTATCATCTCAGCGGCGACGGTGGGGCTTTTGTAGTCAAAGACATGATTAGCACCAAGGCGCCGGAGATATTCGTGATTTTTGGGGGAGGCGGTCGTAAAGACCTCGTAGCCGGCGGCTGCAGCAAGTTGGATAGCATTAACACCGACGCTGGTAGAACCGCCCCAGATAAGGACAGTCTTGCCGTTGAATGGCTTAGCGGGCTCTGAGGGCAAATCGAGACCCAATTCTGTCTTGTCGAAGAGACCAGCAGCGGCAGTAGCAATACCGAGAGGAATGACAGACGCCTCTTCGTAAGAAATATTGTCGGGAATGTGAGAGGTCATGTTGGGGCGGAGAACTGTGTATAGCTGGAAGCCACCCTCGGCAGGGTCATTTATTTTTGGGTCGCTTCCGCGGGTAAAACCGACAACGCGGTCTCCAACCTTGAAGCGTTTAACATCTTTACCGACCTCCACGACTTCGCCAGAAACGTCGGAGCCCAGTACGAAGGGATATGCAAGATGGGTGAACATGATATCACCTCGTGCTTGGATCAACCAGTCAATGGGGTTGATTGCAGCGGCCCCGTTCCGGATGACAATTTTGTCGGCATCAGCGGGCTTGTAGGGAGCATCGCGAACCTCAAGGGAAGGCGCCTTTTGAGCTGGTTGGTAGGCAGCGCGGTTAGAAGGCATTTTCTTGATGTTGATAAAGGATGCCTCCATGAATAGGAGGAGATGGAGGATAATAGTATCGAGGGAAGTCGTTGTGAGGACAAGCGGAGAATATTTCGCGCGAGGATGAAAGCTAGTTTATAACAGCATCAACACTAGACTGCTGAGCGTGACGTGGATCTCATCAAATGTGGAATTCGGCGCATTGATGCAGCAAGAAAAAAATATATTACGGAACAAGTTGGAAAAAATGCTTCAAGTTTATAGAAGTTGACCAGATGGGTGGCCCCAGCTTGATACGTGCGTTAAAGATGGGTGACATAATCAATCTGGCAAATGTATTTCGTAACTGTGAAGGTATATGATAGGAAGATGGACGTGAATCGCCCCTTGAAGTGTCCCAAGTTGAGTACACAGGAATAAAGAGTGACTGTTGGTATTTGGCGGGTGGAATAATATCCCTAGCGCGTGGAGCATCGGAGCGGAGATTCTGGCATGTCCGCCCAGCCAGCCAGCACGGTGGAGTCTGCAACAACCAAATACTCCGTGCTCCTTGGTTGCTCGTCTCAATTCCAACCTGGAGTCGATTACACAAGACCAACAGCTCAAAGAAGCCTATGAGACAACTTCATGCCCTAAAATTATGATTTGTGCGTCTGTCGATCTTTACAGGAAAAAAAACGGAACAAAGTTAATCCATTCGGCGTTCGGAAGAATATAACTTCGTGTCATAGGATGCGGATGTAAATTACGCGTATCATGACTGTATCCAGCAGTAGTTTACATACATAAATACGGACTCAGTACAACAACAAAGAAGTAAGTTAGGTGCGACAGACATCGCAATCAACCCATTTCAGATCGAGTTCTTGCACTAGCAAAATCATCTACATCTCCTTAATAATTCTAGAAACAATAGATCGCATTATCAGCTCCAGGACGCTGATTCAACCATCTTGTGATCGCGTGTCCTCGACCTGTCTCATGCCCCGCCTTCTGCGCTTACTGTTGTCGTAATGGCTGACGGGCAGCCACCCCTCCAACCGCAGCCCCATGAACAACCACAGCCACGCTCTAGTCGGCGTCGTGAAAAACCACAATTATCATGCACTTTGTGCAGAAGAAGAAAGTATGATGATACACCTCCCTTTATACCGTTGTGGAAAGAACTTATGGCCACACCCTCCGCTACCGCAGCAAATTCAGATCTATACACTATTCGTAAGAGTGTCTGACAAGTTCAATGATTTAGGTTACGATGCGATCGAGGAGAACCGTGTGGAACATGTGTTCGCCGTGGCCTGGCGTCGTCCTGCGCCTATGTCAGGTCCATGGGGCAGGGCACAGTGCCTACTACTGCGCAGCCGGGAGTCAGTAATATGACAGACCGTATAGCTCAATTGGAGCGACTAGTGATTTCTCTTGTTGATGGCAACAAGACTACAAATGCTTCAGACCAGGATGGTTTATCCTTGCCGGTAATGACAACGCTGGCCCGGTCTTCTGGTAGACCACTGTCTGGTGATGCAGCAAACTTACAGTCTCCTCGACACTGGGGTCAAATACGACAATTCAATCAGGAGACAGCTTATGTTCCGGGAACTCATTGGACTGTCATTCTTGATGAGGTAGTTTGAAACTGGAGATCGTTTTGTAGTAACACTAATGGATGACTGACTATCTGGCCATAGATTAAGCAGCTCAAAAACATGCTGTCTCATGAAGACACGTCGAATAGCCGCAGCACCTCCTCTGCTTCTGCGCTTCCTTTAGATACAACTGAGTCGAATGTGCTTTTTGGAGGCCACAAATCCTTGAGCAGCCAAGAAATCCTGGCCGCTGTTCCGTCGAGATCTATTGCGGATAGGTTGGTTGCAGGCTATTTCCTTGACCGTCCCATTGTTACAAGTATGTTAACCAAAACATGGTTCAAGTGTCAAAGCTAAATTGAGTAGTCGTTCTGCATGGCCCGACGTTCTTACTTGAGGTTGGTGTCTTATTCATCATCTCCACGTCGACTTGATGTAAGCTTATAATTATAGTATGATGGTTTCTGGGAAGATCCTTTAGGAACGCCCATGACATGGATTGGGCTACTGTTTTCAGTTATGTGTCTGGTGCTATCATATCGACCTGAGGCGGTTCCAATGATTTCCGACTCTCAGGAACTTGCACGGATATATAGGGAAAAGATTGTACAATGCCTTTACCTTGGAAAGTATTCGAATGGTACGCCATACAGTGTTGAGACATTGTTGTTGTACTTGCACATCGAATTACTTCGAGCAAGCGATACGCAAAGCGAGCCTTGGACAATGTTGGGTGTTGTCGTCCGCCTTGCATATCGTATGGGTTATCATCGAGATCCTTCGCATTTTCCAAATATACCTCCGTTTGAAGGTGAGATGAGACGACGAGTATGGTCTATGCTTGTTCGGCTCGATATCCAAATGTCGGCGCAAGTTGGACTACCTCGTATGATTAGGGAAGACCAAGCGGACGTCGCTGAACCACGAAATCTACTGGATGAAGACCTACATCGTGACATGCAAGAGTTACCTGCATCACGGCCCGCTGCCGTTCTGACAGAAATCCAGTACAGCCTACTAGAGAGTAGATTGCTTTCGATTCGCGGGGGAATAACTGATTGGATGGAGGCTGTGACAAACAGGAGAACAAATCTAGCCCTTGCGAAGGCTAATATCTCTCGTTTGGATCAGCAATTGGACAATGCATATGCCGCACTCCCAGAAACGCTTCGCATGCGACCAATGGCCAAGTCGCTGGTTGATAATGCTGAAACTATTTTAAGACGTATGGTACTCTTTCTGCATTTGCAGGAGTCCAAGTGCTCATTGTACTATCGATTTGCAACCTTACTGCCGTCCTTTGGTATTGAAGAGGAAAGTCAAATCAATCACAATTCTGCCCACTCTATATACATCGAAGCTGCTTTGCACATTATCCGATGTCAACGAACGCTATATGATGAAACGCAAATCTCTGGGCGTTTATGCAAGGATCGATGGAAGGTATCGGCATTGCTCCGGAACCCGTGCTTGATGGCTACTTCCCTACTGTGTTCAGAGATTGGTGCTGTCCATAGTGGCCCGGTTTTCAATTCTTCGACCAATCAGTTCCCTCAACAAAGCGACGATAGTCCGACTAGCCCAAAATCCCAATTGAACCACCTGGCGCCTGAAAAGCGAGCCGCAATCGTCCAGGCCCTACATGACTCTTGTCTCGTCTGGACTCATCTAAGCGAGACTTCGCACGAGGCCTTTAAAGTCGTTGAAGCGGTGCGATCGGTCCTGAACGCAATGCCCAATACCGATATGACCATGTCACCAACAGTGGATAATGGCCCAATTCTGGATATGACTATGAATAATGTCACGATGGTTCCTAGCGGTAGTGTCGCAGGAAGCCCCTCAAGAAGTATGTACTCTGCGTCCTCTTGTCACTGATGTCAAGCCCTATGTATGTGTAGGCTAATTCTTATCCCTTCAAGTGCTTGATCTTCTACAGCAACAGAGCGATGGTCATGATCCGAACATGCGCCTCAGTACTGCTACTTCCCAGCTTCCCAATCTTGTTGCCCAGCATCACGGGATTGGGGAAGGATCTCAGATGCACTATGATCCACTATCACAGAACCAGTTGAATATGGTAAGTAAGACCTTTGGCAGAAAGATTCTCAAGGCTGATGATTCCTTTCAGCATCCCCAGAGACTGGAGCAGATGGAAAGAATGGCGAAGTACTTCCCGAAAAGATTTGCGTTCCTTTTATGAAACATTATTAGAAGCGAGTTTTGCTACTATAAGGTTAGTGCGGAATCTTCAAGGCCTGCTAGCAGACAATACGAGAATCTGGGGTGTTAAGATCATCAAGTTAAAAGTCCGAAATCCCACACATGTGCGTCTAGCTCGCGACATCAAGAGACGCCATCCACAAAGTTCTGCTCAGAGTCTAGACTGAATCGAGATAATCTTATCTCCTGACGTTTGGCTCAGCTGGGTAGGTTGGACTGAATTAGAATCCAAGAGCTACTGCGCAGTTAATACGAGGAGAATAGGTCCGTGCGAAGACGATGACATTGCCTGCTGACGAATGAGCGCTATGATAAAACATAATTGATATACAGTACGGATGCACTCCGTAGGAATCAATGACTACGCTTGGATCCTCGTACGTTATGTTGACCTAGCGTACTCCGTAGTTACTCCTCACACGTAGTGAATCAAGCCACGGTGGATCTAGCAGTCGGTCGGATACGTGGCTGAGACGGCCGGTCTGTAACACATACTGTATGGAAATGTACTACGTATCATGATACCGTAATACAATACGTTTCCGCCCTTCTCCCCATCTCCGCTCACTTCTCCGAGCATGTGCGTGGAGGGAAGATCATCAAGGTGGCCGATCGCTTCACCACAGAATGATCCTTAGACTTTAATCACTGTATTATTTGGCGGCTACGAATAAAGCCCAGAACTGCAGAGTTCCCTAGTTGGAACGCCTTGCCAGTCATAGTCCGTTGTTATCACCCATTCTTGCCTGGGGGCGTTTTTAACATCAGACAATATAATCTACTGTTGGAATAGCTGAATCGTCGGTTTAATATTATATAATGCCTTGAACAGGCAATGGTATTTCCAGCTGGTTAACTAATCATTGAGCGACTACTTCAATTCTGCAACTCTTTGCATACAGCTAGATGGATTACCATGAAGCCGCTGTTTGTTAGGGAGTTACGTGACTCCGTAGGTTGTATGCCGTGATATATCGTCGTCTAGTTTGTACGCGTATCCTATTTCGATAATGGGGGCTATCTTTCATCACAGAGATGAGTGAAATTCCATACACCCACAAGTCGCAGTCAAATGTCGTTGAGGGTTGCCATACTCTGTCGGTAAAGTACAAGCATTAGCTTTGTTAGGGCAAGGACTGATACAATATTTAGAAGCTAAGGGTCATACCTGCAATATATGACGACCTGCAGCATTATTATGTACTATGTTTTGGCCATCGAATAAGTAAATGTATCTCACGCATGTGAATTTTAAAACCAGAAACCCACTGTCGCATATAAGGTTTGTTTTCACTGATTCGAATAGGGTCAGCATGAAAAATCAATTCAATTCATGAGCACTTAGAAACTGTTGTATTCAAGGTTCTATCTAAGTATCAGCTGACAAACGGTATCTTGCTGTACCGTGCTTGATTTTGTTTTTTGAAAAAAAAAAAATCTATAATCTAATGAAATTCAAATAATATAAAGAGAAGGAAGCCGTGAAATCTGGCCGTCTAAAGGAGGAGAGAAACCCACACGAGCAAATGCAGAGACTCTCAAACTATGCCAAGATAGTCCGCGGCCTGAAAACATTAGCAGGCTGAAAGGCTTCAGCCTGTACTATGGCCTCCACGTCAAGCTGCTTCGTCAAAATGCCGGTCTCATACGCAATATCCCAAATATTTTGTACCAATGCTATGGCGTCCTTGGTTTTGATGGGCACTCGGTGGTTACCTTCCCATTCCATCAGTCTTGCTGTACCTTCTTCGCAGTATTGAGACAAAAGCTTGCGGTGCTCATTCAATCCCGCATCCTGTGTACCATGGACATGAATCGTGGGAAGATACAAAACATGCTCTGTGCTACCACGAAGGCATTCATCTGGCAACGCAGTAGTAGAAGCTTCGGATGCGGCTACAACAGCAGGGGTCATCAACAGGTGATGATCAAGAGAAACCAAAGGTCCTCGGCCAGCGAGGATAATCGCAAAACGCCAGTTTGAGCCGGTGCAATGCAATCCGAGTCTTTCCGCTCGCACTTGCTGACGGAATAGCAGACTTGCACACATTTTTGCTCCCTGACTAAACCCAAGCAGACCGACCCATTCGCCACGTCCCCCTAGACGATCATCCTCATCCATGGCTGCCTTCAGGCTATCATCAATTGCTTTGACGGCATTGTCGGGATGAATTTTGGGATGGGATTTTTTGGATCTCAGCCAGCGCTTGAAAGGTCCAAATTCTTGGTAGACCGAAGTCACATCAGGGCCAGCATCAGACGAAAAGGGCGCCTCGGCAAAAACAAGTCGAAAAGTGGTTGAGAGATATCGCTTAATAATTCGACATTGTGCTCGGAAAATTCTGGCGTTTGTTCCACCGCCGTGAAGACAGAGAATCCTCGGTAGATGGAGGGTTTGGTCCACCACAGGACTAGGTTGGTCGACAATCATGATACCAATGTTGACAGAGAAGGGAATATGGAAACAGTGAGAAATATCACAAAAATGACAGTTGCTATTCGTATCATCAGCCAAACTGAATCTTCTAAGACATTAATGGATTGTCAAAATAGAATTTGAGCCAGTATGGGCAGTGTTTTGGGCCTGGATAAAAGAATCTATCCATATCAAGACAATATGGATCTCATCGCGTGAGCTCGGCCCCTCTACGGGAACCTAGGAGATAGGTAGAGAATGGGGCTGTCGACTGGGTAGCTAGAATTGTCACGATAGGGAATCTGGACTTTGGGGGGTGATCAAGCCCATTTCTGAGAATACGAAGCATATCAAAGACTGGGCCTCCTTGTGGCCTCCACATGCTGACGGGCCATTCATACCTCTTTCCGCTATACGGACACAGATAATTGCTCATTTCAATACGGAATTGTGACTTCTGAATGAACTACATGAATAGCAGTCAAGCCGTTTAAGCTAGGGGTCAAGCAAGTGGATACACGTTGCTTGCCTACGGAGATTTAGCTGTTTCGTTAGAATTCTAGAAAGTTAGGGCTAATCTTCAGGACGGCGGGTGACAGGAGTGTTTCAATTCTGCAGCTGTAGGTAGATTCAGCCTGGAAGCATTGAGGTCTGTCAATCATATGCCGTCCAGTGTCCGCTATTCTTCCGATATTACTGGTGAATCATTCGGTTGTCGGACTTTCTACACTGGACCGACTTGTTGGCAGAGGGAAGATTACGATGCCTGAGGCATCGAACACCAAGGCAACAAGCCTTAATTGTGCAATGAGTCTATGATACATGTTGACTGGGTGGAAATATTGCCTAGAGGACCTATTTGATTACATATCCCTTCTCAATCTCTTTCATGTTATCATTGAACAGTGTCTGTCATCTTGCTACATGTCAATTGCTGCATGAGACAGGGGCAAAAACTCCGAGCAAAACTCCGAGCAAAAATTCCAAGCAAAACTCCAACTGGCCAGATAAGAGATTTTTGGACTAAGACCCCCCAAAAGTAATGCTGTATGTCATAGTAACCATTGCCATCTAAAATTATCGTTTTCTGGAAGCTGCCCCAGAACGAAGTGAAAGCGAGATCTTCTCAAAATGCGTGTATAAGGCCATTTCAAATCAGGCGTTTCGCCCATACCTACTTGGTACTTTGTGTGCGATCCATAGTATGACGATAGGATTTTACAGGTTGCTTATATAAAATAGTTGATTGAGTCCACTAGATAAATCTTCCTAACCGATCAGAGGTGCAACCCTATCTTGAAATTGCTTTTCCACGTGATTATCTTTTTATGATATCGTACAGCTACTTAGGAGTTACACATCTGACTGAAGCCAAGTTTTCAAAAAGAGAACGAGACACAGCAATCATGAATAACGGAGTCCCGCGAAAGACTAAGTTCCCCATAGTCCTCGGTTCCGGATTGTATGGAAGCTATGAGCGGTTTGAAGGCGCAAGAGTAAAGTCAGTAGAGGATGCCAAAGTCTTATTCGATATCTTTCAGTCACACGGTCACACCGATATAGATACCGCACGAATCTACTCTGCTGGATCATCCGAGGAGTACCTGGCGGCAGCCGACTGGAAGGCTCGAGGGCTCAATGTTCGTGACAAACTATATCCAACAAAGGGAAAGCCATTAGGTCATCTGGGACCTGCCTATAGTCTTGAGCCCGAGGATGTGCGGAAAGGTTTGATGGACTGCCTCGAAGCCTTGAAAACAGACAAGCTCGACCTTTTCATTCTTTACGCCCCCGATCGCAAGACACCTCTGGAGGATACGTTGCGTGAGGTAAATGCACTGCATCAGGAGGGGTATTTCAGCCGTCTCGGCATTGCCAACTACATGTCCTGGGAAGTGGCAAAGATCTGCGAACTTTGCGACCGATATGGATGGATTAAACCCGTCATCTACCAGAGCCTCTATAACGTTCTCTCTCGTGTGATAGAACCTGAGCTCATTCCTTGTCTGCGCGCGTATGGATTGGCTTTGCATACCGGTCAACCTCTGGCTGGTGGTTTTCTCACCTCCCGATACACTCGCCATTTTTCACCGACGGAACATGAGGCTGGTTCTCGATTTGATCCAAAATGCTTCCATGGCAAGCACCACAGATTCCGTTATTGGAACGATACAAATTTTGATGCTCTTGACATGATTCGTGAAGTAGCTAAGAAACACAATGTTACTGAAGTTCAATGCGCTATGCGCTGGTTGAGTCATCACAGCATGTTGGACAAGGATCGCGGTGATGCTATTATTATTTGTGGTGTAACCCCTGAACAGTTGAGAGAGGATTTGGTAGCATTAGAAGAAGGTCCCCTACCGGAGGAGGTCGTTCAAGTTTTGAATGCAGCCTATCTGAAAGTTCGGGGTCTTATTGGGCCATACAACCATTAAGCTATACGATCTGCTGTCGTATATTTCAAACGTCGTATATATTATCCTTATGGAATGGCGTTATTCCTTCCGGGAGCTTGAACATCCAAAGACGCAGTGCAATAGGGAATGGATAGATCACATTCATCGACGCAAAAAGAATAGTAGTCTGGTGAAGAACATAACGCTACATCGACGTAAAGAGGGTGGTATAATATTTGTATCTAGGTGACAAAGAAGAAGACAGAATCAACTCAGAACAATGAAGAAGTATACGAGAGACAAAGAGAAATTAAAACCCACTGCAACCCCCAGCAAATGAGCCTGGTATTATATGCGAATACTGGCCAGAGTCCCCCCATCTTACCGGAAACAACAAAATGGCAGATTCGGTCTGTAAAGGAGGCTTATTTTCATCCTCATCCTCCTATTTCCTCTATGTGCAACTCTAGTAGATATTGTATGAAAAAACACGCCTCTGATGCTTGGCTATAAGTATGTGCTACAAATTATTTAGTTCGAAGCTAAGTAAGAACACAATGACGCCCAACCGGGAGAATGCAATACCCTCCTTTCAGTTCAAACACGCCGGAATACAAAGAGCGAGGATCAATAACGAAGAAGGAAGAGCTTGAAACAGGGATTGATAACTCAGACATCAGTCTTGGGTCGATCTGAGACTGCTGGTGGTTTTTGGCCTCCGCGTCCTCCACTTGCCCCTGGAGGACCCTGTTTCTTGCGAATATCTGTCCAGCCCATGCCCCAGCAAGTAAGAAAAGCTGCGCACGATGCACCCACTGCGAGGTAGAAGACATGGTCAACACTCGTTGCATATGCCACTAGAACAGATTGCAGCTCCGATGAGGGAACAACAGACCGAAATGCGGTAGCACCAGCCCGTATTACTGCTTCAGCATCGACACCTGGCGCCTCTTGTGGAATGATGGTTCGGAGACTGTTGTTAAAGATGACATCTGCGAAACTGAGGAATGTTGCCGAGAAGAATGACTGGCAAAACATAATCATCGCCATAGCGCTTGGTACCTGTTGCAACTTCAACGTGTTCTGTACTGCGATAATAGGCTAGAAACGTCATTTTAATCCCGTTATAGAGAATACCGAAACATATCAAATTATGGACTCACCATCTGCAATCCAATGCCACGACCCACGCCCAAAATAATCTGATATCCAATCCACCTCCCGGTATCAGTGGTTATCGAGAAAGTTGAGATTAATCCATTGCCTATGGCCGCTAGGGAAGTGCCGAGAACGCTCAACGGTAAATAATAACCGATCCTACCCACTATATACTAGTTAGCGACACTACCAACTGCTCGAGCATAACATATACTCACATAATTGGCCGGATAATATAGCGGAGATCATTTGACTTATAATACTTGGAAGAATGTCAACACCGCTAATCATCGGACTAGCATTCTTGATTGCCTGGAAATAGAGCGGTAGATAGTAAGAGCCGCAAATTAACAAAGAGGCAAGAAAGCCGTAAGTAACGCAGCTTGCCCATACGGTGCGAATTGTGAAAATCGAGTAAGGAATCATGGCTCTGTCGCCTACACGGTATTCCCAGCTCATGAATATGATGAAAATCACGCCAGCACCGCAGAAAAGACCGATTATGATAGCTGAGTTCCAAGGATAGGTACTGCCACCATACTGTAGTGCCAGAAGAAACATAATAGCAGCGGGGGCGAATAAGGTAAAACCGACCAAGTCGAGGTTCTGTAACACAGATGTGACGCTTTTCAAACCTTTAGGCTTTGGGATTTGTTCTGGAATATCGAGAAAGACCAGTAGAACTGCGACCAAGCCTCCAACTGGGAGGTTGATGTAGAAACCTAGAGGTACATCTCGTAAAATTTTCACTTTCATGGATGGAATCCAAAAAAAGTTCGTGAACTTACACCATCTCCAGGAGACATACGAGGTCAAAGCTCCTCCCACCAAAGGACCAGCAACCATACCTAATTGTGAAACTAGCAGTTGTCAATAAAATCATCTTTTATGGGACCAAGTCAAAGTACTTACTGCCCATCAGGAATCCCATAAGAGCTAGAAGCTGTTAGTAACCATCGAAATAAGGCTGCCTGTCATTAACATACCTGGTCTTCGAGGCATCGGTACGGATCCTGCGACTATAGTGAAAGCTCCGTTCTGTATACCAGATCCCCCCATACCGGCTACTGCGCGTCCGACGATCAACATTTTGGACGAGGTTGCAACCGCGCAAATGAGGGAGCCGACTTCGAAAATGAAGAAGAATGAAAGAAAGGTCCACTATAACTAATCAATATTCACATCTTGGCTGTTTTCAAGAACGGCAGATTTAGGTTTTGCATACTTTGGTGTTGCATGTTGAGTAAAATCGCCCCGTTAAGGGTTGTAGTGATGCACTGTCAAGATGAATGTCTGGTCAGAAATTTAAATGAACGAACAGGGTGCATACCACCACTTACCTTGCCAACTGATATGCACTACCATACCAACCCACGTCATTAAGTGAGTGAAACTGTGAAGCAATAGACTGTTAGACAGAATGACTCGTGGCCGAAACTAACACACATACTTCACTAGTAATTCGAGGCGTGGCCTACCAGCGTGGTTAGCATTAATTACAAACCATCAATAGTCTGGATGAGTGTACGGTTGAGATAATGGACGTATCGAGTAGCATCAAGAATGCCACCAATGTGATGCCGGCCATCATGAAAACCAGTTTTGGTCCCGTAACCCACTCATGATTCTGAGGTGGTCCTCTCCGCGACTCTGGATCTAGTTGCTTTGGTTGCTTCTGCGAGGCTTGCAGTGATGGTGAAGTAGGTGGTTGTGTAGTCTCTTCGAGCTCGATGTCATCGAAATGTGAGGGATCTGGCTTCGGAGAACTTGGTTCCTCGCCAAAATCTATCACTACTGTGGTTGAAGACGGTCTCTGACTTGTAGTTTCCGACGACATTTTTGCTGTCTCTCACCCCAAAACACGAAGTAGAAGACAAAGGGAGAGTCGTGGAATGACCGGGTTATTGTCGTATATATGAAGATGATATCATAGAAGACAATATGGGGTCTCCACTGATTAAAGTGCAAAATTGGAACCTGAAAAAGATTTTGGAGAGGAGGACTAGGCCCAGACTGTGGTGTTGGTAGGCAAGTCGCTGTCAACAGTGTACTTCCAAATAGGGTTAGGTTATGCAAATGCAACGGTAGCCCCAAAAGAATTTATTGTGCATACTTATACATCACATGGTCTAAAAGGTAAAAAGAAAACTCCATAAAGCTCTTCTGACATGTGTAGGGCTAATTGTTTAGCAGAGACAGGGGTGTTCTGGCCCAAATCTTACTATTATGAACTCGTGGTCAGTGGAACGCTACGATAGATGCTAGGACTAAGCACAAATTCGCACAGAATACTTGTATAAATGAAATAAGTCGTGTGTCCGTAATAATTGTGAATTCCCAGTATTCATACTAAGGTAACAAGTAGAACAAGGTCCATGTTCGAATTATTCAGTACTCCGTACAGCGCGGAGATACTCCGCCATCTCCGAGTCCTCGCCCCCAACTAGACAAATTAGGTCCATAGAGCTTTCATATCTATGACCCGAGTTATTTTTGAATTGCATCCGCCAGAAATAGCAGCATTACCTCGCCCCGCGGCCCTTTGGAGTTTGACGTTCAAGAGTAACACGGCCAATATCAGCTGTCTATAGGCGCAGTGGTATCGGTGAGTCGGAAGTCGTCTTCGCCGGTGGGTAAAGTCGTGAGGGAAACCAGAGATCCCATGAGAGACTTATCGCCTACTGGAAAGTGAATGTAATTCTTACATTTCATATTTGGCCGGGTTATTGACAACGCTTTCGGCAATATTGACACGTAAAGTTGGCACGTGGATGGTTGCTCGGAGCTTTGTTACAGGGCAGCGAATTCAATCATTTTAGCACGTATTGAACGAAATCGATTTCATCTTCACTCAACAGTTCCGGTAATAAAAGAGTTTCCACAAAGAGGTAGGTCGGCTAGTGTGACGGGTTCCCATCTTAGCATAGTAATTGGTGAGATATCTTGTACTCCATATCGAATACCTACACATACGTGAAATGGCGAGTCAACCCTTGAACAGTACATTATTCAATCTGCTGTAATAGATAGCGGCATAGAAGGTACCAACATGCATAGTGAAGAGAAGTTTACTTTATTCAGTCTATTGTCGTGAAATGAATCTAACGCACTCTAGTAATGGATTGGACGAGAGAACCATCTTCCAGCGTCGCAATCATGTTTCGGATAATCTAATGAAAAATTCGAACAAAGTATCCATATCGAGGATTTCCTGATGCACCTTCTTAAATTAGTTGCCCTCGACCAAGCACCGCATCCCTCGTGGAGTAGCCATGAAGTACATCAAAGGGTTCATCTCCTCCAATGTCATGCCATTGCGTGTTGACATATGAGCATTGGGAAACTTTTTGAAAAATAAAGCAGCGCCCATGCGAATTTCGATCTTTGCGAGATGCATACCAATGCAGACTATTGCGCTGCTCGTCAGTGATATGCTTTTGCATTTTGCCCTAGACCACGTCCAAATCGGGAAGGGTAATTGAAAATTACTATATTAGGAAATAATTTGACTTACCGCGAGATCCACCTCCGAATGGCAGGAAGGCATCTTTCATTTCACGGCTAGGGTTGAACCAGCGTTCAGGTTGGAATCTAGCATTCAAAAAATTATCAGATCATTTCAAGGACAGAATCAATCATTTGGAAAACATACTTTTCTGCATTTGGGAATGCGTATTCGTTTCTGTGTAAGGTAAAAGCTTGACTCGAAACAATGGTTCCGCCTGGGATATGGTGGCCAGACAATTCAGCACCTTGAGGAGGAGTCACACGAGGTAATGGAGACGGCGTTGCGGGGTACAGGCGCAGGGTCTCGTTCAATACAGCGTTCAGATACGGTAGATCCTGCACGTCCTTATGCTGCAAATTATCGGGAAGATTGGCCACCTCAGCCACTAGTTTCTTTTGAACTTCTGGGTTGATGCACACGCCGAAAATAAGGTATGTGAGGGTCACAGCTGTGGTGTCACTTCCAGCAGCAATGTATCCCACTGCTTCACGGACGATTTCCTGATCGGTCAAACCCTCTTTGCCGTCTCTGCCTGGATTATAGAGCTTAGTAAACAGCGTGGGTTTAGGATCAATATGATTCTGGTCAATGATGCGCTTGTATCGTTTGATTGATTGATCAGCGTAGTTGCGGATACGGGCACCAGCTTCAGTGGCTTGCTTGAATACCGATAGAGGAAGGATCTTGGACACTATTTCGATGAACGGGAAAATCGATCGAAGTGCCATCAAGCGGGAAACATTTTGCAGATCCGTAATGTATTGTGTTTTCTGATACATACGTTAGTGTGTATCCTTTTTTCATGTAAGTCCTGAAGGGCATTTATCTACCTTTCCTAGCTCCAACATACGGAAAGATTCACCAAAGGACAATTCACCAATGACATCTGTCGCCATAAATGTCCACCATTTGAAGATGTCAGCAGCCCCCATATTGGAAATCTCCTCCTCAATGCGAGCAATAGTCATATAAATACGTTGGTTGATAATTGGCTCCATCTTGAGTAAATTCTGCTCAGAAATAGGACCCGACAGTAGCCGACGACGTTCAGCGTGGAATCGGGGATTGGTTGTGCTGAAAAGCGTCTCTGATCCCTGGTATCCGAGTTTGCGATACCATCCTGATTTGAGGTAGCCGGCGCCAACTTTGTGGATTTCTCGTGCGGCGTTGACATCTGAAAAGTCTATCTCGTTGGGACCAATGCGAACGAGGGGACCTGGAGGTAGTTAGTAACTTATATTATAGTTTCAGTTTGTTCGTGTCTCTCTTCACCATACCGTAGATTTGATGTAAATTGTGAATCCATCGCGGCCGAGTTCCCTTGATGAGCTGATATTGCGTATACCAATTAGTCCATTTGGTGATCTCAGGACCGGGAATTCGAGCAATTGGGTTTGTGTAAGTCAGATAGATAGTGCGCTGTTGCCAATAATTCATCAGCTTTTAACTTCAAGACTCAGATTACTTGCCAACAAACGCAGTATTGACTTTAAGGTTATCTGGAGGTGATCTTGGCGGTCGTACCACGACAAAGAGGCTGACTAGCCCAGCCAACACGGCCAGCATGGGAACTAGGCCTAACAACAAAAGCGCCATCACGATGATTGATTGGAATCTATTTATGCCTATTGTTTAAACACAGAGGCGTTGAGATCCGTCCAAGGAATCTTGGTAGAGAAATGGGGACGCCTTGGCTAATTTTAAACAAAGAAGAACGATCTATACTACGGAATTGCTAAGCCCAGTATTAGGAATGAAGAAGCTGTCATTCATCTACGTTTGTGTTTGTTGTACAATTCTAATGACATTATGCACTGAGGGTAAATTTCACGATGTAGTTACTCGTTATATCGCGTGGTGTATGCAAATTACTCCGACCCGAACGGACCATCCGCTTGCATTTCCAGGACGGATGATTGGGTAGTTGGCATTACGACGCCTTTTACTGCGATCAACTGTTGTATAATTCAATTTACTAGTAACGATGGGGGCGGGAATCAGGTAACTTGAGGACAAATACTTTCTGGAGGTTGGACGCGACGTGTCTGTCGTTCCAGGAGACATGTAGGTAGTGGGGCCGTGATTAGATGACCAGAAGAACTGCGCAAGCCAGAAGTTATACATGAACACAATATCCATCAGATATGGTAGGGGATGATAAGTGAATACATGCCATCTTCTACATATAGCCCATCGTCGGTCGGAGTTTCTTGGGACGGGCGATGTTAGCTTCGAACACTTTGTCAATTTCGATCTGGTGTTGGGACTGCAAATATAGATATACCTGCACGTAGTAATCAGCATCCTTTCACCTATGTCTGTGTTAAGGATAAAAGTATATAGCGCGTCCCGAGTATTAACCGGACTTAACTCATCTACAATCCAAAAACGTATCGATCGAAGAAACCTCGGCAATTAGAAGTGTCTCAATAAGAAATTGGACCAGCACTAGAAACAGCACAAAATGGCGACGACCTGGACTCAAACATCACCAGGTGTATATCAGGCCAACCTGGACGGTGCAGAAACCGTGTACCGAAAAACAGCAACAGTGTTTGCTCCACTAAAACGAGAGCATTGGAGACTACACACTATCTGTCGCTTCAACTTTGGGCCTGGTTACAATGGACCGACCGACAAAGAAACTGCGCTGCGACAGGCATGGAAAGCCCTTCGATACGAATTTCCTGGTATGACCGTGGCCCCGGACAGATCCAAGAAGATCTACAAGACTCCTGATGCTCGGACAACCAAAGAATGGTTAGAGCAAACATTCTTCGTAGAACCGAAGAGAACAGCAGATGAGATCATCGCTGAAGCAGTGCCTCTGCAGGAAGTACCTAGCCTATATTATCTCCCAGCCACATCGGAAATTCTATTCTTCATCTCTCACTGGCGTATCGATGCGATGGGATCATGGATGGTCACCGACCGGCTGTTCCACCATCTCGCCAATCCGTCCAAGAGCGGCCTCCCAAAGGTGCCACCACCCAATGAAATAGAGAAAATCTCCCCGAGCTTGGAAGACGCGGCAGGATCGCCAAAGGTGTCAACACCGGAAATGGACAAAGTGGCTGCCGACCACATCGCTGCGCACCACCGCAACGCCATTCAGATGGGTGGTATGCCTTACAAGGGCGACGCCATTACACTTCCCGGAAGTCCAAAGCGCGAGGCCGTCATCTTCACCCGGGAAAGCACTCAAAAGGTAGTTTCTGCGTGTAAGGCTCGCGGGATCACTGTGACTGCTGCTATTCACGCAGCGCTCGCCGAGACGGTCTTTGCTATGGGTTTGCCCGAATCGCGAGAACACGATTATGTCACTGTCATGCCAGTCAACTTGCGTAACTATCTGAAAACGCCTTACAATGGAGATGGACATGCTCTCCAGACCTATGCCGGCAGTATCACACCTCGGGTTCCTCGTCACGCAACCTTTGCCAAACGCACATCCTACTTGGTAGAGTACTATAAAACACGATACGACCCAAAACTCATTGAGTGTTTGCGACCGATCTATAGGTACCATGCCGAAGCCCTTTTTAAGCCGCTACCGGCACCGGCAGCTGCACCGGAAGGGACACCGGCAACATCCAATGGAAACAAGCGGCCCCCTCCCGGCCTCCCCAGCGGTATTTCGATTAACAGTCTTGGGGTGGTGGAGAAGTATTTTGCAGGAAAATATGGCGATTCAGTGGATGTCGCGACATTCACTTTTGGGGTTAGTATGATTACGCGTCAGACTATGCTGTATGTATGGACATGGAAGGGTGAATTGACGTTGTCGAGCGAATACAACGCGGCATACCACGATCCGGAGGAGGTTCGGGAAGTGATGCTGTCGATCAAACAAGTGTTGGAGAAGGAGTTGGAAGTCAGTCTGGATGAAGTCTCACGGTAGGCTAAGAGGCAGAAATAGATTGTAGATTGAGCAGAATCGAAAGAGAGAGGTTGAAGAGCAAAAGGAGCAACCGTAAGCACGTACATAGTAGTCACCGTAGCCGGCAGAAGAGGAAGGAACGCCATCTCAGCCAATCAGCCGCGTCGATGACGCGACAATCGAACGGAAAGAGCAACCTCCCTAAGGTGGACTAGTGCGTTTGAGCTCAGTGCATTAGTCATGCCGCCCCATCTAGCCTTCAGCCAATGAGCGAATCCACATTCACCAATTAGTCAGTATCAGAGCCTGAGGCCGCGCATTACTAAATGGGCTGGGACTAGACCGATCTTCCCCGCATCGCTGGAGCTTGGGCTCTCTGCGGGGTCAGTCCAGTCCCACCAGACAGAAGAAGAATAACGACAGTTGCCAGACAGTTCAATGTTATGCTCGAGACGAATATCATGAAGAGGGGAGATATCTGTTTGTATGCGCAAAGAATTGGTAGAGAGGTATAAGCAGACATGTGTGCATATAAATATATATACTCCGTATATATCATCGCTTTAATGCTGAAGATGCATTTTGTTACATAGTAATCAGGCAATACGTGCTTTTAGAAATCGGACCAATTGGCTCATTTCTAGCACATCAGGTGATTTGGAGACCAGCATTGGTTGTCTCGCTGGGTTTCCCCCGCCTTCCTTGTGGTACCTTGGGTATTTAACTCTCTCCTCATTCCCCTCCATTCCTCATCTTCACTTATTTCTGCCAACACTTGTTCACATTAGTATCATCAAGACAAGTGATTATCGCGTAGTAGAAAGAGAAAGAATCAATATGGCTGCTGAGAGCAAGTGTCCCGCTCACCAGCGTGTCTTGAGATCCAATGCTGCCGGTGGTGGTACCAGCAACCGCGACTGGTGGCCAGACCGGTTGAAACTGAACGTCCTTCGCCAGCACAACCCAGTGTCCAACCCTCTTGGAGAAGAATTCGACTATGCTGCTGCATTCAACAGCCTAGACTACTTCGCCCTTAAGAAAGACCTCCATGATCTGATGACTGACTCGCAGGACTGGTGGCCCGCCGACTTTGGCCACTATGGTGGTTTGTTTATTCGTATGGCTTGGCACAGTGCAGGTACCTACAGAGTCTTCGATGGTCGAGGGGGTGGCGGTCAGGGTCAGCAGCGTTTCGCTCCTCTCAACAGCTGGCCAGACAATGTCAGTCTCGACAAGGCCCGTCGTTTACTATGGCCCATCAAACAGAAATACGGAAATAAGATCTCGTGGGCTGACCTTTTATTGCTCGCTGGAAACGTCGCCCTCGAATCTATGGGATTCAAGACCTTTGGTTTCGCTGGTGGTCGCGCCGACACATGGGAAGTAGACGAGTCAGCCAATTGGGGAGGTGAGACGACCTGGCTGGGTAATGACGTCCGCTATTCCGGAGGTAACGCTGGTATCGATGCCCACGGTGTGTTATCGGGCCAGGAGGCTGCTCACAAGGATATTCACAACCGTGACTTGGACAAGCCGCTTGCTGCTGCTCACATGGGTTTGATCTATGTGAATCCTGAAGGGCCTGATGGTACCCCCGACCCCGTGGCTGCTGCCAAAGATATCCGCGTCACGTTCGGCCGTATGGCCATGAATGACGAAGAGACTGTCGCACTCATTGCCGGCGGTCACACTTTCGGCAAGACCCACGGTGCTGGTCCAGCTGACAAGGTTGGTCCCGAACCAGAAGCTGCAGACATTGGGCAGCAAGGTCTGGGCTGGAGCAACAGCCACGGAACGGGCAAGGGACCTGATACCACAACCAGTGGTATTGAAGTCATCTGGACCAAGACCCCCACCAAATGGAGCAACAACTTCTTCGAGTACCTGTTCCGCTATGACTGGGAGCTCACCAAGAGTCCTGCTGGTGCCAACCAGTGGGTTGCAAAAGATGCAGAAGAGATTATCCCGGATGCATATGATCCAGACAAGAAGCACAAACCACGAATGCTCACAACCGATCTTGCTCTTCGCTTCGATCCAGTCTACGAGAAGATCTCTCGTCGCTTCTTGGAGAATCCTGACCAGTTTGCTGATGCCTTTGCCCGCGCCTGGTTCAAGTTGCTTCACCGTGACGTTGGCCCACGAAGCCTTTACCTCGGTCCCGAAGTACCCTCAGAAGTTTTGCCCTGGCAAGATCCTGTCCCTGCTGTCAACCATCCCCTCATCGGAAATGAAGACATTGCGGCTCTGAAGCAGCATATTCTAGGAACTGGCGTCAACCCATCCAACTTCATCTCTACTGCTTGGGCATCAGCTTCCACTTTTAGAGGAAGCGACAAGCGTGGTGGTGCCAACGGTGCTCGTATTCGGCTATCTCCTCAACGCGAATGGGCCGTAAACAACCAGCCTTGGCTGGGCGAGACGCTTTCTGTCCTCGAAAAACTACAGAAGCAGTTCAATGACTCTGCCCACTCAGCTGGAGGCAAGAGAGTTTCTATTGCAGATTTGATTGTCCTCGCCGGTGTCGCAGCCGTGGAGAAAGCTGCACGAGACGCCGGTCACTCGATCACAGTTCCCTTCACACCTGGTCGCACAGATGCCTCGCAAGAGGAAACTGATGTCCAATCCTTCAGCGACATGGAACCGGTGGCCGATGGTTTCCGTAACTATGGTGGATCCACACCACGCGTCCGCGCCGAGGAGTGGCTCGTTGACAAGGCACAACTACTGACCCTCACTGCTCCAGAGCTGACTGTTCTCATCGGCGGTTTACGCGTGCTTAACACTAACTATGACCGATCGCCTCACGGTGTATTCACCCAGAGACCAGGAAAGTTGACCAACGACTTCTTTGTCAACCTCTTGGATACCAGCACCGCCTGGAAGGCAGTCGGTGGCGGTAACTTCAGCGATCTCTACGAGGGCACAGACCGCAGGACTGGCGGCAAGAAATGGACAGCTACTCGTAACGATCTCGTGTTTGGCTCGAATGCTGAGTTGCGTGCCATTGCTGAGGTGTATGGTAGCTCGGACAGCCAGGAGAAGTTCGTCAAGGACTTTGTTGCTGCTTGGGACAAGGTGATGAACTTGGACCGATTTGATTTGAAGCAGAACAAGAAATTCAATCCTGGTCACCGTCTTTAGATCGGTGTGTGAATAGTTGAATGTTTATTTCGTGTTCGATGGAGCTTGGCTCTGTCAATTCGAACCCATACAAAAACCCTCCCATGAGAGTCTGATGGAATTATGCAAGCCATGACAAGATTTGTTGTTTTGATATTTCGAGATCGTGCAAGTGGAATGTATCTAGGCAGAATGTCTGATAACATAAGTACATACTCTTTGGTCAATTTGAAAAGGATAATCATTCTTCATATAAAAATCAAATAATTGCAAATTTCTTGGAGAATAATCTTCCAAGCTTGGATGTTGGGGCTATGCTGCCCACTCGGACTTTGATAATTATTACGTCGTGATAAAAATGCCCCATTTAGGGCATACGCCTAGGGCATGATTGGTATTGACGGAACTGCGAATTATACGAATACATAGTTACGAGGAACGTGAACTTGACACTTGGGTGTCTATCCATGTAGAAGATGTGATCAGTCGGGAAAAGACATTTCAATTCAAAAGCTACTAAGTATAAAAACTGATCACACGTCTAAATAGGAAATTGAGAAAGGATGAAGGCCACTAATCAAGTCACCCAGATTTAGAGCGAAAGAGCAACAGACAAGGTGCCGAGGTCGCAGGTCATGCAGTCCTAGCCTTCGACGCTAGAATCCGCCGAGCAGACGTAAAGGTCTGCTCCCATCCTAAAGATTGAATCCGTCTTCTGCTCTCTTTCCCGGGTTTCAATACTCTAGAAGAAGGAGGAGGAGGGGGGGCGGAGGGGGGGGGGGTTAAATCGCGAGGGTTGGGGTCCCCTAGGTCCAGCATAAGCAATCCACTCTTACCAAATAATGTTTCGTGCTTGGAATAGACTCCCCTTCCTCTTTCACTCGAAATACCGTCAATGTATCCTTTTTCCTTTATTGCCTCTATTAGTGGAGTGTTCACATTCTTTTCTGCCCCGTTTATGATTGCATCGACTCGTGGTACGTTCACGACTTGTTTACCGTTTTTGTCAACAATACCAAGCGAACACTTTCCATCACGAAAAGAGGTCCCCCGCTTGACTAGTTGTCCATTGAAATGTAATCAGTGACTCTTCTTTCTCGCTATCTTCAGCTCTGGTTCGAGTCCCACCACACGAGAGTCAATATAGGGTACCGAGATTTGATAATAGTGACCACAGTAGCCTCGGAACGCTGCACATGACATGCCACACCTGACCATTAATTCCTTCCACTCATGATGATAGCAACATGTCCACGGGTCTGTTGCTGAATGAGATTATGGACCTGAAGGTATATCTGATAATCTGACTTGAGTCCACACACCATATTGCACTCGACAGTCAAAATTTAGAACTACACCGTCACTGAACGACCCGAAATCTGTTTCATCCACAATTCTCAGAGGAGCAACAGTCCGAGCGATCTCTTCAAAGTGGCAGAGATGGAGAAAAGGTCCTTAACAGGTATACCGAAGATAGATCTCGAAATCCAGGCGTTCCGAAAATTAGAGAAACGAAAGATAAAAGTGATTGATAACCCTGACCCTAACCCCGAACAGTGATCAAAACACCAGAGAGTGAAGTTGCAACAGTCTTTGTGGTCAGCGGGGGATGGGATTTCCCTTTAGTTGTGACTACCCTAGTTGCAGCTGGTGCAAAGATCGTCGCATTGAGAAGAATCATAAAAAGATCGCACGAGGCTGGATAGGGAGTACAGCCAAAGATGGACATTTCACTCTTGGAGATGTTATCAACATTTCTAACTTGATGCCTTTGTTCACAGATTTGCACCTTGCAAATATACCACCCGTCATCAGGGCGATTGCAGAGGGCCCTGGTTATAAGCACCTAATGAAAAAGAGACGGCTCAATTTCTCGAATTAGGGATAATAAGAGCAGTCTGTGGAGCACGAGAGTGGAGGAATACGAAGCAATCGACATTTCGGAGAGGATACCAAAACTGGAACTGATTCAGGTGAAAGACACTGTCGCCGATCTTTCCAAGAAAGCCTGGTTGTTGAAAACAGTGCACGAGGAAGTGACTATTGATATGATACAAGCAGGGCTCGAAGCAAAAAGATCAGCAAAAAGATCAGTCTGCCTGATCAGCGGTGCTCAAGTGAATCTGCAGAAAATGGGCTTGGAAGGACTCGGTGACGTTCCCGGGTTTGTTAAAGAATACCTGCCGAACAGTCATAAACTCGGGAGGTCATTGGCATGATCCCTGACAAAAAGCACAACGCTGGAGTAATCGATCAGAACGGGATCTTTCAAGTGCCGCCATCTTGGTGGGGGGGCGAGTGCGTCAAGTCCTGCTTTGGGCTTTTTCAAACGAGGAGGGCCTGAATGTCTTCAAGTGGTGTGGATTAACCCGGAACAAAAGCCGCCCCCTTTGCCTCACAAGATAATACAGGTGCAAAAGGAAGAAGGAATGGAAATGAAGTGCGAGTGGATTCCAGGTTGCATAGATGATTTGATATTCGACAATTCTCAGACCATGATTGAGAACTTGAAGGTTCTCAACGTACTTAAACACACAGAACAAGAGATAGAATGCGATCTTCTTGTTAACACATGAAATCAGCTTATTTCCTTCGGTAGTAAAAGAAGAACAATGATCTTCGAGGAGCTGAAAGCTCATCACAAAAGTGCTAGACGAGAAGACTCCCCCAAATGGATTAATGAGAGATGTGGCTATCTATCCAGAGGCTGACTACCTTGATCTGGCATTGCGAGTACCTAATGATTGGCAAGTGAGTCTGGACGATTATGAGTCGTTGGGAATTCAGAGTTCTAAGAATCTTGTGATAATTTGAAAGCAATTATGAACTACAAGTCTAGAATTCGAGCGAAGGATCTACTGAGGTGATTCAAACTCACAATTAAATCATTTCCCATGACACTTCTCTGATGACTCTGTCGATATCTTATTGCCTAACTAGGGAACACCTCAGCTGCGTGTTGGATTGTACGTAACAATCTTAAGTGGTATATCTCAACGTATCAAATTATGTATGCAAAAAGTATGGAATCCTTGATCCTTGTTGACCTTGTCCTTGTCTCTGTATGAGCTACACGGCGGTGCTGGATTTGGATATCAGCAGGCGATGCCCACAACATCCTCATGACATACAAATTTGTATTTGATAGTGATAGCCGGGGTATAGGAAGTGTTGGATATCTGATACGCTAATCCCATTCTGGACGACCTTACTAATCGGTGAATCCCCGGAAAAACACAATTGCCGATCCCAGGTTTGGCACAATATCGACAGCCCTACTTTTGGATTCAGGATTGCTATTTTGCCACTATATTGTGTATATAAAGAGGATCAAGATGCGTAGCTAGCTGTGTTTTTAGAGAGTGTGCAAATCAGAGTCAATTTATTCCTCACCCAGATTGTAAGCTCCCATCAGAGCCTAACCCCGTTCGGACTAGTACCAAAAGATTCCAATAGGAAGTATCGGAACTTGCAGTGCACTAGCACAAACTCAGTTAAGCTTAATACTCAAAGATATCTTTATAGTGGAAATATTGATATTGACCTTATTCTGCGCACTCTTCTATCTACATCTTGAGGGGATTGTTGGACACTATTTATGCTTGAGAATCCCATCCACGCAATCTCAAATAGAAGATTCTCGACACAGAGCTGTAAAGTTGATTCGTAGATTCAATCTTGTGACTTCAATTCTCGAATTTTCCTTGTATCAATGTTGTAGGCTTTTGTTGGAGATGTGGAACGGTGTAATAACACGGTAACACTTCCTTTTACTCGCAAATTCTATATCAGCGTATCTCTTGATTGATTCCTCGCTCTGTCTATTTCTAACATGGGGAATTCTCCTCTATATCGAAGAATCCAAGCCCCTCGCTATAAAACGTGTCTTTCCTTAATTGGCTGACCAACTAGCCAACTAGGGGCCGACTCGAAGTCGATTCGACACCTCATATTATCTAACAAGAGGCATCGCGCGCCTACAATATGAGGCTTGCAACAAGATCCACGATCCTTGCCAATACTTTGTTCCCAATCCGGTAAGGCCTGGATAGATTACCGAGTTTGCAACAGCTTTTCTTGATCTAATCCTCGACAGGAAGTAAAAGTCACGTGGGGGGCACTATATGTTGGAGCTCGGTTACGCTAGGATGGATACGGAATATAGGCAAATAATAAGAACTTAGAGTTGAGAATTTCTATGTATTGATGCACCCTCTCTAATACAAAACTTGTCAGGAATGTTGACCTCTTTTATATGTGAGGTCCTGTACAAACTAGATCATGAGATGACATCCAGTCGAACCTTCTAGATATAGCCATATAGAGCTGATTGGATGTCTATATCTCGTCAGTATGTGAACCTAGTTCTCGAAATTTCTTCATGTTAGTAGTATGATGGATTCCCAATTAGGGATAGCGTATTGCGTTCCAACACACCCCCCCAGGAAGGAAAGCTTGAAGCTTTTATTCCTGCAGTAAATGTGCTATATCCACTAATCCCTGGTGTTTTCTCCAATTCACAAAGATCTGGCCCTTGAGCAACTTTGTAAGGCCATCTGCAACCATTCTCTTGGTGTCGACCCATTGAATATGAAGTCGCTTGCTCTGAATCTCTTGGCGGAGCCAGTGGTGATAGATGTCGATATGGCGTAGACTTGTGTGGAAATTGGGTTCTGGACTCGTCAGTAGGCGTATGGTTTGAGTATTGTCACATTGAATAGATAGTTCATGCTCTGGCTTGAAGCCGATTGCTTCAAAGACACGTTTCCAGATATACAATCGCTTTGCGGCTTCAGTTGCTGCTCTTAGTTCCGCTTCGGTGGTAGAGGTTGTTACATATCTTTGTTTTGTAGCCTTCCAGTCGACGGGTCCGTTGTACAGCTGAACAAGATAACCCTCTGAGCTTGTACGATCGATGTTATCTCCAAATGAAGCATCTGAGGCACATACAACAACGTCTGATTCTGACTTCCTTAGTGGTGAGTATTCGATAGCAAGGAATCTTGTATTGAACAGATATTGTATCACTCGTTTGATCTGCTGTATGTGGATAGGTGACGGATTGGTGGCATGTTTAGCAAGCTCGTTGACAGCCTTTGCAATATCGATTCGTGTCATGACAGCGGCGTACATGACTGACCCAACCATTTCCTGATAATGGTGAATATCTTGATTTGTTGCTTCCCCATCAAAAGGCTTGATATCGACCGATATTGGTGTTTTGACTAGGCCGTGGGTTAATCCAAATTTCTCAGCTATTTTGGTGATGTAGGAGTCTTGACAAATCCAAATTTTCCGCTGTTCTCTATCTCGTAAAATTCGCATGTTGAGAAACCATTCAAACTTGTCCATTTTTCTGAGTTCGTATGTTGCCATCAAGGTCTTCTCAATTTTTTCGAATTCCGCTTGTTTTGTGGCTTTGTCGTAGAATATCAAAATGTCGTCAACAAAAAATAATAGAAATATGCCGTTTTTGACTAATAGACATTCTTCATCTGGTATCTGTTCGAATCCGAGTGTTTTCATCAAGGTTTTTGTGAATTCTTTCTGCCAAAGCCGTGGACTGCGTCGTAATCCGTACAGTGCTTTCTTGAGTTGAATAGCCATGCCAGGAATCTTGAAGCCGTTCGGAAACTCGGTATATACCTCTTCGTCAAGGTTGCTATTCACAAATGCGTTGACAGCGTCATATTGTGCTATCTCTAAGTCGAATACAGCTGCCAGAGATATCATCATCCTGAAGATTCGTGCTGCCAACGTTGCCGCTCGTGTTTCCAAATTATTGTCATATTGCAGATCACCGCGTACACAAATCCGTGCTTTGAACTTGGAAATCTTGCCAAATTTGTCAAATTTGTATTTGAAAACCCATGTTAGCGGTAACACTTGTTTATCATAGGGTTTTGGAACAAACTTGAACGTTCCTTTCTTCTTCAGTGTGTCAAATTCGGTTTTTGCAGCTTCAATGAACTCCTTTTTGTATTTGTGCCGTAGAACGCCAGTCCAGTTCTTGGGTTCTGGTGGGAGCTCAGATTCGTGAAGGTTGTCGGTTTTTTCCATAGCGGCCATGAAGGACTTGGCTAGTGAGGACTCTTGGAATAGCTTCATTCTTGCGAATGCAGCTCGTTGCTTCTTTCTCACATTTTTGCTGGATTCTGAATTATCAGTTGCTGGGCTTCGAGCTCTTTTTGAAGCTATTCGCACTCTTGGACCTGTCACGATATTCCTTTCTGATAAATCGGCACTGATTTCTGCTGCTTTGGGTGCGTTATTGTTGTTTGAGGGTGTAGGAGGCGGGGTAATCTCCTTCTCAGATCCTGTGACATTTCTTAATGGAGTGTTTGGCGCGCTCTGATTGGTCAGTGGAGGTGTTGGCAAGTCGCGATTTCCTATTTGGGGAATCTGTTCTTCCGGATTTTTAGTTATTCCGCTTTCCCCTGTATAGCTTCGATCAGTTTCTTCCTTTCTCACCACGACTTCGTCCTCTTTCACCCCCCCAGATTCCACAATATTGGAATCGCCACGATTTTCAGTGCGAATATCTTGAAAGATTTCTTGGGCATCCTCCATTTGCACGTCAGGATCGTATATATGTTCGTCGTTTTGTGCTTCAATATTTCCAATTCCAGTAATTGGTGCCTCGATTTGAACTGGAGTTTCGGTATCTGGCTGATTCGAACATTCATTTGACCCCCTCGCTGGTGAGAACCTTATACTGGCGGGTTGCCAACGTTGAAGCCTCATGTCGTCATCAACTGAATCAAACACTTGATTGTCCTCGTCAATATCTTCAAGGTTTGAAATTTCTAATGATTCTGTTATCGTTGTCACACCATCTCTGATGATTTCCCTAGCGAATGGATGTTCTGGGTCATATCTCTTCGTTTCGTCAAAAACAACGTCTCGTGCTCGAATGACCTTCGTTCCCCGTGGACCTGTCGTCCAAATGAGCCAAATATTGTGAGCTTCATATCCCACTAGATATCCAATCTGCGCTCGTGGAGCTACTTTGTGGCTTTTCTTTGTGTCGATCCGTACGTAAGTCTTTGATCCGAATAAAAACAGATTTCCAACATATGGTTTCTTCCCATACACTGACTCATATGGCGTTTTATAGTTCAAGGATTTCGTTGGTGTTCGGTTCATGATATGAACGGCTGCTCTGGCTGCCTCTGGCCATAACCCTTCAGGTAGGTTGGCTTCAATAATCATGCTCCTTGCCCTGGTGGCAATTATATCCCCAGCTTTCTCGCTTAGGCCGTTCTGCTCAGGCGTATCAGGAACTGTCGTGACTAACGTCTTTCTTTTCCTTTTGCAATAGTCCTTGAAGTCGTTGCCATTGATTGAGCTTTCGCCGTCCACATGTATAGTCTCAATAACACACTTGAAGGTATGTTCGATGTCCTCAATCAGTCTTTCTAGGTCGAAATTGACTGATTTCGTTGTGGTGGTGACTAATACGTGGAATTTAGTTAACGGATCCACTGCATGGAGGATATATCTGTCAAAATTCCGTGCCAAGTTCATGACAATGATGTCAACGAATATCTTTTGAAATGGCCTTGTTGGTAGCGGCATCGCTACCCTGCTGATTTGACGTTTGGCCGTGGTAAGTTCGCAGGTTTCACATTTGATTTTGAATCCCTCGTTATTGCGGCTTGGAACTGACATAACAATAGCTCCCTCTGTTGCTTCTTGGAGTTTCTCAATAGCTCTGGATGATACGTGTCCGAATCTTTTATGCCACACATTCATCGGATCTTTGAGTATGTTTTTCTCCATGGAATTGAAGGCAAAGTCGACGCTAAGCGAACTGCGTGCTGGCTTGTTCTCGTCCCATTCGATAAGGTAAAGATTTCCTTCTCGTCGAATATGACACAATTCCTGACTGTTCTTTTCCAATAATCGTTTTCGGGTGTCATAATATATACCATGGTCCTCCATAATCCCTTGTGATACGATATTGGTATGAAAGCCTTCAACGTACCAGGCGTCACGGACGATAATACCCTTTCGCTTAACCTTTTCACTGATCGGTTGTGTGGGATATACTATTGTTTCTCCAGGTCCAGTCATTTTGATTCTTGTGTTTCCAACAAGCAGCCACCTGGATTCGTTGCCTAAATTTCGGAGCCTTCTTCGATCGTTGAAAATATGAGTTGTTGTACCGTTATCCATTATGACTTTGTTTGTGAGGTCGTCGTTCGAGGCTAATAATGCCGTATCCAATCTGACAGCACATGCAATCTCATCGGAATCATACATGAAATTCGATCTTTCCGAATCCTTATCTGTTTTCTTGCTGGTGTCGGAATCTCGCTCTTTCTTTTTCTTTTCCAGTCCTTTCTTAACCCGTTTCAAGGCGTTGGCATATGGGGTGTCCTTTTTCTCAAGATTCTTGAACTTTTCCTCAATACTGATGTCTGATTCCCAGTCCTTAGGTCGTTTTGCTGGGTTCACGTATGGGCAGTCCTCAAATTGGTGCTTCTGGCCGCAGAGACATGTTTTGTCCTTCGATTTTGATCTCATCTGACTTTTCTTGTTGTCTTCAGGCTGATCTGACTTTCCGTTGAGAGTTGCCATAGCGATATCGCGTCTGTGACTTGATTCCAACTTATTATTGGCTTCAACCCACTTGTCGAATGTTCCTATGATCTCGTTAATATCTGGAATCTCCGTTAAGCCTGATGTGTCTAATCCCATGTCGTATTCGAGGATTCTTGTGCTCCAGATGTCGTGAAACTTGGGCGCAATCTCTGCAGTGGATTGTATGAAGTCTCGTGCCAATCTTGTGTCTGACAACTCATAGAAATTGGCAAGCTTCATATCCAGTACGAGGGTTCTCCATTTTTCCGCCCATTCCTTCGGTCTTTGAGTGCGTTTCGGATTAAGAAGACTTCGTTCTCGGCTCAAGAGCAGGTCGTTCTCTCGTTGTTCTGTAAGGGCAAACCGTCTCTTCAAAGTTCGGATTATTTCCTTAATATCTTCCATTTGCCGGATTTCTGACTGGTGGCCAAGTTCGACTGTATCAAGGATATAGTTCTTGACGTTTGTCATTCGCTCTATATGCTTCTCATATCGAGCCTTATTGTGTTCGTAAATCCGTCGTTGCGAATCATGAGCCGCCATGTCAGCTTGCCAGTTCATCAGCTTGAATTGTTTAATAGCAATATCTTCATCGCCGGATAGGTCTGGCTTAGAAGGTTGAATGGGCTCTATCGGTTTTGTTGGCGCTGGCTCCAAGTCCCCAGTATTGATGGTACTTGGATTCACATATTCCCAGACTCGTTCCTTTGTCGCCTTTGTTCTCAGTTGTTCCATCCATTTTCTCCAATCGTCCGAGGTTTTTAGGATCACAGTCGTCTTCTTCTCGTCCATGGCTAAGCGATTCAGACAGAGCTTGGGCTGTTCCCAAAGGTTTGGATTCGATTGATATACTTCGATAACCGGCTTTTGGATATAGAGGATTGTGGGCAGTTTCTGAATATCTATCTCACAGCAATCCCGGGCTCATAACTGTTGGAGCTCGGTTACGCTAGGATGGATACGGAATATAGGCAAATAATAAGAACTTAGAGTTGAGAATTTCTATGTATTGATGCACCCTCTCTAATACAAAACTTGTCAGGAATGTTGACCTCTTTTATATGTGAGGTCCTGTACAAACTAGATCATGAGATGACATCCAGTCGAACCTTCTAGATATAGCCATATAGAGCTGATTGGATGTCTATATCTCGTCAGTATGTGAACCTAGTTCTCGAAATTTCTTCATGTTAGTAGTATGATGGATTCCCAATTAGGGATAGCGTATTGCGTTCCAACACTATATTGTTGATGTGCTAGTTAACTAGTTGTTGTTATTGGTTATCTAAGCTAACTACAGCTGCGCTGACCCCTTTACGGAGATCACATGACTCTCGGATCATAGTTGATCCGCGCCGGAGGAAGATCCACGGGTGTAGCACGCTGACATATATACATAAGGGCTCTGAGCCCACGGCTTGACTCCCAGTTTTCTTCCTCTCCCCATACACAATATTCTCGTCGATAGGCTACCCTAGATCAATAGATTGTTAGTATTGGACAAGCGTCACAATCCTCACTAGATTTTGCGATCTATTGAAGGTAAATCAACAGACTCATTATCTCCAAATCAAAGATGACTCTTATACTTTGTCTGACGTTCTAAATGGGCTGGTTTCTATTCTTTGTCACTACGCGGCCTATTTCTGGCCAATGTCTGCATATTTCATATTTGGAGGTTGGTACATAATCTAATGCATATCGACTTACGTCATTTTACGTTACTAGATACAACATGCATGTGAATCAAAAAAGAATTTTGTTACGAGATTGAGACTCCTCTTTGTCTCAGTGACTCAATCCATAGACGAGCTTGTCTCTCTTCCTATTTAGAAAGGTGGCCTTTTTCCTTGTTAGATAGCAATAAAATTTCGACTTACAGAGTGAATGACAACTATGTACTATTGACTATATTTTTTCGTCACTGTAACTCTGACAAATATATCTTTCAACATTTTCTCTTTCTACTAAGTATGATACCCTTGGATGGAGTGATAACACTATTTTAGGGTTATTCAAGAGCACTTCAATATGGCTATGTCCATGGATCTATCTCCCTGGCCAAATGACCGCCAAGGTCAGGGGCATGTAACAGCTTACAAACAATTACCAAGGTATTGCATCTAGTCAGTGTAGTGTTCCGTCTGGAAATACACCAGCCCACAAAGTCGAGTAAGTACTATGATCCCACATCATGCACGCAATTAGATTCTGCCAAGAGGGCCTGCACCATATTGCAATGATCAGGGAAATCTGGAAGTGTGTGACAAGCTGTGAAGTTACCAGGCATGGGCCATTGCTTGATAGAAAGGATGTTTGGTGTTATAAGGCTAGACAGTTTGACGAGAGGGGTTTTCACCGCCACATAGGATTCATGCTGATCTTACCGGTGCAATAAATAAGTATGTTTGGAGGAAATTGCACCTTGCCACTTGGTATAAATACGTGTCGAGAGGGCATCCAGAAGATATCTTATCGACGCCATCTTTCTTATTCGCATCTCCAACTTGACAATCTTCGATACTTCTCATCAAAGTACAATCTCCTACATCTTCTACATTAGCATAATATACCCAATGGAGGATATCGTCTACATTAACACCTTGATCATACTTGTCATCGTTCCATCTATTCTTGCCCGTCGGAGAGTAGAGTACCTCACTTCAATGGTACTCAGGAAGAAGGTCCATTATTGTACGCCAAATGAAATCCGCTCCCTGATTCAAGCGAAGATGCTCCCTGGCCGAAAGCCAAACCACCTTGAACCCCCTGATTCACGAAGCCTGATGAATCAGTCCCTAAAACGAACCTTTGGGATCCAGAACGCATTTACGACTTCTGACGAAATCTACGTAAGCGAGTTTGCCAAGAGGTCAAGGACTATGATAAATGTTCCCAGTAATGGTTGGAAGTCGATAGCATCAACTTCTTAGAAAGCTATATGCCGATGGAAATGTGAAGCACGGGAAATTTGCCGCTTCATTTATCTAGGGTAGGTGGTGCAAGCACTCACACTTCGTGCTATACTCAAAGTATTTTTCTTCTTCGACAAAGAAGACGGCCTCCAGGACGTTGAATTCAAGCAACTTGGAGAACTAGCTCAGGCTATCAATGATGCCTGGATCAAGTCAAAATCGGAAAATAATTTGCTTGAATTCAGAGATAATAGATATTTACGAGATACACTCACCAATGTCATGCCACGTGCAGACATTCTGGATCCCCGCAAAAACCCTTTGAACTTCATTCTGCCTGGATTTGAGACAATGTGGCGGGTTGTCTTACGAGGGTTCATCGAGGTGGCATACAAGACAGGTAAAGAGCATCCGAGTTGGAGAAATGCACTTATTCTATACTCTCAAGAACCGACAGCAGAAGTATTTAATCGAGCCTATCCACCAGACGTTGTATCTGCCAACTTCCTGGTCAAGGAAATGCTTCGTGTCTATCCGCCGACGAAACGAATTTATCGAGCATGGATGGACGGACGTTCCGCTGAACCTTTAAAGCTCGCGGCCGACATAGAATCCTGTTATCTTTCGACAAACATCTGGGGGCCGACAGCTGAGATTTGTGATCCGTTGCGCTGGAATAATGTGACAAACGAGCAGCAAGAAGCTTTCCTACCATTTGGTTCAAAGCCTTTCGAATGTCCTGCGAAACCAGTATTTGGACCGCGGCTCATCGGGCTCTTGGTTGGAATACTCATTGCTGCATTTCCAGATGGTTGCAAACTGATATCGTCTGATGCAGGAGAGGTTTTTGGACCGGAGCGTCTTAGTAATAAAAGGTGTATGGGGAGAAGCTTGAAGTTGAGCATTCCGTCTAATTATGACTCCACCCCAGAGATCGACAGGAAGTAGTCAGTGGATGCATTGCTATTATCAGTAAGACTACAAACTCATACATCAATAATCCTTCGCCATAGAGCTCGGAATCCCGAATTCATTTCTGTATTGAAAGGATATTCACATGTGTTTCGAATTACTTTCGCAATCACTATAAAGAGAACTTCAAGATATGCATTTCTTATTGAAGCATTGTGTAAATCTGAATACCAATGCTTTCTGTTTCTCAAATATCAAGTGTCTGCTTAGGACGCAACATATTATCTTTCAGCAATAGGGATATGGTAGATGTCTTATACCCCCCGACGCTGGAAAGGGATTATGCGACTGGCATCTCTGAATCCTAATGTAAGCTCTTCTTCTATTCCAAGCGAACAGCGTAAATGTATGGAGAATATATCATACAACGCCCCCTTGAAGTTCAACTCCATGAATTGCGTCTCCGTGTATATCATATTTGATTCAGTTCATTCATGTAAGAATCCAGTCCCTAAAATCAAATCCACCGGCTCTCGGATGAATTTATGCCAACTCTCTTCCAGAACATTCATAATCGATAACATGAGCTTTGCTGCACCTCCTTGGAAATACCAGTAACCCTCCATATACCTGAGGATAATACAGTAATGTCCCAGCAGTATCAAAGCTCCAGGGTGACGCCTGTAAAGGAGGGTCATGAATTCAGACTCCACCCGCATCGGCCATGATCCAAGGATTTTCCACGTGTTGAAAAAAATATCCGTCTGATCATATTCCATGGTGGCAAATGACTTCGCTAGAAGAAGGGCTGCATCGCCGTATATACGACCTTCCTCTTTTGACCATATAGAAGCCTCTCGCGCGACATTTTTGAAGTGCGACCAGTAGGGTAGGGGCCTATTGCCCTTATACATCTCCAATTCCCATGCAGCAGCGAGCCTAGCTACAGGCCCTTTTTCAATTGTATCCCATACGTCGCATAGCATCACACAACCATCCCGGAGAAAGAAAAGCCACGGTGGCACTATTGAGTCTCCATTGGAACAATCGACATCATTTTCGACAAGCAGCAGAGAGTCTTCTGAATTGCTGGTAGAGGTAGCTAATGTATAGACCACTAATAAATAGGAGAATGTCAGGATCGCATCGCAATTTTCACTCTTGGGGTTATCGATTGCTTTTCTAAAGGCCGGGAGGGCGTAATTCTGGTGTGAACAAGCTCGTAGCAAGAGCTCTTCTCGCTGCTGCGGGAAGTTCATATGGGTCATGCATTGAGCGGTACAGGCAAGCAGACCGTGTAACAGAAATGAATGACTATATGCTAAGTCCGGAACGACCTTTGACCAGATGTATTCCGTCTCATGGTCGTTTCCAAGGCTAATATATGCAGAGGTCCAGTAATATTCCAAAATCCAAGAGTCTATTGAGTCCAAATTGTACTTGGTTTGAATATCGCCAATGCGCTTTCGTTTGAATTGCAGATTATCGCTGTCTCCAAGGTCCTTGACTATTGTATGCTGAGACTTTACATGGACTACATGTACCGCAGCGAGGAGAGATCTGGAATCTCTGGTGAAGTACTTGACCATATTACCCCGAAAGAATGTCTGCAATAATGTGGGACTCCAATCACGGCTTGGGTTACCTTTACGGCCATGCTCCGCAGGCCAATGAGTCTCCATGCGCTTTTTTGAGGCGCATAGATAGTAGCAGCCAGGGGAATTGCATTGCCATCCTTTCTCGAGTGGGAGGTAAGAGACTGGGAAGTCTTGTGGGAATGGAGGTTCCACTTCGTCTGGGTTTTTCAATGGCAGGTTCTTCCAGTAAGTAACAAATGACTGGCGTTTGTCGCTAGGCAAATGATGTATATCCTTCAGGTGACGAGTAATGGCTGTTGGCTGCACGGCATACCGACAAGAGGTACATATCAACACTCGGTGAATCTCCGAGTAGTGGAACAAATCCTGCGGCAAGAGATCCATTATTCACATGAGGAGCGTATTGAGAAAGCATGCCTAGACTGTGTCTTTTAGGAGAATGTAGTGTCACCTTTTGTCGTAAAGGTACTTGGGGAGGAAAGTGTTAAGCCTGGGAAATCCGGCAAAAAGATCGAAAGCCGGTCAGTATTCGTTTTAATTGGCCTGACTAGCCAAGGACATACTGGGCCCTCTAAAAGGGCTCTTATTCGCTCATTGTTAAACGTCGACGCTATACCGGAACGGGACCGTCGCTCCACCCAGGCCAATGATGTGATGCCTGCAAAGTCAGGTATCCACTGGCATCTGACGCTAGGCCCGAACGGCACCGACTTTTTCATTCAATTTCGATATCAACATCGCCTACTCAGATTGTCCTTCCAAGCTGCTTCTCTTTGCAAGATCAGGCAACAGAGTTATCTAACTCATTTTATTGGTGCATATTTGTTGTTTTTGAGCGATTAGTACTCCATGCTACATCAAACGAAAGATCTGATGGTCGATATGCCGCAACATAAAAATCGAGATCATTCCTCGAGAATCAGGGAACGATTCACTCTCAGCCAAATATTTTCCAAGTCCTGTGTTATTTGAGACTCAATTATTACACGCCATTGTGAGATTTAATTAGAAAGTACATTTCGGCGGCTGTGTTCTAAAATCATGCCTGCAAAATTCCTCCGGAGCATCCTCATCACTGGTGGAACATCTGGTCTGGGGTATCACTGCGCATTGAACGTTGCTCGGAAGTACCCCGATTATCAAATCATTATCGCTTCACGTTCGGATCCGAACTCTTCTGCCAATGCTCTAAACAATGCGCTCAACCAGAAGAATGTTAGATTCCTACCGCTAGATCTCTCTAGTCTTGCGCAGGTACGGTCTTTTGCTGTTCAGTGGGAAACAAACCAGTTTCCTCCAATCCATTCGCTGGTATTCAATGCTGCTCTCCAGTTTCCTGGGGATGTGCAGTACTCCATAGATGGTTTCGAAAAGACTTTTGCCATAAGTCATATTGGCCACGCTCTTCTTTTCTCTCTTCTACGCCCTCATTTAGCGGATATGGCGAGAGTGGTCATTGTCAGCAGTGGAACTCATGATCCCGCTCAAAAGAGCGGTATGCCAGATGCCTACTACTCATCCGCAGGAGAGTTAGCTCATCCCACGGGACAATCCCTGAAAAACAATGGCCGTCAGCGTTATTCCACGACAAAATTGGTCAATGTCCTTTACGGTTATGCGCTTCACCGACGATTTGAAGCTATCAATAAGAAATCCGGGAAACATTGGACAGTTGCTGCGTTTGATCCCGGCTTTATGCCTGGCACTGGTCTGGCACGCGATTACTCTGCCCTTCAAAGGTTCTTGTGGTTAAAAGTCTTACCGAAGATATTACCTCTTCTTCGCCTCTTGTTAACGCCAAATACTCACACCGTGGAACATTCGGGGAAGATGTTGGCCAGATTAGTGATTGAATCAGATGAGGAAATTGGTAGTGGCGCCTATTATGAAGGTCCCAAGCGTATCAAGTCTAGTGACGCGAGTTACGACCAGGACAAACAAGAGTGTGATGGACGCTCAAGGCCCAGAAACAACTTCATTTCTAAGCGTAGCAGTATCGACGAAGAAAACTAAGTGTGAAGAAGAAGAAGAAAGGGGAAAACTGGCGCTGAGCCTTGAGGCTCTCCAAATACACTCTGTCATGGGATGGAGGCCTTATGGGGAAAGCGGTCTAAAAAGGCAGAATTGTAAGATCCTATCAACCAACTTGTTTGTAACTTAGGCCTTCCCTTCCTCTTCTCCCAAGCTTAGGATTATCATTAGAATAGGCTTATTGAGACGTCACATCACCCCCCTTCGAAAGAAGCGCTTGCCCCTAAGCGCTACACCAAATCGTCGTCATCCTCATCTGGGAGGAATTCATCTCGGTCAGCGGCATCGAGCCATTCCTGTAAACGACGTGGCGGTCCTGGCTTGTCTGGATATGCGGCATGGAACTCACGGAGCTTCGCTGGCGCATTCTTGAAATTCCGCGCAGGATACCACTGAGGATCAGGGTCGTAGCCGATCCAGGCCACGCGATAGTTGAGCTTCCTGTAACGAATTTTCGAATCCAAGACCTTGTCGACTTCCCATTCGTGCTCTCCATTCACCTCCACAGGTGGAGAGGGATCGCGAAGTTGCCCCTCCAGCGGTTTTGTGCGTGATGCTAAACGCAATTTATCGGGTGAGAAAACCGGGTGAACATTGATGCCAGGTGGTAAGTCAAGCCGATAAGAATGACCGACTTTCTCTTTCACACGGTATGGTCCACTCCATTGCATGGCCAGCTTCCGACCGGGTACATTCAGATTCCAATTTCTTGTTGTAACCATGACCTCATCTCCAACGTCAAAATCAACTTCACGCCGACGGCGGTTCGCTTGTGCTTGCTGACGTTCCTGTGCAAGCTGAAGCTGTTGCTTCGCATATTTCCAAATCTCAGCAAATCTAGTCATCCATCGCTGAGCGTCCCTCTGATTAATGGTCAATCGTCCTGGCTGCGCCGGGCCCGACCAATCGAAAGAAGTTCTTGGTTGATATCCTCGCTCAATCATGAAAGGGGACAAATTCGTCGATTCCTGGGGAAGGGTGGCCGCAGCGTAATCCATAATAGGCAACCATTCCGACCAGTCATCCTGATGATGATTAACGTACGGTCGAAGCCTTTGCGTAAGGTATTGATTCGCGATTTCGGTCTGGCCGTCAGTGGGAGCGTGGTCCGCTGTCGATAACTTGATCGTGACACCCAGAATCCTACAAACCTCTTGCCAAAATTCCGACACAAACTGGGGACCTCTATCCGACACAATAGAGTCCGGTAGTCCTGCCCATGGAAGAACAAACCGTATGAAAAGCCGAGCCATCTCTTTGGCCGTTACTGTCTTGTGGCATGGAATTGATACTGGTCGCTTCCCCAATCTATCGACCACAACAAATACCGCATCGTAGCCGTGTTTATCCTTCGGGTATGACATAAAGTCCATTGATATGTGTTGCCATGGCCGTTCAGGTATGGGCAACGGCTTGAGTAATCCTGGAGGCAAATCACGGCGGGTGTTCATTCGCTTACATGTCATGCAATTGTCAACATACCGGTTCACATCCTGGGACCAAGAAGGCCAGTAATACCGCTCTTTCACCAACCTGGTCATCTTGCCTTTACCAGCGTGAGCTGTTGATGGTTGTTGATGAATCTCATCCAATAGGCGCGCCTGAAGGTCTCCTACAGCCGGCACGAACAGCCTATCTCGGAAAAACAGACGGCCTCCAAGCAGGTTCCAATCGTCGTCCCCTTCTCGGGCCCTTTGCCGATATGACTCCGCTTCCTCAGCAGTTAAATTCGCAGTAACCACTCTTGACATGATATCGATTGAAGAGTCGATTTCTCCTACGAGCCCCAGATCGGCCTTTACTGCTGAATCAAGAAAATCTTCAGTTAATATTGTTCGCTCACGATAGCCTTCATCCTTTGGCGCTCCGTCTCGACGGGTTAGCGTGTCCGCCGCGACATTGGCCTTTCCTGGCCGGAACCTCAAGACGAAGTAGTAATCAGTGAGGAACTCACACCAACGAGCTTGTCGGGCGTTGAGCTTTTTAGTCGTCATAAAATACTCCAAAGCTCGGTGATCAGAAAGTATCTCAAACCGGTCCTCCCGCTGTAGCCCCACCAGCTCAGGTCGCCACTCCTCAAGAGCGCGGACGATAGCTAGCATCTCTTTGTCGTGGATATCATAATTCCTTTCTGAAGGCGTCATCGTACGTGAGAAATAAGCCACCGGGTGCCATAGTCCCTCCTCGTGCAACTGAGACAAGATCCCTGCGATCACTCCATCCGACGCGTCGGTCTCTACACGTGTAGGGAGATTTGGCTGATAATGACTCAACACCGGTGCTGTTGATAAACAGAGCTTGAGCTTGTCAAAAGCCTCTTGGCAGTTTTTCGTCCATTCGAACGGCACGTTATTGTGAGTCAGGCGGTATAGCGGCTTGGCTATTCGGCTATAGTCCTTGATGAATCGACGGTAAAAGTTGCAAAATCCTAGGAACGACTGGATTCCAAACACAGTAGTTGGCACGCCCCATCTGAGAATAGCTTCGATCTTTGAAGGGTCGACTTCGATTCCATGTTCCGTAACGATAAACCCTAAATAACGTGTCTTCGTGACGTGGAACTCACATTTGTGGATTGCTGCCTGCAAACCGGCGTTTCGCAGTCTCTGGAGAACCTGCCTAACATGAAGCTCGTGCTCCAGTTCATTATCACTATAGATTAGTAAGTCGTCCACAAACGCGACGAGGAACTTATCAAGACAGTCCATGAAAATATCATTAATTAGCCGCTGGAATGTAGCTGGTCCATTTGTAACGCCAAACGGCATAACCTTGTACTTATACGTCCCATACCGACATCGGAAAGTTGTCAAGTCCTCTGAATCAGGATGCATTCGTATGCGATGAAACCCCTGTCGAATATCGAGCTTGGTGAAAACCTTCGCTCTACTGAGCCTCTCAAAGACTTCATCGATCAAAGGTAACGGGTACCGGTCCTTCCTGGTGATGCTATTGAGCTTGCGAAAATCCACACAGAATCGCAGACCACCACCTGGTTTCTTAGCCATCAATATCGGTGATGCAAAGGGAGCATTGCTTGGCACAATGAATCCTTTGTGCAAGTTCTCTAAAATGTATTCCCTCGCAGCCTCGAGTTCCTCTAACGACATCCGATAAATTGGACTATAACCCAGCTGCTTTTCTTCAGTGAGTTCAATTTTATGATCGTATAGTCGATGTGGTGGCAGTTCATCGGATTTCGACTTCAGGAAAACGTCGATGAATTCCCAATACTTCTCTGGCAATGTTTTCTTGATTCCCTCGGTCTCGGTGTCCTTTTCTTCTTCATTTTGCAATTGCAGTTGTCCATCAATGGCCTTTTCGATTTCATGCAAACTAGTCATGCACGTCTCTGTGTCCTTGTCCCGCACGTGACGAACAAATCCAACGGCGTTGATCAGCGCGATATCCATCGTTGGCGGGATCTTCTCATGTTGACGGACTCGCTTCGGTGGTGGTAACTCCTCTGGTTCTTTCAATGCCTCGCGCAGTGCTCTATTCATTCGGTCATAAGATGCAGCCAAACTCACGTCGTGGTGTCGACCATATACGACTGGTGGGTCTCGCTGAACGGTTTCCACTGAACTCAGCATTCTCTGATTGGCTGTGATTTCACCTCTCGCGAGAGGCGACATTGGAGACCAATTAGAGTCCTTGCTCCCGCGTGACGGAACCGCAACACGAAGAACTCTATCTTCAACCTCCATGAGTTTATCTCGACGTTCGACATCCCTCTGGTGCTTGGGATCCGCATTGATACGTTTCAGTATTCTCTTCGGGGCATTCAAATAGTGCTTCGTCACTAGGGTGTCCTTCAGGCTCGGCTCGTCTGGCCAAATCAACCGTCGGCCGTGGCAGTCAGGTAGGACTTTGTTCTCCGCAAACCACATTCTTCCCAAGATCACATCGTGTTTTCCCATATTGGCTAACAAGAAAGGCAGATCAAGTTGTCGTCGACCATCAATCAGTAAGTGTACTGTTAATACTTCATTAATTGGGGCCGCCTCCTTTCCATCGAATCCTCGGACCCGAAGTTCCTCTCCAAGAGGCTGTATGCTAACTGCGAGGTGATTTGCAATCAACATTGCAAATCGTCGATCCATAAAGGCTAATCCATTTGCTCCAGTGTCGGCTAGGGCTCTAGTTGAGACAGTCATTGTGTTCTTAGCTAATCTTATAGGTACTGTGAAACTTTCCTTCTCATTTCCTAACAATCTCGCTAAATCTAAAGCCCAGCAATCGACACTCCTTCGGCCTAAGGTGGAGACTTCCCCTAGGCCCTGTCTTTTACTTCATCTCCTTGTGCCTTTGGTTGTTCGGTCGAAGTTTCAATTTCCTTTATCTCCGTGCCCTTCTTGAAAGGACAGCTGTTGCGACGGTGCCCTGGTTGCTTGCAGTTGAAACAAAGACCTTGCTCCATGAGCGGCTTCAACTCAGGGTCTTGCCAGGGAAGGGACTTCTTCTTCTTGTCGTCATTTGAATTCGAGGCTTTGGCGGCGGTGGACTTCTTGTCAGTCGAGGGGATACCAGATGCCGTAGGGTTGAAGTTGTTCCTGTTGTCCGCCGTGCGCTGGGTCTTCTCTTCACGAGCGATTTGTTCCAACCGATTCGCCTGCATAGTGCAAAACTTAACAAATTCTTCGTACGACATCGTGCTGTCATTGCTCTCCCTCATGACCGCACGTTTCATCTCTGTGTTCATCTTGTAGTATAGTTCCTCCTTCCATTCAGATCGTGACAACCCCGAATCTAACGCAAGTAGGGCGAACTTCGACAAGAACGTCTGGAAACGCGTCTTGCCTTGAGTAAGGTTTCGAAAATCCATCTTGGCGTTAGAAACGCGGTTAGCGTCGAGGTAAATAGTGTCAAGATGTTCGATCATGTCGTCGGCATCAATAAAGGGGTCTGGGGCGTCATCGCGGAGACGCGCTAGCAAATGCTCTGCGGCTTCTCCTTCACACATCGACTTCACGTAAGCCCTGCGTGCTTCTGGGGTATCGTACTGATCTTTGTTTGCCTTCAGCTTCGCACGAACGTCGATTTTCCACGATTCATATCGAGGATCCTTCCCGTCAGAGAGCTTCTTCCCATCGGGGATCTTGGGCGATTTCTTTGTAACCGATGCCGCTACGGTTCCCGTCCCTGGTTCCTGATTGAGAAACCGAAGGGTAAGCTTGTTCATTGCAAACTGCAGCTCATCTCGCTCGTCAATCAATCGTTGGAAAGCTTCATTCTTTTGACTCAGCTCTTCGTCCTTCCTGAATATCTCATCCTGGTAAATCCTGTCTAGCTCAGTGCGTTGAGCCTTCAACAGATCGTTTACTCGCTGGTACATGAGCTTTGGTGCTGTTCGAATGTTTTCCAACCAGTTGTCGATAGTGAGGTCGTCTGGCAACTGCACATTTTCCTCAACGGTGACGTTGGCAGCTCCCTCAGTATCAAAGGTCAACCTGCGACTCCCACGATCGCGACCTTCCGTCGTCTCCCTTGCGCCGTTGCCTTCACATCCGTGTGAAGGCTCCTCTGACGCCGTCGAACCAAGCCCGGGCTTCGCCATAGTGGTCCCAACGAGACGTAAGTAAGATGATGATAAGATTTGATGAAAATGGGGACACTTAGTTTAATGTGATGGACGCTCAAGGCCCAGAAACAACTTCATTTCTAAGCGTAGCAGTATCGACGAAGAAAACTAAGTGTGAAGAAGAAGAAGAAAGGGGAAAACTGGCGCTGAGCCTTGAGGCTCTCCAAATACACTCTGTCATGGGATGGAGGCCTTATGGGGAAAGCGGTCTAAAAAGGCAGAATTGTAAGATCCTATCAACCAACTTGTTTGTAACTTAGGCCTTCCCTTCCTCTTCTCCCAAGCTTAGGATTATCATTAGAATAGGCTTATTGAGACGTCACAAGAGGAGCTGTGGAAATGGACGGTCAAGACACTGGCAAAAGATGATTCTGAGAAGTCACTGTTCGATTTGGTGGATTTACTGTAATTCTGCTCTGCTCTTTGAATCATGTACCTGTAGATTATTTCGGTAAATGAATACGGATTTAACAGCGGGCATCACTTTAATGTCTCACCTTTCCTAGGTCTGTAGCAATCACGGAATTAGAAGCTATGTCCGGGTTATCAACGCATCATTTGTAATGATAACGGACCTTGATCTCAGAAGAGTCGTTTCTATCTATTTCTCTCATGACATTTTCTTGATATTGTCCATTAATTAGAAACGTCCTTAGGGTAGCCTCGCGGGACAACGCTCAAGGCTAGCCTAATTAGGAACCAGAATCCGACCTCATCCTGTTAGATCAAGCTTAGCGTTGCGCGCTTCGTATGATTTCGAAGATAGAGTATGTTCAGAAATAAGATGTATAATAACTCTTTCCTCTGAGAAATTCCTTTGATGTCTATAAATATGGGCCTCAATCTGCTTGCAAGTCCATTAGAAATTCTACTTCTGCATTCCATCAAAGCCCCCTATCCTTGAACTCCCAATATCGCGAAGCTCAAAGTCTAACCATTTCTAAGATACGCCTACTTTTAATGTATCAAAATGTCTTCTAACACTGCGGCCTGGATCACCGAAGCCAAGAAGGCGCCTTTGGAGGTTAAGGAAGCACCTCTTTGGACGCCCAAAGAAAATGAAGTTCTCGTCAAGAACCAAGCGGTGGCTGTGAATCCCATTGATGGAAGCGTCCAGCAGTTCGCATATCTACCATTAAGCTATCCCTCCATTCTCGGGACCGATGTCGCGGGAGAGATCATCGCCGTTGGGCCGAATGTGGCTCGCTGGAAAATAGGTGACCGCATTGTTGGACATGGTTTGGTTTTGTGGGATTTTAAGCCTGAAGGGGCAGCATTTCAGCATTATACCATCTTGGTAGCAAATATGGCAGCGGAGATCCCGGACCATATTTCGTTCCAAGATGCTGTCGTGCTCCCTCTTTGCCTGTCTACGGCCGCAACTAGTCTCTTCCACGATGACTACATGGGTCTGCAATTACCTACTTGCCCTCCTCAAAAGACTACCGGCGAAACACTGGTTATTTGGGGTGGTGCTTCTTGTGTCGGTAGCAATGGTATACAATTAGCTAAAGCAGCAGGCTATGAGGTGATTACTACCGCTTCACCCAAGAATTTCGACTACGTTAAGAATCTCGGCGCCGACCAAGTTTTCGACTACAGCTCTCCAACTGTCGCTGACGACATTGTCGATGCCCTGAAAGGCAAATTGCTAGCTGGAATTCTCGACAGCATCGGGTTCTCCGCAACCCAATTCTGTCTCGATATAGCGCATAGATCCAGGGGTTTTAAATTTGTGTCAACTACCAAACCTCGTTTTCCTAATCCACCGGAAGGAGTGCAGATTAAGCACGTCCGTGGTGACGCTCTTGTCGCGAATTCACTGGGAAAGTCAATCTACGAGGACTTCCTACCAAAAGCATTGAAGTGTGGTTCGTACGTGGCGGCTCCAAAACCTACTGTTATTGGAAAAGGGTTGGAATCTGTTCAAGCTGGCATTGATGCTGTCATGAAGGGGGTTTCTGCCACCAAGATTGTTATTACTTTATGAGTTAATTGCTTGTGGACATTGCTTTTCCGCAATCTTTCCGATGTTCGAATTTCGAATATGAGTTGGGCTTCCTTTTGTATTTAAATGGAATCATCCTCTCAAATAAGTAGACCAACTAATAGAATCATACAACTATCAGAAAGGTACTCGAAATCAATATTAGACGCCTATGCAGTGGATTAGTAAATGCGGCATCTTGCGTAGAGTCCTCGTGAAAGGATTTATACATACTTGTGCGAAAATTGCAGCTTGTCCAATTCCCATATTCTTCGATATCCACCACAAGCACCGATTAAGATATCGTTTTATCTGAAAGTTAACAATATCCAGGTGCGAAGCTATGAAAATTGAATGCATAAGTAGCAATCCCCCTGCTGCTCTACCAGGATTATTTATAGATGTTGAACTTTTTTTCTCTTGTGAGAAAATATGGAGATCATCAACCAGATGAAAAGGGATCGAGGCAAGCATACCATCAACCAAACAATTCGCAGTTTCAGTTTCCGTGTCTAAACTTCTCTCATCATTGAGAGCACTCGACAATTTCAGAATCAAGTCGACCAGGAACAAACGAGCTGCTCGATAGATATTCCACACAGCTGAACTGTAAAGGTCAAAGTATGTGTCAACTTCTCCTGGCCAGAACCCCACAGGACACTCAGATGGGTCATAATTGTCTTCCATGTAAAAAATTGTACTAGGATGGAATGACGTTTCCCGGGTCTCTTTCCACATTGGAAACGCACGATCAAGCTCTTGTGCTTCGTTGTGAAGCTGATTAAGCGTGTCACTAAAATCTTTCGATGACTCTTGGAAAAGAGCATTTGCACGATTCACGAGTGAGCTTAGCGAAAGGAGAAGGTCGTCTAAACTTCGAGAATCCTTCTTTGAAGCCGGGGTTGAGAAAATTGTTTCCTTATGTTTCTGTCAGAATGAAGTATGTTTAGCTATTATCTTGACCACGGGGAAGTAGAGATTACCTTAGCTCCTATGCGTAACAGTAAAGGGTGGCTACGGTGGACCGCTTCTATGAGGCCAACCGAGGAGCTTCGTATTCCAAGCAAAGCAGCTAGACCTCTGGCATGTGGGTTGTGATAACCAGGATGTAATTCGTTTCCAACGATAATCTATTTGTAACGTCAGTGTTAGTGATGGGAGGGTCGAGGAAGAGAGCGAGAAAGGGGGAATCAATTGGGCAAAGAGCATGTTCTAGTTACCTCGTAAAGACCTAAAAGCATTGCAACAGATAATGACTCTTCACGTGAAGCTATTTCCGGACAATGTATGGCTACGGAAAGTTGAGATAAGGCCATTTGATATAGCTCCACCGCCCGATGACACAGAAAAGGGCGATTGAGACTGACTCCGTGACTCGCATAGGACACAGCTTCGCAGGCTATTTTCAGCATAGAATCCGATTTCCTGTCGGCGAGTTGTTGCTCAAGGCCACTGAGGAATCCGGATGATAACTTGGTATTCGAGGAGGTAATACAATACTCATGGATAAATGCCTGTAGGGCAAATTGATCAGCCGTTTCGATCTGGACCTCCTTGGGAATAATGTCAGGCGGAAGTGTCGACAGGCACGGAAGGATTTCCCTCTTCGGTAAACTGCATTTTCTTGCTGCAGGTTTGCATGACATTGATCTATGGAGTTGTGACTGTTTATTGCCATATTGGCGTATTTGATAGCCATGGGTGCCATGTTCATAACCAGCACATGTTCGTTTGGAGTTAAGACATCGCATACAGGACTACGTAAATAAAGTCAGTTGAATCGTTTATATCTTTATATACGGCAATCTCGCCGTTTGTTCCAGTCTTTGTATTCAAGTGTAGTGCAGTAACCGGGACGCATACCGGACGGGTTTCGTCGCACTGCGGGAATTTTTAGTTGGTCAGTCGGCTGCTTAATTCACAGTTGACGAGCCAAGTGATCGAGAGGTTGATCCGAACGAACCTTCTTTCGGCGTCTCTTGCATGTCAAACAACCATTCGATGGGCCTAAGTAGACCATTCTTGTTTCAACAAGTCACCCGAGTTTCCACGGCAATCGTATGTGTGATCGAAAGACCTATAAGGAGTTGTGACGGGATGTCAAAGTATGACAATTTCAAAGAGGTACATGACGCAAATGAAGAAATGAACCGTTAAATTGATGCACAGCCTTGAAATCATTGATTGCCGAGAGAAATGTTGATCTACGCTGCTGATTGTTAAGCCTGAAAATTTGGGACTTCCCCTGAATCTGTAAGAATCGACGATGGCGCGTGGACGAAATTGCTATATCAGGCTAGCGTTGCGCAGTAGATGGTGTTGGATTAGCTAAGCTGATCCAGCCAATCAGACAGATGAGATATATCAGCCAATCAGAGCGAGCCACACTTCAGAGATGGATCCACCGAATAAGGGCTAAAAGAAAGTCTCCCACCTTTACTGTACTTAGAAAAAAAAAAAAAAAAAACGAATGACAACGAGGATCAAGGGTTCCATACTTTTGCATACATAATTTGATACGGTGAGGTATACCGCTGAAGATTGTTACGTACAATCCAAAAGATGGTTTTCTGTTTACGGTAGCGACGCCCGAATGCTTTTAGATATATCCAAGTACAGTTTAGTAAAACCATTCATCGAAAATAGGATAACGTAATCGGTAAGCGAGCCGACAGTTTCTCTCCGAACGCGTACGCAATATTGAATTCAAATCTCAATTTCTAACCCAAAATTATAATTATACACAAAAAATTAATTACTAGTAAGATTAGGGCATTGAGGTCCTCTATGCCCGAGAATATTACACTCACTACACCGAAATTGGCGACGTACTGGTGGATGAGAGACTGGGAGCTCAGGCTCGGCCGGAGCAGTGGTAACAGCTTGAGATGCCTCAATCTGACCTTGTAAAAGTGCCTGAGCTTCCTCTCTGGTAATTCCTTGATCATGGGATATTTGCTTTTTAGATTTTTGACGTTTTTGCTTCTCCTTCTCATGTGCAGCCCGTAGATCATGGAGTTCCTTCTGGGCAATTGTAAGCTCATTAATACTCATCTCATAAGCCTTTGATGCCCGTGTAAACACTTCACCAATAGCTTCAGATAAACTTCTTGTATGCCGGCTTATTCTCTTTTTCGTTGTAGTCATTTGGCGCTTAAATTGACGTGGGTTTTGAGGGGTTTGCAAGCAGGATGATTGTGTATCACTTGATCGACTTGGAGGGGGTGTTAGAGTCTTCAATCGAACAGTAAGCTGTTGATAAACTCGATCTGGATTGAATGGTACTAATCCAGTTGCTGTAAAGCTATTCCGAACAGTTTGGGCTTT